ATTAGCCTACTCGAACTTTACCAAGACAACCTCCTACCTCCACAAGAAAAACCACCCCCACCGCCTATTGAGATAGATGGTGAATCAGAATACGAACTTGAAGAAATCATCGACTCTCGATCACACTACGGTCGCTTGCAATACCGAGCGAAGTAGACTGGATACTCTCCAGAACATGATAAGACTTGGTACCCAGCCGAGAACTTCAATCACGCGTAAAATGCAGTCAACCAATTCCATCAACGATACCCCAGCAAGCCGTCAAGCAATGGTAGAAGACGCACCCAAATCCGAATATGTGGCCCCGCTACTACGCCGCACAGACTCCTACCAGTAGGAATATCCCAAAGGAAGAGGTGCGATGATGATGCCGTCAACCCTACAACACTTACCAGGACACGACGCGTTCAAACATATAACGCCGACCAGCCAGGGATACCGAACCCCGAGCCCCGAACAGACGAAGAACGAGATAGAATACAACCCCGAGGACTGGATAAGTCTGAAAGACCTACTGATACACGAGACTCCCGCTATACAAAGGGAACACGCGAACCTGTCATGGACAGGTTGCTACAACGACGGGTGCCAAGTGCACCAAGGCGAGAAAGAAGGCTCGGGATACTGGCCTCGGGAGAAGAACCAATGGCCACCCAAGACTTCACCTCTGGGATCACCAACGAGATCCCCAACGCCAACGAAATCCCCCACACCAGAGCCAGTGGATCTGGTACAATACATCGAACCGACTCCGAGGACGGAATCGAGGAGGAGGGGGGCGAAAAAACAAAAAGGATGAGTAAGACCCAGGAAATCGAAGCAGGTTTCCTGGCAACAAGAGATAGAAGAAGAAACGGAACCCAAGACCTCGAAGGAGGTCAAAATGAAGTGGTTAGCTGAGAAGGTCGAAACCAGCAAGTTGCTGGAATATCAGGCGGAAAAGATAGAGGAGCTCAAGAAGGAGCTGGAAAGGATGAGGTGGAGCAACGACAATTTGACGAGGGAGTTGCAAGGAGAGAGAAATATGAGAAAGGCTCTCCAGAACGACTGGAGAAAAGAAGAGAGGGAAGCAAGGAAAACTCTGGCCAGGGTGGTCAGGGTGAACACGGGAGCGAATAGGTACTATCCACTACCTGAAGGAAGAAGATGGGGAATAGAAGACTGAAGCCCGATGGGACTCGGGCTGAGGGAGAGGGGAGCTAATGTCACAAACTGTGACTAAGCAAGGCAGATTTCACATAGCTCGGATTTCCGAGTTATAGGTATGTTGGGATTTTACATGATGCACACTAGTGCGCCATAGGTTATTATGTTTACCTGTTCGTGACTCACAGTTGTGAGTCATACGATGTTATGATTTTCACACATGACTCATACTTATGAGTCATGGGTTTCACTCAGGTGACGTGAGTTGCGCACCTGATTTGGTTATTATGTTTTGATTGGTTTAGGTATGTTGCACAGCGACTCATAGGAGTCGTCTGATGGATTTCATAGGACTCAGGGATATGAGTTACAGGGTTCACGTGACACGAGGTGTGAGTCACGCCAGGTGAAGAGCGACTATATAAAGGGTCACTAGGACCCCAAGTATAAGCTCTTCACACGTTCTTCTTGTTTATTTCCTACCTTTAAGTTATTATCAATAAAACCTACCTTTACGCTCTTTAAGATTTATCTTAAGAAACCCAAGAAGTGTCTTTCCTCTCATGAGAAGAGATTAAGTCCTAAGCAAGGACTAAGGAGAAGAATAAGAAGATAGGCGCGAACACGATCGTAGTCAAAGGACTGGACTATCGGATCACATAGGCACAGGCCTGAGAGCTATTACCTTATAGAGAAGTATCATTACCTGTCGCTAGGTCCTACTCAGTAGGATTCTTAACAACACTACTCAGTACCAGGAGGGCAGTGAACTCGAGTACTGTATGCAGCCTTCTTCCTCAATTGTTTGATTACTCGAGTAATTGATTGGCCGCGTTTGAAAGAGTAACATGATTCTTTGATTCGGCTTCGGGGTCATCGATGGATTATGTTACGGGAGGCTATGGAGGATTGATTTTCTCTCCCCCTATGATATCACTCGATCTGAGTCTTTTTTCGTCATTTTTTCTTCCTTCAAATCGGTATCACATTGGTTTGGTACAGTACGCTACATACCCACAAATCCCGATGCATAACGATACGGTATGATAGTCTAAAATTTACAGCCTGTTCTTGGCGCAGCTTGGCATGTGTGTGTGTCACATTTCAGGTAATTAGTACCGTAGTCAAAGGGGAATGTTGCTCGTCATCGGCTGTATTGGTTGGGTGCTGCGTGAACTATAAGATATGTCCGCCAAATACTCGTACCGTACCGGGTATGACATTCCTTTGCTTTTTTATCCTTCTCATTTTTCAATGCTTGGTAAGCTGTACAGTACCGTACGGTAGTGGTTGACTAGAATGCAGGTACAGTACACTAAACTAAAGTACTAGGCCAAAAGGATCCGTACAATCGGTGGTTACCGCACGACACCTCAAAACACCCCACTCCTACAATCAACCACCCCTCAACTACAATGCCTCCACACAAGACAGGCTACCTTACAGAGTTTGAGAAAGGGCAAATAGTTGCTCTGAGAAAAAAAAAAATCTCTTTTGGAGAGATTGGAGAGCTCTTAAACTGTCCAAAGAGTACTGTTCAAACTTGCTATGACCGCTTCCAAAAGAGGGGTGATGCAAAAAACCTCCTTATACCTGGAAGACCCAAAATTATCGATTCCAGAACCCAGCCCAGCCCCGCCTAGTCAGAGAGTCTAAGAAGGCACGCCGCCAGACTTTATCAGAATTGCGCAATGATGTTGCACCATATTCCTCCCTCCAAACAGTCAAGAGAGCTTTAGCCTCAGTCAACATAAAGAAATAGAGAGCTAGGAAAAGAGCTCTTCTAAAGGATGAGCATGCTGTTAAGAGGTTAGCTTGGGCAATGAAGTATAAGGATTGGATAAAGGAAGACTTTGAAGGAGTCATCTTTAGTGATGAATCCTTGGTTGAAAAGTCTAAGGATCCTAAGGGTATATGGGTGTTCAGAACACCTGAAAAAAAGTGGCACAAAGATTGTATTCATGGAGTTACCAAGGGGCCAGGGGTAAAGCTGATGGTGTGGGCTTGTATTTAGGGCAGAAATAAGGGTCCTCTGATTCCTATTTTTGACAAGAGTGTGGATAGATTTGTATATATTGGAGTTTTGGAGGATGGTTTAGTTGATGTCTGGCAGGAGGTGGAGGATACAGTTGGGGATCCTATCTTTCAGCAGGATGGTGCAAGGATACATACTGCAAGAGATACTATGGCTTGGTTTGAGGAAAACAACATACAGGTTATGGAATGGCCAGCCAATTCTCCTGACCTCAATCCTATTGAGCACTGTTGGAAGAGGATGAAGGAAAAGCTACACCAGCACTTTCCCAACATCCACAAGACCAAGGGGGCCCAGAAACTGTTAGAAAACATCTAGCAGTAGCTCTAAATCAGGTTTGGACTCAGGATATTGAAGGGGATTTTCTGAAAAGGTTGTGGGAGTCTATGCCTAGTAGAGTTGCTGCTGTCATAGATGCAAGGGGATGGTATACCAAGTATTGATTTTTTTGTTTTCTAATTTTACATATAGCTTTTCTTATATTTATTGTATGTCTACACATATTTTCAGTTTATTTCAAGTAGTTGTGGTTGTAGGGGTAGTAAATTTATAGTGGTAGTGGGGTTGCCGTTGCGTTGCCGGACGGTTCTTTTTGTACCCGTACTTTATATTATACCGCGGCAACACAGGTCGCAAATCGTTTAACTTCTCTCAGGCGCACCTTTTCAACGTGATATACTTGTACCGGTAGACCCCACCCTTTGCTCCCAACAACTCACCGACTACGATGCCGTAGCTCAGGCTGTGGTAGTTTGATACAGAAAAGCTAGAGTACCCACCCGTATGAATGCTATACATTCCCACGCTCGGGGTAGGCCTCCGGCTCTCGCATCTAGAACCCCCCCAGCCACCCTGACCATGCCACCAGAGCCTCCACTCCACTGGGCGGTTACAAATAGATATAACTGCCCCTCACCTTCGGCTTATGGTCCTTCTTGTCGCATTTGTCCATTTCACCATCCCAGAGAAATATGGAATCCAGAGGCTATCGATGACGGGGCCGAGCCTAAACTACTAACCGAGATAGAAGAAGCCGTGGTGTCTGGGAGCTGGGTTTCCCGGCCCGGATACCTTGCAGATGGGAGTTTATCATTTGCCAGTGGCTTGGATGCACTGTTTCGGGATTATGGAATTATTGGTAATGAACGGATTCGTTCGCGGGCCGGGAATGGGGGAGGCTGAAAGGGAGGAATAATTGGCTCACACTTCTTTGCCCTAAGTTTGAGGCTTATGTGAGCTCTGGGGAACGCCATCTTTGGAGAATGGTTATGGTATTACAGCTTAGGCTTGATTTGTCCCTGCCGGTACGGTATGTCTGGCCCCCGGACCTACCGTACTAGCTGGAATAATTGAGAATCACATTGGGGCGTCCGGGATCAAGGAAGAAAACACGGCGAAAAGATCGTCCGTCAGCCCTTAGCTGAGATGGGTACGACAGAGAGACATCACCCGAGTACAAGGAGAAGCAATTTCAGCACACCAGAGATATTCTCAATGTATTAGTTTTTACGGTATGTGAACCCGTCAACGGAGATACTCGGGTGGCTAACGCTCACTAAAAGCATCTGGATGTCACCCGTCATTATTCACATTGCATCTCTGATGAGCACACAAAAAACAATGTTGGTTAAAAAAGGTTTAACCACAGCCCCAAGATTTATGCTAATAATCGGGTACTCCCCTCAAAGGGAACCCTAACTCTCAGGATCCAACAAAAGCCATAATACAGCAGGGCCTAAAAAAAAAAAACACCAGAAACCAAAGACCGGGATATACTATGATACAATGAGAAGGGGGAAAGCTGAAAGGGTTCAGCCCTTTAACCCGACTCACTAACAAAATCCCAATCCCCAATTACTGACTCCCCATCATCAAGCACCGACCAATCATCACTAACTTCACTCCTACTACCAACCTCCGTCCCAGCAGAAGAAGTGACTTCAACCTCCTCCACACTCTCTACCTCCTGGTCATATAGTATCCCCAGCCGATACAATTCCTACCTCCACCTCTCATCATCAGTCCTCTCTCCCCCCTCACCATTTTGTTCTTGCGCATAAGGGAAGGAAAGAACTACTCACAGATTCACTTGCCGCCAAACCTCCCTCGCTCCACTCCCACTTGACGTCACGATCGACCTGATCGTGAAGGTACCTCGCCTCATCATGCACGCGGTCGGGCGAGCTCCGGGTCCATTTACCACAGCCAACGCGTCCGAAATCGCTGAATCGGGTGTCGCGCCCGCGCCTGAAGTAGGTTTTGTAGGTCATTTTTTGTGAGTTCGTGGTTTTCTTAGGGTGCGCTTGTGATTGACTTATGTTTGGAAATTTGTGAAGGGAGAAGAAAAAATATATATATACCGAGGGCACTATTTGTATATTGTGTGGTTTAGCTAGATACTCTAGCCTTGTCGAGCTTTGGTAGAGGTAGGGGCAGAGGGTGCTGGGAGGAGCAGTGGTGAGGTCTGGATTAAATACACTTTCTCGGAAGAGTTTTGACTCATTATCTTATGACTCTGCCCACGGTAGATCATCTAGGCCCGAGGCTACCAGTACTGTACTCGGAGCAAGCAAGAAACACTTCACCGGAAGATAGCGATCTGCGAAATACCATAGAAAAAGAAAATCAAATCTGTGTGTATATGAGTCCCCCCATACAAATCCACGACCCCCGTTTCCAGATACTTCTTACCTACCCACCGCCGGTGACTAACACAGTATGATAGCGCTGTGCAGCAATAATACGGCAAAAGTGAAGATCGAGTGATCCTAGCGACACCCCAGTTAGAGTCACAATTAACTTGAGCCATCACCGGATTCAACAGTACCGGCACCATCATACATTATCAATATTCCGTGATTTATCGCCATGCTACCCCGGCACTACGAAGTAGGTCACTATCTATCTCCCAGATTTGCTGCTGTAGGATGTGCTGGCCCGCTTAGGTTAACTTGGGACAAAGGCCGCAATCCGGTATGGAGGAGGTGAGTGACTCATTGTGCTTCGGTGTAGCTTGATCGAGTGCTGCCTGTCGACCACCGTACCGCGCAGTACCGGTATAGTAGGGAGATTCAAAGCTCTCGGTACACGGAAGGTACAGGTGTTCCGGTGAAGGTGTATTTATTTATTTATTAGAAATTACAGTACACAGCAAACCTTCTCGGGGGGAGGGATGCAGCATCCAGTATTATACAGAGGTACGGTCATTTTATTCAAGCAGTACTGTACACCTGTATTTGCGGGGTATATTGTGTATCATACTCGATTCGCAGCGCACTGAGAACTTTGAACCTCCTTAGTGCCCTGTTGGTATGGCCGCATCGGTTGGCGGTCGAGTCATTCACTGTATCATACCGGTACTCGCTTGCTTGGTTTGAGCGGCTGAAATGGATCGAGTGCTGGTATATGTTTTGATTTGGGAATTCCGGTTTCTTTTGAATTTTTGAATTTCACAACCGGTACTTGTACCGTACCCCCCCCCTTTACAAAGTTCTCACACCGCTCTAAACCCCCGGAAACGTTTCGCTGACCCTCTCTTTCTTATTGTTTCGTAGAACAGACTGTGATAATGGTTTACAATGTCCCTAGAGGTGTATCTAAAAATAGCTAGATAATTTCAGGTTTCCCGATACGAATATTAATTCTTATGTAATAGGTAGTGACTAATACCCATGGTTAAGCTCTGACCGTGAACCGTGCTACAGATTCATGCTCGTTCGTTAATTCACTGCCAAAGCCCCGACCCCACTACGAAAAGTCGGCATTGATACCCCCACAATAACACATAGGGCTCCACAAACAAACTGCCCCCTAGGAAATTAAAATATAATATTATGGTAATTATTACCATGCAAGTAACTATGGTATCGCGGTTCAAGATTCCGAAGCGCGAAAAAATAAAACAAAAAACTTTATCCGGCCCATCGAGCCCTACACACGCGCACTTAAATATCCACTGCAGTGAAGTAGCCTGCCCCGCAAAATTTAAGCTCACTAGCCGGTAGGCTCTATTCTAGGAGCAGTAGTCAGGTTCTCGTTCTTCCCGTTGTCGAGAACGAGAATATCGTCTTCGATTCTGACGCCGCCAACTGCCCAATACCTCTCAAGGACCGCCTTGTTAATATACCGGCTATGGACGGGGTGGTCGAGGAAGGCTTGGATTATGAATCTCGAGAAGTAGCTAGGAATTGTTAGCCTTGCTATGCATATGGATGGAGGAAAGTGGGCAGTTGTTGGGAGCTCATACATTCCAGGTTCGACGGTAATGACCATCCTGGGCTCCAATACCCTGCGCACTACTGCACGGTATAGCCCACGGCCCAACATTGGTTTTGGAAGAGAGGCAATGGAACCTAACTGGCCTGTGGCGGGCTTCCATTTGACATCCGGGGCGCCCTCGACATCGTGGGTCTCTAACCCTAGAAAGTGGCCAAGGCCATGGGGGAAGAAGGCGCGGCTAGTTCCACATTGGAAGATTTCTTCTGCCGTGCCATTATATAGAATTTCCAATGCCATTAATCCCTTTATAGCGATCCTATGCGCGAGGAGATGTGTATCTCTCCAATCCACGCCGGCAACTGTCTTCTTGATGCATTCTTTCTGCATCTCATCAACAATATTATAGATTTCACTAGCTTCTTTGGTCCACTTCCCGGATATCGGGTATGTGCGAGTGACATCGCTAGCATATCCGGCCCATTCTGCGCCCGCATCAATCAAAAGTAACTGTTTCCCTTTGAGAGGTGCATCATTGCGGGTATAGTGTAGCGTTGCGCAGTTCTGCCCAGATCCAACTATGGGGTCATATGCTTGTGTCCTTGCGTGCTGCGAAATACAGGTTTGGACAAATATTCCCTCGAGCTGAGCTTCTGTTTGTGCTGTTTGCACCGCTTCTAGAACGGCGCGATGAGCATTTGCTGAGATGATGTTTGCCTGGCGGAGTAATTTGATTTCATAATCATCCTTATAAACCCGGCAATCGTCAATTGCGGGTTGGAGGTACTGATCGGAGATAAATTTCCTAGGGATCCGTGAGGGAATCCGTGAAACTTGATGATGGATGGTATAAATTGGAGAAGATTGAAACGTGAGATGGAACTCCATTATCTTGTCTGTTATTGAAGTAGAGTAAAGAACTTCGTCCACATCGTATCTATAGATTCGTTAATTCCTTAGTTGGTGCTGGTGTCAGAGGGGGGGGGGGGGTTCAGCAGACTTGAAGATGCAATCCTCTATCGAGGGTGGATAACCAGACCAGAGAACTTCATTCGGGTCAAAAGGTGGAATGTATCTATAAGCTTGCAGCATCAGCACTCCTCTTGCCCCTTTCCAAAGCCTATGGGATATTCGTACAGGGTTAACCTGTCCTGAGCGATTGAATACGTGACAAAACAATCCGGCATATCCACAACCCCCGTGAGGTACAAGAAATATCTCTTCTGACGGAATTTAATTGCTTCGTCTGAGTCCTCAAAGAGAACCTCCGACATCCCTTCCAGGTAGATAAGACCGTCACGAGTGGGTAGCCGTCGGGCCACATTTCGGGCATGCTGCTTGGCTGGAAACGAGTTAATTTCAATGCGAAAAAAAAAACAATTATTCGCCGGGCTTATTGATACCTGGATACTTTTCCATTGGGGAGTCGGCGGCGATATGTATGTTGAGAACGTCGGCCGGTCTGTGATGGGTACGGGTGTCAGCAAGGAACTAAGAGGATAGGTAGCTACTCTTAGGGGACGAACGGTTGGCCACCGGGCTTGCTGAGAGCGTGTTTCGTTACCATATTTGGGAAATTCTATTATCGCAAGGGAAATACGGGATCCTGCGGCTGTGAAAGGAAGAGGGAAGTTGCGGACTGTGAGGGAGTTTGCACCGGTGCCCTGTTCGGGAAAGAGTTTGCGTTTTCCCGGAACAGCACATACAGCCAAAGGATTGAGGTCTTTGGATAGGCGGCGGGCACGGTGATCGAGGGCCTGATTAAGGCTAAGCGTGATGGTTACCTGTATGTTATGATACAAGAAAGAAATAAGCGCCAGGGTAGAGGTTCCGATGATGCTTGGTATGTTGGGGAGAGGCTTCTTATATTTCTAGGAATCGGCTGAGGGAACCTGACCTGTAGACCGATAGCTGGGGCTGTGTAGGGAAGACGCGCCGTGTGGTACTTGTACCAGAGGTTGTCCGTGGCAGTAACCCTTATCCTCGGGTATCACAAGTACCTATCATACCCCTGTTCCCGGACTTTTCATACCGTTCCTAACCAGTCAAGAGCCTCTCCGGGCAGGGTAAGTCTGCCTCATGGCTTGTCGTCACCTTTAACCCGACCACCCACTACGCCCCACCTATAACAAACATCCACTACAATAATCTCAAACAATGGACAGACCACGAGGCGGAGGATTTAGAGGTGGGCGCGGCGGGGGCGGTGGTGGCCGTGGAGGCCGTGGCGGAGCAGGAGGGGGCGGAGGTGGCCAGGCCGGTTACAACAAAGATCAACAAGAGCGGAAACCCCGCGAGGCAATTTTAGATCTAGCAAAATTTATGGATAAGGCAATCACGGTGAAGTTTAATGGCGGTAGGGAAGGTACTTCTCGCTCTACGTTCTAACCCTTCCTGATACTGACAATTCTGCTCTAGTTGTGGGAATATTAAAAGGCTACGACCAATTGATGAACCTTGTCCTGGATGACGTGAAGGAAAACCTTAGAGGTTCGTTCCGTATGATAGCCAGTGTGCAAAAGATGCTGATAATAACCACCCGATAGATGAGGACGGAAACGAGACAACACGGGAACTGGGTCTGGTCGTTGCGAGGGGTCCGATGTTGACCCTCATCTCGCCAATGGACGGTAGCGAACAGATCGAGAACCCGTTCATGGCGCAGGAAGGGTAACTGGGAAGCATTGTCTTCTTTTCAAGAAAGCTTAATATCACGGGATCTTCTTGTGATTGGGTTTTGGCGTTAGTTCTTCTATTAATAAAATGGGGCTACATTACCTGATATACACTCCGTGCCGGCTCTTACGCTCTCGCGAACCCTGATATTGTGACGATGCTAGATAATGATAAGATTTGCTCTACTTGACTCGTCAGGTGGTCCGACACACCATGGTTGAAATCATATAGGATCACTCGAAATTTACAGATATCACTGTTAAGGGAGAGTTACCTCTTCAGATACGAAAGGGTTGTTCACCCACTTTGTGGTTAGATATGTTGGTAATTTGTGTACCCGGAGAAATCTAGGCCTCTTTCTAGTACAAACTAATCATCGTTTGCTTTGTTTTTCATGTTATTTTGAAAAAAGGATTGGAGCTAATTAACTAGTAAATGCCCGATACTCCGAGGTAGGGGATAAGAGAAGGGAAAGAAAAAAAAGTACAAGAATGTCCCAACAAACTATGCTCAGGTCAATGAATCTCATGTATGATGGTAACCAATCCATAAAAAAGTCGCGAGGCCGTATCTAAAGAATATTATTGATCACAGGATCATTCCAAATGTTTGACCCATCTAGATAATCTCGATATCCATGCAGGAGGTATACCACTAAAAGCATTCCCCATTAGCAAATAATTGGCTATTATTCCCCCAGGGAAGTGAAGTGGGAAAAGCGTAAAAGATATACATACCTCCTCAACTCTAGGCTTATCCCGTCCAAAATGCCACGAGAAATCCCAGACCCAGTAAACGGTATAAACGTCCCCAACCTTCAGATTCTCTGGAATCACAAACTCCGATCTGCACGGCTTCTCGACCCCCTCTTTCCCGACCCCACGTTGTTGGGATATGGGTGATTGGTTGGGTTGCGTGCACACTCCGTCATCGTACGGCCCCGCCGCGAGGAGCCTGCCCTTCTTGTTCCCTCCCTGGCCGTCCACGGTCCAAGCCCTCACCTCTCTCAGCGGGAGTTTCGGGTCTGGGTCGGAGGTTCCGAACCAGTAGGTGTAGCCATTGAAAGCTGTCGCCGAGGGGGGGAGGGAGACGTGTCCGTTTTCGAGGTAGTAGCCTGCCACCGTTTGCTTTCGGCTGGCCCTGAGGCGGGGGAAGCCAGGCTGGTTGGCACGCACTTGTTGGGTGTCCTTGCAGATGGGCTTGCTTTCCCAGTCCGGGCCTTCGATACGGTAAGTCATACGAGTATCCAGGTTGGCGTCCTTGCCAACTGGCAGGTTGTTAGTTTGGATTTCGCTTATTTCATGTTGTGGGAGCAGAGGGGGAGGGGAAGGGCTCACTCCAGCTTCTCATGTATCCCTTTGTTCCTGGGCCGACGGCCTCTAGGACCTCAATCTGTGGGGTGAATGTTAGCGCTCTGAAATAGTCTCTCACACATATAGATATATATAGATTTTCGACGAGCCCGCTTACCCAAGTGTGAGAAACAACGTTCCCGGCATGGAGCGCCAGCAGCACAACTGCAGTGGTGGCAAAGTTGAAATGCATTATTATGCCCCAGTAAAAGTAAATATGGGTATGTAAAAAAAAAAGTGAAAATGATAGTGAAGAAGGAGAAGAGGGAATCGGCTTTCTCGAAAAGCTTTCAAAGTTGTAAAGGTGTGTTAATGCTGATATGAGCGAGCGTGAGTGTGAAGTAAAAGAAAGAAAGAATAATTCGACAGGTATATATAAAGAAGGAATGTCTGCTATTCTAAAAGAATCATGAGGACCATAGAACTGCCAGCGATCTAACTCTATTGTATACATATATACCTTACGCCCCTACTCCCGGAGACCATTCAAGTTGAAAAACTCATAATATTGGGGGGGGGGAGGGGAGCCATTCAAGTTTAAAAGTATCGAACATCAATGGTTATTCCTACCATGAAATCACCATTGTAATCCGCGTGGTGGTTACCAAACACACCGGGAAGCCGGAGGTTGCTACCGAAAGCGGGGGGGGGGGGGGGCTAATGGGACACCCCCATTCTATTCAGATGACCCGGTAAACTGAGTTCAACTATCATACCAAAACTCGCCCAGCCCGACCTAGCCTCACTTTTCAACACCGTGTGAAACGGACAAAGAAGTGCATATTTTTGTCAAGCCAGGGATCAGAAGTAGGGCTAAAGCAAGGCCCGCAGGGTTTCTATTGGCTGGCGAATCATTAATATAAAGTCTCTATTCAAGTTTCCTTGTCTTGGGTTTTATGCTCGTGGCGAACAGAATTCGCGGGTGTGATATAATATTGATGGAGGCTGTGGTCACATCGAGTCACTCGATGGGGTGCGAGCACGCCTACTCCGATTTCATGGTGTCACTGATATACTTGGATGATTCATTTTTTCTCTACTTGAATGAGAGATGAGAGTGAGGTAGACTGCCTCTGGACGGTCTTCTTGTGTAAACATTATCCAAGCCGATACTCCCACTCTACGACGTCGCAGCATTGCTCTATATTCCACTACGGGAGCTCACCGCTCTCTGAGGTACATTACTGCAAGAACCAGATGCATAATCTACCATATTTAGTCTTGGGTGGGGCAACCGCCACTTTTGGCTTTGCCTGCAAGCTTGTGTAGCAGTGCTAGACTATTACAGCACGCTCACGCTAATCTTCCAAGTCCTCAGCTACAATTTACCTGAAGGCGATCCCGGCGGTACTGGATTCAGACTAGAAAAAGGGCCCAGACCGTACCCAGAACCCACCACACTGCAAACTTTATTACCCAACAACACTCTCTCTACCTTCCTCCCCTTCCGCATAATCAGCAACTCGTTCCGAAAGCGCGATACGTGTTTCCCCTCCCCATTACCCACCCACAGCCACCTTCGCCATTACATCCACGACCTACAACCCACCCAGCCCCTAACCTCCCTTCAGCGAGCTTCGAGACAATAATAAACAGACCGAGGGCTCCAACTTTGAAATTATACACGGCATGGGCATTACCGTCTGTCTGTCCAGCTATCTAACAGCAGGTATAACTTCCTTCGCCGGATAGCCGCCACACCTAGCCCTAGAGAATCTTGCTTTGTCGGTTTGGAAATACCTTACATTCACAAGTACGGTAGGAGTAGGAGTAGGTTTAATGGTAGGTACGGTGACGCTTAGTTAACGCTTTAGTAGAAAAATTAAAATTTTATCAGTGGAAGAAGGGAAGTGAATGTATAAGTACCGGTATATCAATAATTTTCTCGGAATGTGGTGCGAGATAGGTATGCGATGCCTTGGGAAAGGGATGGGCATTTGTATGATACCGTACCGGTATTTCCCTACTGTACCGGCCGCCGGTAGGTGAGTGGACGTGTCCCGGAAGATTTTTCAGGGATGTGCTAGTTGGTTGGCTACATATGATATTCATCGGAACTACCGGTAAGTCACTAGCGTTAGGGGGGTGGGTTCGCCGCTAAATCGTACAATAATACTCTGCGGTACGGGATAATATCCCCGCAAGTGAAAGGCCGCTCCGGCCGAGAGCGCAGCCTCCCGCATTTTATGGGCCACGGCCTTGCGGTGCACCGCAGTTCTTTTGCCGCATGAAACTGTCCAGACCAGAGACCGTTAACATAATTGTACTCTAAGAAATGACCAGATTCCAGCACCCGGCCACCTTAAGAATATATGTACTGCACTAACGTGTACAACGAATTTCATTACATACAGGATCTCTACCGGTGAGAGTGATAGAGAAAGCGACAAAAGGCAACGCGGGCTCGCTGAAAGAAATGCTAGTTTGGCCACAGCCCACCCTCTTCCCAACTCATAATGCAAGGCTCTCTTTTGATACACCACCAAAATGAAGTAGCGATACCCTAACCCTCGCCTGACGAAGGAAAAATAATAACTAACAGCTAGAACCATCAAGGATCTGAGATGCTTTGCTAATAACAACCCAAATTTCATCGCCTAGACTTGCTAAGGTCCTGAAAACATGATTCAACTTGTCGTTTCAACTACTCGACCACGAAATCAGCTATTATACATAGGGGGAGGGGAAAGAAGAAATGCAGAGATACTTACCTCCTTATAGCTGACCACAAAACAATTCATGCTGTCCCTACTAACTAACATGATCTTCTCGTCTACCCCAGCGTCCAGTTTATTCAAACAGGTGAGAACATGGGCCATGTCAACGACAGGATTATTGTTCTCGTCGACAGAATGGAACACGTAGTCTCTAAAGAGCTTTAAGTAATATCTGTCACCGGTCTCACTCCATCTTGGATCATGGTCGTACTCGGGCCGTTCGTTTATGAAGCCGAATTTGCACAAAAGCCGCACCAGCCTACCGTTCTCTAATTCTCGAGAGAGCGCTGACTCTAGTGAGTCTTCATAGTGTAGAGCGCTGTCAAAATTCTGGAAGGCCTGGTTGGCTATAGATTTCACGTATTCATCTATATTTTTCGTTGATCCGGTATAAAGGTAGTAAATGCTGTCCCGAAGTTGAATGGAGTAATGACGACCGATGTAATCCATGCTCTTCTGGGGATATTGAATAGCTGAAGGAGTATTACATGCGATCGAGAGCATGAGACGACCCAACTGAGTAAGGTCTTCTTGTTGACACTCCCGGACCGACTCCTGGCTGCGTATAGTCTCCGGATGGATGACGTCGAAAATCCCACAGCAGTTGAGACGTATCCTATTATATAATGGTTAGGTTCAGCTACTCACGAGTGTCACTTATTGCCATGCAATCACCTCATTTTACTAGTAAGCAGAATTTTCGACGGTTCAATCACTCGGGCTGCTAATCCCGCACTATGTATGACCTTCAATGCGGAAGCGATTTGGACAATATAACTCCATAGAACTTGTTCTGGAACTATTGGACCCGTGGGTTGATGCTGCCTCGTAGGATTCGGGTATCTTGGGTTGGGTCCAAAGTGAGTCTCCGCCAGTGTTTTGGACAGAGGGTGATAATTATAGACGAAGACGATAGCTGTTGTAAAGTAAAGTGTTAGGACGACTCTTACAAATCTCGGGGCAGAAGAAGTGGCAGCAAGGTCGTGGGAATAGGGCCCGAAAATGAATCTATTCAGATGATAGAACGAGACCTACAGCTATCCCCAAATTTGGTAGTCGTCCAAGCGTCGTGTATAGTCACAATATTAGCGCTTGATACCTTTCTCCATCTTTGAACAATTCGGATGTCAGCCTCATTTGAGAGCCTAAAGCCTTGTAATTGGTGGGTTGAATGTTAGCAACCCCAAACTGATTCCACCACTTCCACCACTTCCACAGGTACCCACCTTCGAGTCTCCGCAGCGCATAGGCGTTCCCATCCTCAGATGAAAATGCTTTATAGGCCCAGCTGGGATACCCAAAAACCTGTGCGCTCCTCTGGTTAGAGATGTCAAGCGGAACGAGCTGATGATATTCCTCGATTGACGGGGGAAGTATTGAAGATACAGCTTAACAGACGCGGGAAATCCCATGTCAGCTTTCATTTATAGACCTGGGTCTCTTCGTCGAGTCAAAGGCTGAGATACCTGGGAGTGTTTGGAGTGTAGCATCAGCCTTTTTCTGGAGCTCCTCTCTTAGGTTGTCGGACAAGAAAAACCCATGAATATTTTTCTGAAACGGTTGTAGCTTCTGGGGATACGGGGCCAAGGGAGCATATAAATGATAGTTGAGCTTGATAGGACAAAACCGAAGGTTAACAAAATCGTATCCACTCCAGAGGGAATGTGGTATGGGGTTAGGGGCACAAAACTGGATGTTGATACGTCTGTTGTGGTTGATAAAACATGTCGACGCCCGTTTGAGCGTATGGATTCACGGGCGCCCCAACAGTAAAATCATACGCATTCATCGCCGCATTTGCATTAGTCTTCATTTTGTCAGCCCTGCGCCGTGATCTCGTAGGCGAATATACATTCTCGCCCAATCCCATATTTTCAAATCCATGTTGGAGGCCTTGGTGATGGTAAAGTTGTGGATCAAGCGCCGGAGCCATAGAGTAACTTTCCGCCGAAAGAAACAATCAGTTATAGTGTCCCACGAATTGTGGAGCAATGTGCAGACGAACCCGTTTGCAGCATCATGGAGCTGTTGTGCAATTGGAGGAGTGGCAGACCCTGTCACGTCAGCTCTCTATGCCCAAAATGAAGAGTTCTTCGTTCACTGAAATTACCAGTACTATGATTATGTTTGGGAGTAAAGGGCGCCGCATCTGCAGTTTTCGGAGATATCGTCTTTTTCGGAGGAGTTGCCGGAGTGAAAGAGGGGGAATCTACATTGAATTTGCCCCTACCAGTACCAGATTGCTGCTTCTGGGAATGCGGGTCATGGTTGAATGCGCAACCTATGAGACTTTAGCCTGCGAAAGATCGACCAAAGCAGCCCCCCCTCTACCTTTGTCCTGGAATCGACAATACCCATAGATGGTTATATTTCGACAGATCGTGGAACTCGAATCTTAGCAGTATGTTAGACCTACATCCAGGGGTCGAACGTGCCTTGAAAATGAGGGTAGTGCTACTAGGAAATGTACAGACCTTTAGCTTTAGGTCTAGGCGAAGAGGCGGATGAGGCCACAGAAGACCTCCGGGGCTCAGGGGGGGGGGTTGTTCTCGATCCTGTTGGGGAAGAACTCGTCACAGAGATTCCGGGGCCACTACTCGTGTTTGGACGTAGCGAAGGGGAAGATTGGGCGAATGCGCGGCTGCTCGAGGCGGTGGAAGGACGTTCGGTCATGGTTGAATAATTGGAGAAGAAAACGGGAAAAGGCGCAATAAATCATGCAGGAGGCAACGAATATCTTGATGTTGCCTCTGCTAGCAGTGAATTATTAATTCCGGCAGGATTACCAAGTCAGGATGAAAGGGTGGATGAACGCAGTACGATTTCCCCTCTGCAGTCTATTGATCCCTAATCTTGCCTTCTCCTTCCCCGCCCCTCCTCTCTCCCGTTTTCCGTGGCACACGAATAAAGGGGTCGAAAGGATTGGAGAAAGTACTCTTTAGGTATAATCCTCCAGGCTGTAGCGAGGTTGGGGGAGAATGATGAGCCTCGGCGGGGCGATGGTATCCGTATTGTTGCAACGACAGGAGGATAGCCCAAGAATATGATCGGACCAAGGATAGAAAACTCTGGAAAGTTTGGGCTGTATATGTTATGTTTATTAGAAAAGTACCGTAGGGGATAACGAACGGATGGTAAACGGGGGGAGCAGGGGGTATTTTTTAGGCTCAGACAGCAAAGCAGCACCCGGGATTTGGGGATTCTCGGACCATAACGGTGGGAGGAGCTGTATGTACGAGTACTCGTACCAGCACAGTAGAATGCAAGGTGACCAGCAACAGGACCGTGTAATGGGACCTGTTGGCGGTGGTGGTGCGGTGCTAGATAACTTGGAGGGAAGGGGAGGGGGGGTGGAAGAGGGGCGTTGGAGGGGCGGCAGGCGGCTCCCATGGGAATCAGTCCTCCCATCTCACCAATCTCCAAGTACCGTACCATACGGGGTATCCCTGCGGGAGCACCCTCTTTCCCATGTGGCAATCGGTCGCCTAGCAACCACCGAAATCACACACCGGGCTCGCAACTGGCTTGTAACATGTCGCCGCTCCTTCTCACAACCCCCCCTTCCCCCACCGCCACGGCCCGCAAGAGCTTTACCCCTTATGCCTGTTTGATAACCCCTAACCACCCGCATAACTTTAATTGAGAACTCTTCTCTCAGCTTGCCCGTCATGGGCGGTTCCGAAAACGAATCAGTTGGTTCTGGTCAACTGTCCACTCGCGGTTTCCGTATACATTATCGAAAGACCCTTCCGATTGCAGCTCGTCCCGGTTTGGCTGCTTGGAGTCCGCAGCTTGATTTGATAGTAATTGTCACTTCCAATGAAAACATCCTGCTCTACCGTATGAACGGACAGAGAGTTTGGGGTGTCGCGCACAGAAAGGAAAAATTAGCTTCGGATGTCCGGGTGGAAAGGATGCAATGGCGTCCAGATGGTTTGTCTACGCATCAGAGAGCTACTTCTATTGGTTTTCTCGGTCCGCTTACTCGGCTAACCCTCATTTCAGGGAAAATGTTGGCTTTAGGATATAGCGACGGCTCCACACGAATATACGACGTGAACAATGGCAAACAAATCCATCGTATCACCTCAGAAGTGTCAAACTTTGGAAAGGTGACCTGCGTAGGGTGGGTTGATAACCATTCGGACTCGAGGTCTCCTGGTCAAGCCTCAGAAACTAAGTCAACAGAGTGCACACCTCAAGCACTGTTTGATATGGATATCGGCCAGATGTTGCCCCGATTGAGTGTTCTGCCCTCCTCTGCTGGGAAGTACGTGTTACTCCTCATCCCCTTCGCTGAGAGGGAATGCTCACAATCGCTATAGCGAAAGCACTTTCACCTCCAAGGTTACACTAGACGCTTTAATCAACTCTGTTACTAAGACCGGAGAGGGAAAGAATCTGGATGTTTTACTCATTGGTGAGGAGGATGGAAAGATACTTTTAAAGTGGGCAGAATCCAAACATCTGGTGGATTGATTGATTGCTAAGGGTTTCAAGTGTGTTTGACTCTTTCCTGATTGGCACTATGGATCTATCGTCACTTTCAGACAGGCTTCGGCCTTCTTCTAGGGTATGTTCCTGGATCGAAATAAGTTGCTTATATTTGATCATTCTAATTTGGACCTAGCTTCTCCGACATACAGCTTCTCCCGATCTTTCTACACACTCTCTTCTCATAGAAGATGTGCAAAGCGAGAATATATTGTTTGCGACGATGGATATATTATTCATTCAACAGTTTGGTCAATATCTATTCCAACTTGCTTCGACTTCCACCAGAGTTCAAGCGCTGCTCCGGTATATAAAAGAAACCGTTGTGGCCTTGGAAGCCGAGTTTAAGGCCATGAATGATCTGGCTCAGCGTTACGTCAGCATCATAGACGAGGACGTGAAAAAACAAGGGAGTGAGGTATCTCTCGAGTTTTTCGAGCTTCTTGTGACCGGAGTGCCTAGCGGTATCCTGAAAGAATGGCTGGTCGATGTGTTGACCGAAAGGGTAACGACACCCTCCCTTTCTTCCCCTCTCTTTCTTCTTTTTTAGGCAGTACGTTAACACCTGAGTGGCAGGGCCAAAAAAGATGGGAGAAAAGTTCTATGAATGGGTATGAAACGCTCCGAAGGCTAGTACACGAGAACCTTCTACCGACTTGCGAAAGATTGATTGTCTTATTTTGCCGCCTACGAGGTTTGGCTAGATGGTGTGTCTTTGGTTGGCTCCTAATTTCGTGGCTCAAGATTAAATCTTTCTAGGAAAGAGCGAGGGAGCCCTCTAGGTTTGGATCCAGACGACTTCACCCGTTGCTTGGACGTTGTCTCAGGCCTAACTGTCTTCGCGCATGAGTTCCTCTTAAAGCTCAACAGAGAATTAGAACACTATGACGCTTTTGCTTCATGGCTCAGGCACACACTAGACGAATTGGCCACTGTCATTAATATCGATGACAAACCTCCAGAAGACCCCCAGATTGACACCCTCAGGGTTTCCGAATACATTAGCGAATATCTCAAAGAGTCCTCCTTACGGCACTTTTTCCGTTCTGCGAAAGGTCCAACGATTAGTGAATACAAGGGAAAGGGAGAGAGCATCTTTGAACTTTATGCTAGGCCTAAAACTAAAGACACCGAATTTCCGGGCTTCTTTGAGCTGACAGAGTACCTCGAGGATCTTTGCAAAACTGTATTCGCCAAACCCCAACAGGCAATGAGACAACAACTAAGAGTCGGGAAGCCAGTGGTCATCTCAGACCATAACAAAGGCATGGGGGACATGAGGATGGTGACCAAGGAGGGGAAGCCAGTCGGATATTTGGCTTTCCGAGGGGGTGATGGCAATGATCTCATATTAATACGATGTGACATATCAATCGTAGGAGGATTGAGCTCTGTTTTGAAGACCGGATGCGCTAGGGTTTCGCTAGCTGCTCAGGAAGGGAAAGGAAGTCTGATAGACTTTCAGTTTGTTGACGACGAGACAATAATTCTCTTATTTGCTGGCCGAGGTATCAGACGCATTCCAATTCCCACTCCCAAGTTTAATATGCTGAGCCAAGATATTCCACCCCAGATGGCCACAGCTCTGAGATGATGACAATCGCTTGCAATGCAATCAATTACGATGAAGACTATGACCCGGAGGATCTTGCCGAGAGCGTCTGCTCATACGCGGATAGCCTCGACGGCCAAAGTATTGATATTGTGAGCAGGCGTGTATTCGATCCTGGATTCACGCCTTCTCAACTCACGGTCAACGGGAGGAAGGGGAGACGGGTGGGGTGTGTTGTGGCGGAAGACCGAGTAACATATTTAGTTTTCGACATAGATCAAGGAGAAGATGGCGACGATCATGATCGTGATGATGATGACGATGATGATGAGGAGGAGGATGGAGGGATGGCTGTCGATAACGGGGAGGATGCAAGTGATTATGAATAAAGCAGCATACAGATGGTGGTGCTGGGGTTGGGTTGGCGAGCAGATGGAAGCCGATATCTGTTACCCGTATATTCACCTTGTTTTTATAGATGGTTACTCTGCGTGCTCTAGATAAAGCATTATTAAAAGTATAAATATTGCTCTAACTTAGGCTCGAGACCTAACTCTAGCAGGATAATGTACCGGAGCTTTAACCAGGACCCTACTACGAGACTTTTGCCGACCGCCAGCACTGCCTTTGAGAACGAAGAGACAAGGCGTGGGATACCCGTACATCTGCAGACACCATACACATTTTAAATCATGTCAATGGCGGGCTTTTATGGCCCCAACGAAACTACCGCTTGTAGGTTACCAGGTCTTTGAGTGCCCCCGTTAGCTGAAAATAGGAAGCACAGTACCATAAAAGACTCCTATTGCAGGGCGGAGAATTTCTGAACCAGGAGGCGAAATATCTACCGTTAGCTGAATAGCCACGAAGCAACGAGACGTAAGTTGTGAAGCGGGTAGAGTACCTCTACCGATCCTGCCCACGGTAAGCATGATACTGCCGTATTCGTCGACTGGACGAAATACTAAAGCAATAATTGCATCGAATCCTTTTCCGTGCTTTTCTTTTTTTTTTCCCCCTCCTACCATTACCAACGCACTAGGGCAAATTCACCACCATATCATACATATTCTTAAATCGACCAACTTTCCCCATCACACAAGTTGAGTGGCTTCTTTGCAGGAGCACCAGCACAACAGACCAGTACGAGTACCGGTAGATGGTGAAAAAAAAAGTTGTTTTTCCCCTCGCTTCTAGATTTCCCGATAAGCTTTTTCGGTGTTCTGATCCCTTCTTCTGACTTGCCTCACTTTGGTCTGTTTTTATCCAATTCCCTTTCCTCTTTCATTTCTTTTTTCTTCTTCTCCCTTTTGGCTCCTTTGTCTGAGCTGTGAGTCCTCCTCACCCAAGCGCTTCCTTTGGATTCTCCAGTTTTCGCGGATGACTAAGGAGAGGCATCAGCCCCTATTGGCTGGATGGTGACTTTGAGACAGAATGCCCGTTGCACGTTCGCTAACCCCAAGAAAGCACTCTCCCCTGTCGTAGGCGTGGTACCGTACATCACCTCTCCTCTCATCAAAGCCCCTCCTCGCCCCTTGAAAACAAAAAACCTTCCCTCCTTTTTCCCGCCCTATCCCCCCCGCCAGTGAAAGTCAACTCCCGCCTACAAAAATATCCTTGGGTAGGAAAAAGTAACAAATTCCTATCTTTAAGAGAAACCATCGGAAAGAGGTTCGTCACTGCACACACATCCTCCTCAACCAAACGTTAATTCACCCCTCATCCTACGGATTTCACAGACCCTCCTGACCGTGGACTGTGCTAGATTCCAGGGAACAATCTCAGATTGTCCGGCTCCCACTTGAACGTTGTGTAACATCACTTGCTCTACAAGCCATTTGTTGTGGCCGCGTCAAACCTTCGGGGTCCAACTTCTCTGCCCTCTCAGTGACAGCCTCGTGCTTCTTTCAGTAGACGACACCACGGTTTCATCACTCCCTCTTCCTCGACCCTTGACGGCTTAGTCTTCCTCCTCCGGATCCCGTTGTCACCCATTTTCCCATCTAAACAACTCTACCACCACTAACACTACAACCACTGCTACCACTCCCTCATCTCATCCACTCATCCTCATCTCGAACACAGCCAACCGCAACCATGAATGTTTCCGAGGTGTTGGCCAACACCCTCTCTGGGGGTAAGTTCATCCTCGGTTGCAATCTTCTTCCCCCGCTCGAGAGATATTAACGATCCTGCTTTCGTTGCAGATGCCACGATCCGTAATGCCGCCGAACAGCAACTCTCGACTGCTGCCTCTCAACATTTTGTACGTTTGTCCATCCCTGCCCCCCGCCCTCCATATCCCTCTATCATGAAAGTGATCTAACCGTCCATCGACCACAGCCCGAATATCTTCAAATGCTCTCGGCGGAACTCGCCAATGAAGAAACACAACCGTTCATTCGAAGTGCTGCCGGCATTGCTCTGAAGAATGCTCTTACCGCCAGGGAACGAACACGTTTGCTTGAAGTGCAACAGAAATGGACTTCGCAGGTGGACCCCACTATAAAGGAACAAGTGAAGGAGAATTCGCTTCGAACGCTTGCATCAAACGACAATCGTGCCGGAACCTCTGCTGCTCAGCTTATTGCGGCTATTGCGGCCATCGAACTGCCTCAGAACCAGTGGCAGGGATTGATGCCTGCGCTGGTCCGGAATGTTGGGGAGGGTTCTGACAGTCTGAAGCAATCCTCACTGACCACTATTGGCTACATCTGTGAATCGGAGGATCCCGATCTTCGGGAGAGCTTGAACCAGCACTCAAATGCGATCCTTACCGCAGTAGTCCAGGGCGCCCGGAAGGAGGAGTCTAACAATGATGTACGGTTTGCGGCTATGGTGGCGCTAAGTGATTCCCTCGAATTCGTCAGGACGAACTTCGACAATGATGGGGAACGAAATTATATCATGCAGGTTATTTGCGAAGCGACCCAGAGTGACGACTTCAGGATACAGCAAGCAGCCTTTGGCTGCCTAAATAGGATCATGAGTCTTTACTATGATAAGATGAAATTTTATATGGAGAAGGCTCTATTTGGTCTCACCATCGTTGGGATGAAACATGACGAGGAGGAAGTCGCTAAACTAGCCATTGAATTCTGGTGTACAGTGTGTGAGGAGGAATCCGCTATCGAAGACGATAACGCTCAGGTAAGCAGAAAATACAAACGAAAGTACATCCATTTGAACCCTAATATCTTGCAGTATCAAGCCGAGGGTGGGACCGAGCTTCGGCCATTCTTTAACTTTGCTCGAATTGCAACCCCCGAGGTTGTTCCCGTATTACTGGAGCTCCTTACTAAGCAAGATGAGGATGCTGGGGACGACGAGTACAACATTTCTCGCGCCGCTTATCAGTGCCTGCAATTATACTCTGCCTGCGTTGGCGGGTTGGTTATCCAACATGTATTGGCATTTGTGGAACTGAATTTAAGACACGAGAACTGGCGTTTAAGAGACGCTGCCGTTTCAGCATTTGGAGCAATCATGGAGGGGCCCGACATCAAACTTTTGGACCCCCTTGTTAAGCAGGCTTTGCCGATACTTGTGGGAATGATGAACGATAAGGTTTTGATGGTCAAAGATTCTGCTGCATACGCTCTTGGAAGAATCTGCGACTGTTGTGGAACGGCTATCGATCCCGAACTGCATCTGCCAAGTTTAATCCAGGCGCTGTTTTCTGGCCTCAAAGACAGCCCCAAAATGGCCAGTTCTTGCTGTTGGGCTTTAATGAATTTGGCGGATAGATTTGGAATCGATAGCGAAGGGGAGGAAAACCCATTGTCAAAGTACTTCAAGGATAGCGTGAGCGCCTTACTTGCCGCTACAGAGAGGTGTGTCCACCAGTTCCGGCCCAGTTCTCACTCTTTATAAACTTATTGGCGGGTAAGACGGCTCTGACATATCTTAATTGTGCAGACCAGATGCGGATAACCAACTACGAACAGCTTGTTATGAAGTACTCAACTCTTTCATCACCAACGTCGGCCAAGATGAGTTGCCATCGATTGCACACCTATGTAATGTCATCATAGAGCGACTAGAAAAGACCATTCAGCTCCAAAACCAGATCGTTAGCCCCGACGACCGTATCACTTTGGAGGAAATGCAGACAAGCTTGACAGTAGTCATGGGAGTAGGTTATCCATCAATGCGGTATAAATATCGAAATACTGGCTAATGGACATGTTAGAGTATCGTCCAACGTTTGGAGAAAGAGATCGTGCCCCAGGCAGACCGTATTATGCAAATCCTTCTTCAGATCCTTAGTATGCTACCGCCCAATTCCTCTGTTCCGGACGCTATCTTTGGTACGGTTGGGGCGATGGCAAATGCTCTTGAAGAAGATTTCACCAAGTATATGGAAGCATTTGCGCCTTTCTTGTTTAATGCATTGAGCAACCAGGAAGAGCAACAGCTTTGCTCCGTGGCCATTGGCCTTGTGAGCGACATTTCTCGTTCAATAGGCGACAAAGTAGCCCCTTACTGTGACAATTTCATGAATCACCTACTCAGCAACCTTCAGGTTGGTTTACCTGCTAAATGTAACCTTTTGCCATGATACTTACTATTACCGTAGAGTAATACCTTAAGTCAGCAGTTTAAACCTGCTATCCTGCAATGTTTCGGAGATGTTGCCCAAGCTATAGGGGGCCTCTTCGAGACTTATCTCCAAGTCGTTATGGGTGTGCTTCAACAAGCTGCTTCTATCTCTCCTGCACCTGATAGCAACTATGAGATGGTGGAATACGTCATTTCTCTTCGTGAGGGTATCATGGATGCTTACGATGGCATAATTATCGCCCTCAAGTCAGGGGACAAGAGTGAGTCGCCCACAATCAGCTCAATCCCGTTCTCAGGACGTTTTGAACGAATCTAACCATCCCAGCAGCTCAGCTTCTTGCACCATATGTTCAACATATCTTTGGGTTCCTCTCAGCAATTAACGCCGATCCTAACAAAACCGAAAATCTGATGAGATCAGCTATGGGTGTCCTCGGGTATGTTATTTGTTCACAGTTAATACGAATCCTCGGGCTTACACCATCTAGGGATTTGGCGGATGCATTCCCCAACGGTGAAATTTCTCAGTACTTTAGGGCGGATTGGATTAATGCAATGATTAAGGAGACTCGCTTAAACCGCGAATACGCTCCCAGAACTACTGAGACGGCCAGATGGACTCGGGAACAAGTCAAGCGCCAGCAAAGCCAGCCCTCTTAGACGCTTAAAAAAAGAAGGCCGTGATGGAGATGGTCCCTGTTTGCTTGAATAGAAATAAAGACGGCCTGGGGATTATACTCGTCTTTCCTAGACGATAAACTTATAATTCAATAGGCTGATCATTTTCAAATTGGGCATTGGCTTCGTTTTTTTCATATGTTTGTGTTTCTCAACTCGGTTCATGGGGGAGTTTGTCGTTTCTATAAGCCTCTCCTCTTTCTCCTTTTTTATTCCATGAAGGCTATTATCTGTCGGTAATGACCATCACGCTACAGGAGTTCGAATCTGTTTTCTTACCAGATGAGATTTCCAAGTATGTGGATGGTTCTATTTCACTTCTCTTTTTCCCCTTCTCTTTTCCTTTAACCCTTCTCATTCTCATCCTGTCAATTTTTTTGTATCTCTTTTTTTAGATGGATCGGTTTTGTTTTTTTGAAGACAGGCTCCTATCTTTGTATTCCCTGTGTTTGTTTTTTGTCTTTCCTCCTTTCCCCTTCCCACAGCATCAGATTTCCCCCTCCCCATCCCCAATTACCCAATTTTCAATCACCATATAACCAACCGCATCATCCCGCAAATGATCACATGATTTCATATGTCGTTTTCTTTCTCCTTTCCACCAGACTTCCCATACAGTTCCCCATCCCTCACCCACCCTGCCCAGGCGCCAATTGAATCTAATCCAATCATCAAAATTATTAAACCCTGTTAATTAGCGAATTTCTCTTCTTTTCGTGCCTCCTTCATGTGCCCCTGCCCGTCATGATACGCTTTCATCCATCATCCATTTCCATATATTTCCTAGTCCACCAGTCACGCACTCGACGTCGATTCTTGTGGGCTGTTTGTAGGTCTGTAGATTGTTCGGCTGGTTTTGTTACAGATTAGGGCTGGCCCGGCTTGACGTGCTGTATAAATCGTGGGGAGGACGGAAGGGGAAATGTAAATTGTGAGGAGGCAAGAGGGAGAGGGTCTTGCGGTGCGTATTTCATTGGGGGTTATGAATGCGGGTTGGGTTGGCTGGATCGGCCGGGGGGAACACCTCCAAGGGGAGGTGTCTTTTTTATCTGCTCATTAAAATAGCAGCAGTGGGAAGAGAAGGGAATGGATAGAGTTTGGGTTAGATTGACGGTTTGTGGATGTATGTGGCGCGGCGGTAACGGTGGTATGGGTGTAAGGGGCCGTTTGGCGTTACGGTTTTGTGTGGTTACCAACCATGGTTTGGCCATAAAGCATAAAAACTGACCAATTATGGCCCTTAAAATGGATTATATAAGCAGGCTTTGAGGCCAAACCATGGTTGGTAACCACACAAAACCGTAACGCCAAACGGCCCCTAAGATTTTACGGGCATGAGCGGGGGAAGGACAGGCACGGGGTGGGGGGCTGGTTAAGTCATGGCACAGGGATGGCATCTTGGGAATTTTCGTACATCCTCATGGGCAATCACTCGAGACTATTATATCAGAGCTCCGCAAACAAAACAGAAGCGCCCTTTCTTTCTCTCTCCTCGTCACCCCCTTCTCCTTTGGTTTCCAAACACCATCGCAATGTAAACGTGGCCTTCATCATTAGAGAGGGAAGGGGGAAAGGAGAATAAAGATGAGAAAAGAAACACATGTGTACTGTAAGTTATCTAGCTCTCTTACTCACCTATTTGCTCTACTCGCTCAATCAAGCCCACACCAACTTCCTCAGATTGTACCCCCATTGCTCCAACAACCCCGTGCTCTTCCTCGCCTCTGCCAATCCAATAACGTCCTTGTTCTCCACAAACGTTTCCATGGCAAGGGCAGGTCTACACTTTGCACACGCATTAGCAATCTCCTGGCAGACACCCCTCACGAGATCCACCTCGTTGTTCTCGCCGTCAGCGGGCGCCTTGAATGCCATTATGCGAGTTGCGGAGGACGAGGAAGTGGCAGTTGCCACAGCTTCCGAGTAGGTGTCCGAGTCGCCATGGTCGCGATATTCTCCCATGGGCTTCGCGAAGGTGCTCTTCAGAGAGCGGGTGTTCACCCGGACGAGTTCTCCAGTACGTGGGGGGCGGTATCTTAGAAGGAAGCCGACGTTGCGTCTTTCGTCGGTGCTGGAAGGGGTGAGGGTTGAGGTTATGTATGTTCCTAAGGTTTCGGTCAGTTTTTGTTCTTATGCCGAGAGAGAAGAGGGGGGGGGTATTGCCCCATTGAACGCCGACGACGTCTTCTAATTCAATCCTTTCAAACTCGCTGACCTTTTCCACTCCAAATTCAAACCTACATCTATAGAGTGCTCTGTCTGTAACTAGGATTACGGCCTCTTGGAGGGGGGGGTTGCGTCTGCTGCCTTCACCTAAGGGCGTCAGGAATGCCCAGCCCCCGAGTACGACCTCGTTCTCATCCTCTACAACGATTCTAGCGCTAATCTCGACTGCATTCTCGCGAACTTTCTTCATGGATACTGCTGGGTCCGCAGTGATCATTTCCTCCTCAAATTCTTCAAAAACCTTAGATGTGACGTTCCCAAGCAGGAAATCAATGGCCGCCTGGGTGAAGAAGTCGGATACCACATTTGTGAAGAAGCGGGTGAGGGTTAATCCAAAATCTGTAAGGGCCCCGCGGTAGTTGCGTTTCCGGGTGCGTGTGAAGTCGCCCTTGAGTGCCGCTGTTGACGCGTATTGCTTTGATAGAGCATCGCCATTGTCAGCCCATAGGTTATTAAAGCCTGTCGATGTTTCTGTCTCTTCTTCCACAGACATCGAGGTTATCCCGAGAGATATCAGCTGTTTGTCTAATGAGTTGCGAGCACAGAAGGATTGCACAACGTTAGTTCTGTCGAGACAGTCCATGCAGTTCGTTCTTAGTACGCCTGACTGATTCCTAACTCTCTTTGGCTTCTCGTTCTCCTGAATTTCCTCGGTGTACTCGAACTTATCCAATGTTTCCCCAATCTCATCGAATAGAAGCTTGACATTTTCGAATCTCATCCCTCGGCATTCCCGGTGGAAATCAAACCAATTAAACCCAACTCCTTTGTTGGCATTGGGCAAGTTCTCGAATGAACTTTGGAATTTTTCTCCAATGATTGCTTCATTACCACGTTTCTCGACCAGGCTCACTACGTGTATATCGCCATATCTCTCCTTGATGTTTTTGAAATGTCGTTGGAAGGCTTCCGCGTTTGCAGCCTCACTACGAAGCAGCACTGGCTTGGGCCTCAAGGCATACGGGGATTGTTGAAAGTAAAGTGGAATGGAACCTCTAAGTTGCACATGAGAGAAAATGCGATTCCAATTCGGGTCAGAAAGTATTTGTTCAGTTTCTACACAGTTGGCGACGTCACCGGTGTCGTCGACCCCGCGGCGAAGGTAACGAAGGCCGGCCCGCTTAACAGAGCGACGGGAAATAAGGGTCACAAGAAGGCGTTGCTTTCCATCTTCATGTGATACTTTTGTGGCTTTTTGTTTGCCGGACTCGGTAGGCGGCCATAACTTGGAACCTGAGGGCACTGTTGTGGAGAATTGGAATTGCCCAACAAATCCTTGCATCAAGGGAAGGACAAATGTGCCATTTCCAGACTCAAGAAACGGGCTCTGCAAGGCACGGTTCCAGAAAAACTACACAGCAAAATAAGGAAATATGAGCCAAAGTGACCAACTTGACACCATGAAAACCACTAGTGTGCACAACACAATATTGCACATGTGCAAGGCAAGGATATTTAGGAGTGAGTGGCACACACCAGGGGATCAACAAATTCGTGCAGGGGCAAGCTTGAGCCCCGGCTCTTCCTCTCCTTACTCCACGTTCTTGTGATATCCCAGTCGTAGCTAAAGAAGAAGCTTCTTGAAGATGCCAGCAGGATTCGGGTGGTGTATAGTAACTTAGGAGTAAGGCTGTGAGCTACCTCTCCCCCCATAGTCTCAATATTCTCCTCTGTCTCCTTTACGGTGCCGTTTTCGCGCTTGCTACCCTCGGGAACATTTGCAGGGACACTGATAGCATCAACTTCTGCGGTGCCAGGGGCAGGCTGGTTCTCGGGCTTCTTTGTAACTATTATTTCTTCGCCGGGGGCACTTGCGGTGTCTCCTGTTACGGCTCTAGGTGCTTCCTCTCGAGTGCCTTCATCACTGCTAAGACCCTCAGCTCTTCTCCGGTCCATAGCCCACCCCCTCTTAGAGAACCATTTCTCGGCAAAACGTCCATAAACTCCCTTCCTTCCGATTACATCTTCGCCGATTGAGCTCTGCCGCCTGTGATTCATGGATTTCGAATCCGGTTTGACATGGTCTTGAAGCTCGTCGTCAATGACAGCCGTATCGTCGTTTTCCCCAATGTCGGTATCCGTCGCCCCGTCCGATTCTGCCTCGCCTACTCCAAACTTCCTAGCCCGAGCCTTGAATATAGCGGCTTCCGCGTCCCTACGGGAAGAGAGCGGGATCAGTGCAACATCAGTGACCACGTAGACTGGGTAACGTCCCCGGATAGTAGCCACTTGCTCACGATTTGTTATCGCAATTAGGAAGCCACTGGCTGGAGATACATTCATTAACCCTACCCATCACCCATCCACATGGGGAAATTTGGTTAGCCCTTGCTATAGAGTGGATCAGAGGCGTTGATTAGCACGAACCCGCGATTCCATGTGTCTCTATAGAAGAAGACAAAGTGCTAAGAGCCTCTGCGGCCTGAGATTCTTGGGTCGGATTGTAAGGGGTTATGAGTTTGGACCCGTAATCAATTCTCACTGAGCCGTGCAGCGGTGAAGGCCGCATATTGTAGGAGTTTTGAACAGGAGATAGGATGAGGCCATCGATTGCAGCTGTTATGAGTATTCTCCTCGCGAGCGGGGGCATTTTTACTGACCTAGGAGTGTTCTCACTCACTCGAAGAGGGACTGGGAGTGGTTTATCCGTCATAGAGTCAATGAGGAGGGTTAAGGATGGGCCTGTCAAGTAGTACCTTTTGAATGGCTGGGTGAGACACCTTCGAAGGGACCAGAAGCAGCGGGAAGTGAGCAGGAAAGGGGAGTGGAACGTTGCGAATAGAGTGAAAGATAAGATCATTGTACTCGTACATATTATGACATGCGGGCTATTCTAGAATAGTATCATGGAGACGTGAGTGCGCACGCCTAAGCCTCACCGTATCACATTGTAAATTCCTTGTGCTCAAGTATTATGCTTCAAAAGTCGCTCTGGTGGGAGAACTTGGATCAGTTGGGACCCTACGAGCAGACCGGTACCGTACTTGAAGTTGGATTGGCGGGTGAAAGGGTGTCGACATGACGTGTGAGGCTGAGATGGAGCCGCCGAATCCCAACTTGTCAACAACAGCAGCGGATCCTACGATGCTCGAGTGTCCGGGTACTCTTGAAGCGTGAAACGATAAGGCAAAGTGCAGAGAAAAGAGCTGGACAAAATAGCTATGGCACCGAATACCAGCATCATACCAAAAACCAGGTAATTATCGAATAATTCCGATTTTCCCTGTATTTCATGGGGCTGTCCTGGATTATCTCGGCCGGTGCCGGTGAAAGCATGCCTTGAAGTTGGGTGGAGGCATGGGTCCCAATCGATCGTGTCAGCCGGGGCTCGAGTCAAGGTGCGAGTACCGTATACCGTAGCATAGCACTAGAGCACAGATATAGTATCATGTAGAAATCCCAGAGAACCCCGGGAAATGGGGGTGAATACTGCCTTTGTTGGCCCCAGGCTTCCTTCCATAGATATTTGTGACCATGCGGCGGCAGGTGGGTGTTGAAGGCGAGGGAAACCACCCCCAAGAGCCAAAGAGCATCGCGATATGCACAACACTCTACATTAATCTAGCCTTGCAAGAGAGCCCCGTCAGTCCTCAGATACCGCAGCTTATTGCCCTGCTTGACGAGAGCCAGTGGTATCATAAGCTCATAACAGCAGTGGAGGCCTCGATCCTTGCCCGTGGTTCACAAACGCTCGATGCCACTTCACCAGCCCAAGCACTGTCCCGTCGGGCACTTGTATTGATACGATGCTGCGCACAAAAGGCCCCCAAGAAGAAGCTTAGTCACGAGACCCCAGCACAGCACCAGTATCGTCTCTGCCAAGACATAGTACCGGTATTCGCGTGGGAGCGAGAAGAGTCCAGGCCGAGTGACAGAGTCAGCCTCCACTGTAATTTTCACCTCGCACACCAAACAAAAACTCTCTCCTCCCACAGTATCACGTCGATATCTCTCATTTCATCCCTCACCTTCCATTTTCACCTCCCCTCTACGGTTGCAATTCACCTTTGAATTCAGACCGCCGTTGCCCCCTCCCTCTTTCTCGAGGGAATTACATCCGCCTAGTTTCCTTGCCTTGCTTTCTCCACGTCACCCTCCACCATACAGAGCCGTCGTATTTATTCAACACTGAACGGTCCACGCCCCAGCTTAGCCTCCGTTTCCTCAAACCGCATGTAATCACCGATAACTAGCTCGACACCAACAACCAGACCTCCTCAGAATCCACCAGCTGTTGCTGTACGGTTCCTCACTTCTAACCATGGCTGATAACGATGTTTCGCAACTATCGGAATCGCAGCAACAAGCTCTAGAACAGTTTACAGCGGTTACTGCTCAAGAAACTAGAGAAGCTATCCCCTTATTACGAAGGTCGCAGTGGAACCTCGAGGTGGCTGAAACCCCTTAGTCTGGCTCTTGATCCCTCCCCACTGACATCTGCGCTTCTAGCTTGCCATTGCAAAGTTCTATGACGGCGAGACCGCTGATCCCGCGGCCGAAGCCATTGCAGAACGGGCAGCAGCACCAGCAGCAGCTCGACCCCAAATTCCTCCTCCTTCGCCCCTACCCGCTCCCGGTCCCCCTCCGAGAGCGGGCTCACGAAACCGCGTCACGATCTCACCCGCTCCCCGGATCGTCCCACAACCCACCGCAGTGTCTCGACGCCCATCGCTTCTAATTTCACTCCTACTATTCCCATTCTCACTGGTATGGCGACTTAGTAACTCCTTTGTCTCTCTTTTCTATACCCTCTTTCCCTTCTTGGCTCGGTTCCGTACAGCGATTTCCCCACCATCGCGAACACAGACTGCCCGCCGCTCACAGAACCCCCGGGACACTGCTGCTAGGTTCATCCGATTATTCGAAGAAGAATATGGAACAGATACCGGGCTGGAATTTTTTGAGGGGGGCTATGCCCAGGCCCTGGATTTGGCGAAGAATGAATTGAGGTTCTTATTGGTGGTTCTTCAGAGCGATGAGCATGACGACACGGCATCTTTCAATAGAGAAACATTGATAAATCCTGAAGTTGTTGGATTTATTAAGACGCAGAACATTATACTTTGGGCTGGGAGTGTTCAGGACAGCGAGGCATATCAAGGTATTTTCCAATGGCCGCTACTTAACCTAGTTTTTCTGATGGGTTTGGTACTTCATAGTTTCAGCGGCCCTCAACTGCACCAAATTCCCTTTCGCCGCATTGATAAGCAGAGCCCCTTCCTCAACCAGTAGCTCTCAGGGAATGTCTGTTGTCTCACGCATTGTTGGGCCAACACCGCCTCAATCCCTCGTCTTAAAGTTGACGACTGCCATAACGACCCATTCTGAGACTCTCGAGCGGATCCGTGCTACCCGTGCTGCACACGAAGCAGGTAGAGCTATCCTTGAACAGCAAAACTCGGCATATGAGCTATCCCTTGCCCGAGATAGGGAGATAGCCAGAGCCCGCAGAGAGGAGGCAGAGAGAAAACTTAGGGAAGAGGAACTCGTCCGGGCCAAAGCGGAGGAGAAGGTATTGTTGGCGAATAATAGGGTTGCATGGAGGCAGTGGCGAGCTAGGACCATCCCGAAAGAGGAACCAGCTGGTGAGGATACAGCTAGGGTTAGTATCAGACTGAGGAACGGCAAGAGGGTAACTAGGGGGTTCAATGGGAGCGCCAGTATGGAGGAGGTGTATGCCTTCGTGGAGTGCCTAGAGTATTTAGACGAGAGCGCAACCAATGAGAAAGCGCTGGAGAGACCAAGTGGGTACACCCATGAGTATGGATTCAAGCTGGTCAGCCCGCTTCCAAGGCGGGTATATGAGTTGCAAAGTGGGAAGGGTGGATCTGAAAGAACTATCAAAGATTGTCTTTGGCCTACGGCAAGTCTTGTCGTCGAAGTTGACGATAGTGAAGACGATGAAGGAGAGGGTAATTAGCTAAAGCGGACTACAAAAGGGCTAGAATATGCAATTTACGAAACGCTACTGATATGTGCAGAGTGTACCTGGCCGCACCGCAATAGCCCATATTTTGTGGGGCGGCGCCTATCTAAACCAAAGGCGCTACCGTGTGTGGCTTAAAATATTTCTTTAGTCTCAGTGCAATTCACTTTCCTGGCATTTCCTTTCGGGATTTCAAGGTTCTTTAAATGTTTTTGTAGCTCACTGTCTTTAGTTTTAGGGGCTTTTCCCCCTTTTTTTTTGGTGTACGTTTGGTCAAAGGTGGGACGCATGGAAAAGGGATTTGCTGGAAGGGCCGGGCTCTTCTGCTATTACGCTGCAGTAGATGACGGTACCCTAAGGTAATGTGATGGAGTATATAGCTTACGTTATTAGGGAGGCTTTGTGGAGACTGTAACATGAACCATCCTTATCACGGGAGCAACAATTCTAACCTCTCTAACTGTGTGCAAGTGCTCTGTAAACTAGCTCCACTTTGCACGGTCTTGTCATGGGGGCGGTACCCGTACAGGAGGAATACCGGTATTGTACCGGTATGATTGTACGGTACGAGTACAGTACCGTACTGCACTAGTGACACCCGGGCCCTCTCTGCAGAGTTTGAGTGCCGTACTAATGCAGAAAAGCACTCGTACCATCGTTAGGAAAGAATACTCACAACTATCAGGCGAGGAAAGGCGACGACAATAAGTTGATAAAAATAACAGAATTATTCCCGAAAGTACGAGAGATATAATAGTTTGCCTTTATACAGTGCGAGTAATTCTTTAGGGAACTCTTGAGGAAATGCGGTATGATACGGTTCTATATCACACCAGGCATACAGTAACGCGGTGGGATTCCAACAAGTCCTTTTTCGCGGCCCCAAACAAGGTACTGGTAGGCCATTACAAGTAAAATAAATAGTCGTCTTCTTTTCTCTTCCACGAGTATCTAAATTTGGCTTGAACTAATTTGAGCTGTGATCGAATGCAATATTTTATTGAGCACGAGCGAAATGTTGCATTTGGCTGGCATAATATTGTATATATATCTGTACGAGTATTATATCTCATAATAAATTTATAGGAATTTTTTTTTTCAATCAAGAAAACAATCAGAATAGCTATGTAAATAATTACAATAAACATCAAATATCATTCCTCGATTATTTAATTATTCTTCTTTATAGCCAAGTGCTATACACAAGATAATTGTGAGTACAACTTTGAGTCCTTAAAATGCTTGGTTCCTGAAGGATTAGCCAGTGTTTGTAGGGACTCGGAGCTAGCTAATTGGGAAATTCCGAGTACATACCAATCATCTCACTAGACTACTTTTCAATGAGGTGATATTATCTTGGAAAATTCAGGCCATGATATCTTAATTTATAAACTGATATAATACACAAAAATACAAACTGCAGTGGGACTTGAACTCCTGTCCTCTGAAATTCAAATTTGGTAAAAGAATACCCTTTGCCCTCACTGTTTAAAGCATTTCAAGGTGCACCCCCATGGTCCACATTATAGACGCTGTCCACCATATAGGCAGAATTAAAATACAAAACCGGTACTGTACTCGAGTAGAGCGTCATGTCCTAGCTCTTTGTGGTCCGGGCTAAACCTTTCAGAGCTCTGGTTTTGACGAAATTGTAAGTTTCACCTCGGCCACTTTTTATTTCAACCCTGAAAGTGTCTGTCGGTTCTCGCCAGGTAATGCGGTATTCTGTGCGGCACAGGAGGCCCGCGACCTCGCTGGTATTAAAAGGGTTTTCTCTTTTTCATTCTTCCTTACTTACAGCAGAGTTTTGTTGAGAAATAGCTTTCATGGGGGGCTGTACTCGTACTGTACAGGTACGGTACTCGTGCGGAAGGGTTCGCTTTGGAGACTCAGATACGGTATCACATCACGCTCGAAGTCCGGTGGCTTGCATGGGGAGGAGGATGGAGGTTGTGTGAGTGATACAAGGATTCCTAATTAAATTTATGATATTACTATTGACTGGGTGCACTTTAGGGCTCGTTCCAACTTTCAACACGCAGTCAAGACCCAAGTCTTCTCCTTACCGCACACCCCGAGCACCCTCTCCGTCATTTCTCCCTCACCACACACTCTCCACTTCAACACCACACAGCGAAGAGCAATCATTTCACACGGTGAACTGAGCCTCTTTCCTGTCCTGCAGGCAATTATTGTAGTTGTGTTGATTCTATTTTTTTTCTTTTTTTCCTTTCTTGATCACGAAAAGCGCGTCGCAGTACCCGACTCTGCCGACCAGTTTTCCTCTTCCTTCTTTTTTTTTTTTCTTTTTTTCTTTTTGCTGGTTTTGCCCAATCTGCAAATTTTACTCCAGCCCAGCCCTTCCCCGCGTGCCCCTTTCTTTCATCGCCGCGTCCACGCCCAACTTTCCCACCTCACAACAAACACCTACCTATCATACAAATAACCCCCTCGCCCCCTTCCACTCTTACACCAGCGGTCTCCATCGACCACCTAACTCAGTCCCAATAACCAACTTACCTACTAACCGTACAGTTTCCCCTGGAGTATTCACACCCTAGCCGAGACGCCACACACAGCCTGGCTGACCGCATCGCGAGTTTGCTCCTTCGAACAAGCCTTGAACGGTCTTTTTCTTGGCTAGCTGGTGTAAACCAACCTGATTTATGAGCTTAGTAGTTCGAGGCGGTGTCCCTATTTCGATTTTTGACCGTCGGACTGCTCCACCTACTCCGTTTTCCGATCTTTCTGACAACCCAGACACTCCTGGGACAGCTTACTCCTTCCAGGACCCCCCGCAACACAAATCCGCCAACATGCAGGCGGGAACAGCACACCATCCGCTACCGGGTCTGTTAGACCACCAAGTTCTTCCCACTACTGACGACGAAATGATGGACTCGGACACCGATATCAGAAAAGATTCGGATTTTGACATTGAGATCGACGCCGACGAAGCTTACTCCAATGCAGGCGGTGTCGATCTTGATGTTAACTACCGCATGGAAGAAGACAACGCTGATAATAGCCATCAACTCTACGATAATGACGATATCATGTTGGATGAAGCGGATGATATCATCTTTGAGAAACAACGGGTGGATGGCGAAGCCGACCCTGTTCCAGATGTGATTCCTACGAGTACAGTTCCTGAGGCTTCGCCAAAAACACCATTAGAGCAACGACCAACTGCCCCCGAAGAACCCAGCACCGCACATAGCATCCCCCCAGCCATTCCAGAACAAGTTGATCAGCCTTTTCTCCCACTGGAAGAACCAAATGCCGGTGAAACTGCCCATCTCGCAGAACCCCAGCAAACAGTATCGCCCGCGGGAGAGTCTCATGGTGCTCTCGCCTTTCTTGGGGATACCGAAAAAGCTGTTGTACATGAAGCCGTTACCCAAGACAGCGATTTGCAACACAAGGACAATGTTTGGAGCGAGAATACATCTGTAACCCTTACGAACGAAGTAGTGTCCTTGGAGGAGCGACAGGCGAATGAAGCAACCGAGCAACCCCATCAATCCGTTGCAGCTGGTAATGAAGTTGAGGAACAAGGTGCTGTCAACCTTGCGAATGAGTCTCCTAGTCTCGACCCACATCAAGTTGTAGTCCAGTATGAACAAAACCACGTCTCGCTATTCCCACCTCCTGATAATGTTGATTTGCCCTTTTTTATCAAAGATGCCGGTGTTTGTCTGAGGGGGATGAATGAGTTGTTTTCGGAGCTTCGTAACGTTTTGGATGGATCTGTTAGCCCAGGAGATGAGTTGGTAATCAAGATTGTGGATTATGGTGTCGAAATTAGCGAGGTGAGCTTCTTCCTTCACCTGATGCTCATGGTTATATATACTAACATGTCTAATGCTGATAGGACTCCAAGTCTTCATATGAATTTTCGCTCCAGCATATCCTCGATCTTCATGTCCGACTAAGTCTCCAGGACAACATTGAAAATCCAGAAGCGCTCCGTTTGGTTTTGTTTTCGCGTCCTAGCGTGTCTGACCGTATCAATATGTTGCTTAGCTCTGCGAACCAAGGCCTTGGTTACAACAAGGCTATCGAGTATGCAGGACGCAAGTCGGGAGACAGCGACGCGAACTCCGAACAGAGATTCGTTGAAGCAAGCGAAGGTGGAGATTTTCAGGAAGTTGAAGCCGAAGATTATAATAATAATGATGACTCACCTGTGGCATTTGCCCATGATACCGATAAGCCCGCTGAAGTAGAACCTAACCTAATAGAAAATCAAGGCGGCGTCTCAGAACAGAAGGAGGAATTTGAGGGAGAGGATGATGATGACGACGATGACGATGACGACGATTTTGACCTTGAATATGGAAACGACGATATTGCTAACGGTGTGGAGGGTGAGGAGAATGAAGGTGGAGCCGATCAGAAGGATGAGGCCCCTGACTCCCCCCCTCCCATCGCAGCTGTATCTAGAGATTCCCCTGCTCCTATTAACGAATCGCCTAACCATGGCTCGGAAACTCCGAGAGCCCAAGAAAATGCAGTACTCGGACTCGAGACTGTCTCTGACAGCGCCTCACCGAGAGATACTCAAACTCCTGACGAGGTTGAGGAGAGTGTTTCCACCGTTCAGGGTGATGAGGCTCACTCCACCGAAGAAGAGGAAGAGGAGCTGATTGAGTATGAGGATTATGAGACATTCGGGGAGTCTGAATCCCACCACAGCCCACACACTGTTAACTCAGAATCAGTGGAGCAAAATCTGGGCGATGACGGACCACCGCCTCGCGAAGATCCGGAACAGCATCCAGGCATGGTTGGGCCAGCTGGCACCCCTCGTGAGCCCTCTCTTTCCTTATCGGCTACCCATTTCCCTATCTTTGTGCAAATTCTAATATGGGCAACAGAAAACTATGAGCAGGAATCTACCGGTAACTGTATCGATCCAGGTGAAAATACTGCTGATGACAATCATAACGAGAGTCATAGCCCCAGCGACGGGGACGTGAACGTAAATAATGAGTCATCATCAATTCCCGTCTTTGGAGGCGATGGTGAAGGTGAAGGCGAAGGCGGCTATGTTGGAGTGCAACATGAGGAGTATGGTGAATATGAGTACGAAGGTCAGCAGGGCTTCGAAGCTGGACAGGATGGAAACCGAGATTATCTCCCAAATGACGAACGGTATGACACTCAAGCCCCTTCGGAGAATAATCATGAGTCCAACATCCACGGGCATAGCCATCCGGAACAAAGTGACCAGCCAGCCGATGACGGGCAAAACCAGTACCTTGATGAGAGTATCGAATATGAGGATGGTTACGAACATTACGATGCCGAGTACGACGGCCCCGTCAACGGACAAGATACTTTCTCCGGTGAAGCAGAGTACCATGTTGGCTACCAGATCTATGACCTCAATCAAGCCCATCTCCGGACCGAATATGATGATGGTGGTGCGGTTGTTGCTGGTGCGAACGAGTCTGGAGTGGCCATAAACGCTGAAAATGATGAGGCTGTCGATAGTCTACATCCACCAGAGCTCGCTCCTGAAGTGGAGTCCTTATTTGGTTACGACAGTGATGAAGCAGAGCAAGACATACTATCGGAGGAAAAACCAAGCACTGAGCAGAAGAGGATGTACGGCGAGTTAGAACAAGACGAAGATGATGATGAGATCTTAGGTTGGTCAAAGTTCTCCAGCCCCTCCACGGCAAGTTCTCCGTCCTCTGACAGAACCTCCTCGCGGCCAGCGAAGCGCCAACGATCAGATTAAGGTCTAAGTCGTCCTTTGCAGTCCTTGCATTCTACCAACGCAAATGTCTTCATTTTCCGTTCTTTTCTTTGCATTCTGAAACTGCTACACCGACTTCCCTAGCGGTTTCTTTTATCGATAACAACGGTTCGCAGGTGTTTGGGGTATTTTTTTGTCCGGCGTTGTTGTTTTTTCCTTTTGTGGTTCCGCTTTCACTTTCTGCAACATCCCGATGTTTTTTTTCTGCGGATGTCTTGGAGGTGCTGCATTCTGTTTCTTTAAGGTGCTGTTGTTCGTACAACAGACCCGAAGGTTCAGATGCCTTTACTGTAAGGCTTCGTCGTGTTCTGGGAAGACTTCCCCACTGCGGTCATAGCCCTCGGCTATTAACTGGCTATCGATCCCGATGGATGTCTATGGTAAAGCTAAATCGGGGGCTTTGTGGCGGCGACTGGATGGATTCAGGGGGATCCTGTTTGAGTTGAATCTCAAAGTATCGAGTAAGTCCGGGATAAGTCACTTATCAACCCCTCCCCTTTCTTTTGTTCCGTCTTTTTCTATCCTTGCTGTTATTGTCTTCACGCTTGGGATTTCCACCCAAGTTTATCTACTTGTAGATTGACTTCGATGCGTTCTACCCTTACCACCGCACACACCGAATTCCATTGTAATACGCACCCTTTATCTTTTGCTTTTTTTTCTTTCCTTGCTACCCTTCCTTGTTGTTTCTCGTCGGTGAGATTATTTCTTTCTACCCTCCACAGCAGACAATTCAGTAGTAAAGCATGTTAACCCGGGAGCCTTTACTACTATATACCTGGCGTTGGGCGGTAATTGGATTTGTTTCATTTCTACTTCGTGTGGCAAAGGCCAATTGCAAATGTAACTACCTCTGTTTCCTTTGTGGCCCTTTATTCTTGCAGGTATCTGGTGGGGTTTCCGGAGCATTGGCGGTAGAAAGTCTCGAACCGTGGAATTATTAACTAGATAATTTTATCAAATCATTTCTCCGGCCCTAGTATATTACATTGTAGGGCGTGGCCTATGGTCTTGCGACCAGCTGTCATGTCCAGTCGCCCGTTTTTGAGCAGCCCACTGGGCACGATGTTGAGTGAGCAAGAAAAGATGTTTAGGGAGTATTAATGTTCGGTACCACCGGTAGTGGTAAGCTTGGGCTGCCGCATCAATAGAGACTTTGCGATTTCGCATCCAGAGTCAAATTCTAGCGATCTCATTGGCCCAGAACCCTGTTTGACCCACATCCAGAGTCTTTTCGCAAAGTCCCTAATATTAGCTCGCTGAGAGCCCTCCATCGGAGCCAGATTGCCCATTCACACCCAGCGCTCTTTGTGGGCGCTTGAATGTGGGGGGCAAAATTTGCCTCTCCAAGTGGCCCGTAGATACACCTATGACCAGCAATATCAGCAAGAGCACGAGCCCAGCATTACTAGCACCACTCCCAAAAATATACTATTCCCCAAGATAAAAAAGTACGTTTCCGAGGCATAGGCGCTGCCGACAGGGGCACTCTCGTCTTCTGGCAGTCTTGGCAAAGTGGGAGGCGCTGTGCTGATTGCTAGGGCCCACCTATAGACTAAGTTAAATCGAAGAACCCTATAAACAAGTATCTGACATGGCCTGATGTTTGGGCACGGGTGAAGTGCGGGGGGGAGACTTTTTACTTTGGCAGGTGCAGCGCCGGTATCGTGAGATTGCTCCACCGAACACCCTTAGGCGGGAGCTCCTCCCCTCTCTCCCGGCAACAGGGTGATGCCGCTCCCGGAAATCCGAAGTGACATGCGGGGTCCCTGTTAGGGCATATCTATTAGGTCGATTAGTGCAAAAACCAAACATTTGCAAACCGCTCGGCTGGTCTAGTGGTATGATTCTCGCTTAGGGTAATACCTTGAGAATGCTTGCGAGAGGTCCCCGGTTCAAACCCGGGGTCGAGCCTGTTTTTATTATTATCTCTGATTGGGATGGAGTGGAGGTTATCTAGTATCACCCGGGCTTTGTGACTTGCTGAGAATATTTCGGCTCCTTGGTGATGCTAGGTCGTTTGGGCACCGAAAAGCCCGAAAGGAGCTTGCTTCCCTGACCAATACTGACTAACTTCCGCCAAGTCTAGCCTTAGCGTGAATATGATTAAGTGTTTACGGAGTAGCGACAAATTTGACTGTCTCAGACCGTCCAAGGGATATTGCTGGGGGTGGTGCTGTGCCGATGCTTGCATATCTTGTGAAGGAACCCCCAATCTATAATCGGCTCACGATTTGGGCCCGTGGACACTACTGCCCATCAACGCCGGCTGCGTCCCTCGTTTTTCGATACTTCTTTCGGCTTGCTCCTCAACAGTCATATCCCTTCATTCTCTTGCCTATTGCGGTACGTTTCCCATCTCTTGAAGATTAGATACCGGTATGCTAAGGCGTCATTGGCCTCGACAGACAACTGATCGCTGACTGAACACTCGGCCTATTAGTCAGTCAATTACTCTGGTCACCACATACGAAAGTCTAGCTAACACCGGTGAGCACCCGACGAGTTAATCAACGCCCCTACCCAACCGAATCTCCGCAAAACAAAAAAAAAAGGCTTAAAGCCGATGATAGATAAAGAGGGGGTGGACAGGCTACAGATAGCGGGTTATCCGGGCCCCCGAACGGGGGGGGGGCGTGAGAGGTCTTCAGGGTTCAGTTTTGAATAGCCTTTCGATGCCTGAGGGTGATGATATCTCTTGGAACCTGCCTCCCATTGCAGGGCGTCGTCTGGTAGGGCACTACGGTAATTGGTGGTCGAGGACGCATAAACTCATTCTATTCTATTCTCTCGGGGGGGGGGGCACATTGACGGGGGACGATAGATCCTGCCCTGCATGAAGTGACAGGATCTAACGTGCGGACGGTGTTTAAGAGAAGTTTTGGATTATCCCGAGTGCGGGTGGGTACCGTATTGGAAGCAATTACTCTGCCTTTACTATAATACCGACGGTTTTGTACCGCACTCGTACAGGCGCCAGGGTTGTCCCCGGGTTGGATATACCCCGCCAATGATCATTGTCTTGGCGAGCTGCGGAACAAAAAGGGTCGAGGTTAAACAAACATCCTTGGTTTGAAGACGATCGGGTCCAGTAACGTTTCTGGAAGTCTACAGGTTCTAGACATCGTGCTGCCCTACTCCACTGCGCTTTCCTTGTGAAAAGCATGCGCAGTGAGTGATTGTTCACGAGCAGCTCTTTCGCTGGAAATAGCATACCGATAAGACACTTTTTGGTTCCCTTATAGGATGAACTTGGCGTGTTCAAACCCTGGCTGCGGTCGCTGGGAAAGAGAGAGAGAGATAAACCAGGGACTGGGCACATTTCCGGATCGGTTTTACAATGCAATGGGGTTTCCCCGTCTTCTCTGCCCTATCCCGTCCCCAGCTTCAGTACCGTCGATTTATCGGTCGATGTATGATACATGTAGGACCCCTCTGCGAAAATCTCTCACTGTGACACTGGGGAAGACAGGAGGCCCCGCGTAACATTATGTAGAATGTGGACCCCTCTCTCCTCCTCCTGGACCCTTAATGTTACCCTGAACAGCAGAGCGAGAGTAGGGAGGGGGAGCACGGGGTTTTACGATCACAAGGGACAACATAAGTAGTAAGCAGTATCTCCCTGTTTTTTTTTGTTCTTCTCCCTTTCAGTGTGGTGGTGTGTCTGTATCGGTGTCTCTCCACAAGCCTGCAAGTACAGAATCGAAGTGCAATTATCAGCTGAACACTGTGTTTTGGGATCTTCCCCGAGGGTCTTTGAAGATAACCCACACATATACATACATACCACCCACGCCCCACCTCCCCCTCCGTCACCCTCTGCACTCGCTCACTGGCTCACTCCATTGGCACCCCCCGGTAGTTTTAGGGGATCCATACTTCGGAGCTCTAAGAATTCCGGAAATCGAATTTTTTCCAAAACAAGGGAAGAAGTGGAAGCTGTAGGATGGGACATTGCTTCTGATCATCATCTCAACATCGAGGACGGTGCTATTAACCCCACCCGGCACTTTACCGCGAGAGGTGTTGTATATATTCCTCCCATCCGCACTCGGGGCGCGAACTATCCTTACGCTCAGGCTACAGCACAAAGACACGAAGCTCTACCAATACCCCTCCTCCTTTGTACGCGAAAGATAAATACGGTCAATAGAAATCATTGCTACCCCACACCACACCCGCCGACTCAACACACCCTGTCACCCTTAAAATAGCGGGTATCAACGAATTAAATGCCGCACACCCACACTTACTCCGCCAACCTACTTGACCAAAACCTGATCCCATCCCCACCCCACCGCAGCAAGGCGGATGTCCCACGGAAAAACCGTGCTTCCAGGTCCCTAGAATCATGGCTCCTCTCCGACCTCGGCCGCCTCAGCATGACCCCCACCACCCAGAACCCCACCAACCCCACCCGGCCGCCCAACAACGACAAGACGAGGCCCAAAAGCCCGCCGACGACTTGCTATACCCATACCCACTACACCTCTTCCTCGCCTTCATGCGAATGTTCGTGCTCGTCGTCTTTGGCCTCCGAATCGTCGTTCCCGCGATCGCGAGGGCGGACGCCGTCTACTTCTAGTGGCGGCAGTGTCCGAGGACATGGGAAAGGTGTAGAGGAAGGCGATGGACTACCAACGTATGCACCGGCCACGGGATCTCAAGGACGGGGGGGGGTGAAGCGCTGAAGGGTAGGAGCGGTGGGAAGTGGTTCAGCTGCTTCGGGAGGTTGGTGGTGGGAGCGATGATGGGATGGAGAGGGGGAGGGAGGAAGAGGGCTTGGAGGTAATGTTTATTGTCTATTATTATTGTTATTTTTATTATTCTTGTGTTTACCTTTTTTCTTTCCTTCCTCCTATCTATCGATCGCATCTTTGACATGTCTGCTTATTTGGTTGTTTGGTTGTTTAGTTGTTTGGTTGTGAGTCGCGTTAGGTTCTATTCTCTACTTTTTTTTTCTTTCTTTTTTTTTCCCCTTTCCTCGCCTTCGTTCTTTTCATTTCCCGGGAGTTCTGGCTAGATGGATTGTCTCATGTAGACTTAGACTTGGGCCATCATGGATCGGTGTTCGAGTGAGTTCGCATGATTAGATTGATGGCGTTAGTTGGCTGGGTTGGTCTGTCGGAGTTTATTCCTTGGGTACGATACCGGTAGATTTTGATTTTTTTTTCTAAAAAAAAAAGAAAATAATAACATCTGACAATGATATATGGATGAATGGGTAGACGGGGTTAAAATAGCGTTTAAATGTTAGACTCATGTTTAGAGAAAGTACCTCGAGTATAAATACTGTACAGTACGAGTACAGTGGAGCACAAGTGAGTGTGGTATGGGACCAATATCGCCGACCGAAGCCAGCCAAGTGCGGGGAATTCCTGGTGCTATAGCGACGTGCGAGCGGGTGTAGCAAAATTGGTGAAGACAAGATACAAGTAGTGTGGGTAAATAGCCACGGCAAATGCAAAAAAGGGTCAAGTTAGTGAAGGAAATAGGGAAATAAAAAATGAAATAAGGTAAAAAAAAATCAAGATATCCTAATTTTAGTTTTAAATTTTTTTTTAGAAAAAGGACCGACGAAATCATAGTATTGTGAGCAGCTTACTGTAAATTAGAATACATGACTTGGGGGGAGTATGATGGGCCATGTTGGTTGGTTGGTTGGTTGGTTGGTTGGATAGTTTTAAAGGAAAATTGGTAAAAAAAATTAAAAAGCGTTAAACGAGAAAAGGAAAGGCACGGTGGAAGGAAATATAGAAAAAGAGTGGATTAATGAAATATAGACTAGATTGGTGGGTAGAAAGAGTCTGTATCATGTCAATCAATTGATCAATACCGATATGCCACTGGCTCGGGAGACTACAACACCATGGCCAAGTTAGCATTTGCTTTCTTTCTTCGAAAGGAAAAAGGGAAGGAAAGGAAAAAACATGAGATGAAATATAGTAAAAAGTAATACGTACCGCAGGGCTGACCGGACTATCTGGTACACCCACCCTCTCCCTCCGCGCACCACTCTGCACATCAACCTTCATACCCGCACCCCTCGGCGGCGTACCCGGTTCATCACCACCGCCACCCCCGCCCCCACCCTCTATCACGTACGCATCCCCCCCCGCAACGTTAGTAATCCTGGCCCCCTCCACGGTCTTGTGTACCTCCTGCTTCTCGAGCGCCTCCTTGACAGCATGGGCATGCTTGCCAACAGCCATCGTCAGTAGGTCATTCGTCATAATCAACGTTGTCAGCGTGTCCTCGTCCATTACACCGCCATCTCCCCCGGTGGCGGCGGATATGTATTTCTGCATGGAGCGCGAGGCGACCTTGCAGCGGTCGGCGAACTCGCGGATGAGTTCGTTGCGCGGGATCTCCGGCTGAGGGGTGGATTGCAGCACTTGTTCGAGGAGCTTGGCGGAGGTTTGGGCTTCGGAGATGCGGGCTGCTAGCTCTTCCATGTTTGGGAGCCGCAATTCGTGGGTGGGGTAGTGGGTCGGGTGGGGGTGCGGTTGGTATTGACCGTTTGTGTTGTTGGAACCGCTGGTGAAGAAGCCGCGGCCGCCACCACCACCGGGGGCGGGGGCAGACTTGGACAACTTCGCCATATTCCTCTTCTCCTTCGCCCATACCTCCACCAGTCCCTTCAACCCCTCCACCTCCTCATCCCCGTCCCCCACCACGCTCGCCTTCCCGTCAAAGTGCTCCAGCGTCTCCACCAGTATCTGTCGCACGCTCGGCTCGCGCCCATGCTTCAGCAGCTCCTTCACCGTCGCGACGAACTTGGCCTCGGCCAGGTTGCGCGTGAAGGTGCGGCCCGGGTTGTCGCTGAGGATGCGGGTCAGCATGATGGCGTTGTACTGTGTGTACGGCCGCAAACTGTTATTGTTCTTCTTCAACTCCAGGAACTTGCGTATAGTGTGAGCCGCCGCGCGGGCAGCCGTCGGTGAGGATTCAGCCAAGTCGACTATGGTGGGGAGGTACAGCACTTCCTCGCCCGGATTTTCATTTTGCGGGCCGCCGGATTCGCAGAACAATTTCTGGGACCATCAGATGAGGGTGGGAAATAATAGGAAAGGGAAGTGTACAGTAGCGATTACGATCCTCCCCTCCGGGGTGTCATCCTCCGCTAGTGAAGTTGAAGAACCGCTCCTTCCGCGGTCTCCTATGCCTCTGAATCTCCTCCCTTCGCCCACTGCGTTTTTTCCCCTCCCCCCATTAGCACCTCCAGCCCCTCACGCCAAAGGCAAACAAAAGAGGGGACAAGACAAACCATCCCCTTTCTCCCTCTTGAACGTCGTCAATATCCTCTTCATCTGGGGGTCCGCCTATCTCTCCGTATCCCTTTCTCTATCACACTCGTAGCCGTTGCTCCTGTTGCCGTGGTCGTTGCCCCGTGTCTGTGTGTGTGTGTGTGTGTGTGTGTGTACGAAAGTGGAGATGCAAAGCAGGGGGCGGTTCTCCTCACAAACAAACAAACGAAGAAAGGAGGAGAGAAGGAGGGAAAGAATACCAGGCGTTGGTGGCTGGCTGGTTGGGTGGATACAGCTTGGATCAAACGGTTACGGTTACCGACACTCGAGGACGGTAGGGCTCCTCCTCCTCCTGTGGGTGGATGGTCGACTCGATCGAGTCGTGTCATGTTATGTTAAAATGTACAGTACGGTACCGGTACCGGTAATCTGAATACTAAGCGCGGGGTGGGCTCATCCAGACAAACCCAGGCTTGAGATCGCTTGGCGCTTGTGTGTGTGGGTTGTTACGCGGCCGAGATGAGCATCATCCATCCCTTTCTCTGAAAATTCCCAGGCCCATGATAACTCATATATACCGGTAGATCTCTCGAACCGCGTGATACGATATATAGAAGAATCAAAAGAAAAGAAAAAAAAGCCCGCGTAATCACTACTCCCCATCATCATGATGGGGTATCAGTGCTCGCGGATTGGACCCGATGATGATGGTGATGGTGATGATGATGATGATGATAGAGTGTACGATCGTACTTGTACGAGTACTGTAGTGGCTGAGCATGCCACCCTCACCCTGACAACCCTCGGCCGCATACCGTAGACTAAGTTAACTTAGCATGTTGCCGTGCTCGAGTAAAGTAATTACCGCTATCATACTACTGCAGTCTACAAGTACGAGTACTTGTACTCGTGCTTCGCAGACAGGAATTGGCACCCCATTCGTCCTGGTGGGTGGCACGGGCTCCTTTCCACACAATGAATCCCTTTGCTCCTCCTCCCCCCCCAAGTGACTGTGGAATGTGGTCCTCAGTGCCTGTTTGGTCTAGGTGGGATGGCCGCGACAGAGGTGCTGAAGGTTTGGAAATCTCGCCGCCACTCTCGTCGCCCGAGACAGCATGTGCTCCGGGTTACAGTTGTACGAGTGCCGGTAGTTCTCGCTTGTTCTCAGCGTGCTTGTCCGCTAGCAACGGGCATCCCGAAGTGTGCATCTATAATACGAAGATAGGGATGAACTACAGTGTTGCTTACTAATGACAATGAAGTCTAGCGAATTTTATAAAAAAAACCCCACATTTTCTAGCGATAAACTCCATCGAACCATTCCCGCTTAAAAAAGCAACCCAAACAACTGCCCACCATCCCGTACTCGTAGTGACATTGAACCCATCAGGCCCGACTGAGAGTCAAGTTCCACCGCTTCAACTTTACCAAAGCATTGTCAACAGGTTCTTCAGCAACCTCCCGACTCCCTATTTCGGCCTTTCACGATGGCCCCTCCAATTATCACGACACGATCGTTTAAACGGTGAAAATTGCTGTCGATGTCCCTCTCGACTAGACCGATATCCACTTTTAAGTCCGGAGATCTTGGAGTCGGCACTGATTGCTGCAGCCTTCCATCCTCCGTTATTGTCCCGGATGGATGAGCGCTGCGGTTGTACCGAAGGCGGCAAAGAGTGTGAATCCCCCTCCGATGAAGTTGTCCGGATGGGCATGAATGAATGAATGAATGAATGAAGGTTACAACCATTGGCATCTGTTTAGTAACTTAACTAGCATATCACAATAAAGACTGTACTGTACGAGTACTACTATAGTATTAGTACACTCAAACCCTGCTGTCCCGGATAACTTACGGTACCGTACCTCTCCGTCCCGCATGACTTGTTGTTCTGGATAACCCGCTGTACCCGATAGATTCTTCAAACCCCGGCCGGGTAAGCACTGGTACCGTATCGTACAAGTGCGTCTCGAATTGGCTAGTTCGGGGTTGGCTTCAATTGCTCGCGAGTAGAGGAATCTGCTTATCATAACTTATCCTCAAATGAGGGTGTGTGCGTGTTTGTGTGTGGGTGCGTACGAGTGGGTGGCTGTAAAAGTCAGGTGGGAGGGCGGGCGTTGTTGTGCCGATAAATTGCAAACTTGGACTATAAAACCCGACCAGAAGGAAGGAAAGAGGCGGTAGATTAGGGCAGAGGCTTTATCTAAAACATGCCCCCTACCTACCCTACTGCACCCCACGGCACCACAGCTCCCGCCGGGCCGAAGCATATACCAGTTCGTGGCCGAGGATGCCGTACCGTACTGTACTCGTATTGGTATCATACCACCGGTACCGGTATACGTGCGATATGTACAGTCCACCACGGTAAGCCACCGCGGGATATCGGCGGACCAGCACAGGATCAACACAAAAGATACGGAGAAGCCAACCAGAGCTCCCATACCCCTACTTAACTCCAGACACCGAGTACAGTACCCGCCCCACCTCACTCCTTTCTCCAAGGCCATATCTTACAAGTATTTCCCAAAGGAAAAAAAAAAGAGCATTCAAGGACACAGAAAGGGAAGAAAGAGAAAAATATAGAATAAAATGCGAACTTTATACATGAAGGTTTTCTATCTCTCCGTTCCGCTCCGTCCGGCTACGGCTCGGGCACCGAAATATTCTTGGGAAAGACGACAAGTACGGAAAAGAAGGCACGAACCATGACTGCATTCTCCTCTGCCCCCCCCCCCCCCCAACATCCGACGGATCGGAGCCGGCTCATGCCACAATCGCTCGCTTGGCCCATCGCCAAACCCAGGAGCAAAGAGAGGGGCAGAGAGACAGGGGGGAAGAACAAAAACAACCTTTTTCTGCAACGACAGGTCCTTCCTTTACGGCGTTCGTGTTGCCCCCACCCACCCAGGTCACCCATTGATCCTTCGCACACCCACCGAATCTCTTCACCGGCCAACACAAAGGACGGCTTCAGTCCCAAAGGGAAATGGAAGAGGAAAAAGCAGGGTGCCATCTAAACACATCTCCGTATCAAGAGGGGAGGACGCCGTGTGCGGAATAGAAGGAAATATCCGAGGACAGGGAAAGGCGTCGAGGAAGGAAATTATATCAGAAGGGAAACGAAAAGGAAAAAGGGGAAGAATGAAAGCACGAACTTTCTACAATCAAACCGTATCACCATCCCCACCTTGTCCCGTCCACGGGGGTTTCCAACCAGTCAGCCCCAACACCTGCGGCGAAATGGGGGAAGAGGAGGAAACATCCCGATGCTAACGGGATCACATAAGGAGAGGGAGAAGGAAAAAAAAAAAAAAAGGAAACCTTTGATAAAGAAAACCCGTAAAGAAATTCGTTCCTATGATAGGTGAAAAAAGAAATAACCCATTAGATCATCGATTATGCAGTCTTCCCAGGCCATCATCGCTATCACTATCCTCATCCTCCGCCAGATCGGTCAACCCCACAGCAGCTTCGTCGTCCATCTGATGCCTCTCCAGCAGCCTGGCTCCAATACTGCTCCGTGGCCCGCCAACGTCCGAGCGTCGCAGCTGCATGCTTCGTCGAACCTGCAAGCCAGTGATCCCATCCGTGGGCACCCCTTCGCCGTACGATGCCGATCCATTAGCTGCCAGCCGATGACCATTAGGGTCAGAGCGGGAAAGGTTGAGCAGGTATACACCCCCGAAAATAACCAAGAACCCGCAGAGAAGCGAAATGGTGTTGACAGGATCAGTAGTATTGAATCCCTTGAAGAGGATGAAGGATGCAATCAAGGTTGCTGTGGTGAATGTAACATAGTACAATGGCGTTACTCTGTCAAGCATTAGCATACCGTCTTATCGCTGTGGAAGTCTCGGGAAAGAGGCAACCAACAATGAGCTCGAAAACTGACTCAACGCCTTATTGAAATAGTTCATCTGCGTCAGGATGCAGACCGCCACAACTATAATAAAGACATAAGTGCTTGGATGCGTAAACTGGTTGTTCCCCGCAAATGTCAATTTGACAGCAATTCCGAAAGCCTTGGAGCTCATGACCGTCAAAGACCCAACAGTCCCGCAGATCGAAATGTAGATCAGTGGATTCTTTTTTCCGTACTTGGGGGACACTTTGTAGATCATTATGGAGGAAAACACCGACACTATGGCAACATACGCCAAAAAGCCTGAAGGGTAAACCGGTCAGATTAAGCTCCGGAAACGTGCGGCCTACCGGAGGAGACTGTAATTACCGGGTTGAATCGCATAGTGCAGGATCTCGTCAATCGTCTGAATGTCCTCATCTGGGGGAGCATGCAGAACAATAATGACACTCCCGATCAAACAAATGGCGCACCCTAATTTACCCAACACCCCGAGTTCTTCCCGAAGAAAATGTGTCCCCAGTACTGCACTATGACCGTCAAACAATCCAAGTTAGATAGCACCATCCGAACAAAAAAAGCACCGCCCCGGCCCCGAATAAACCTACCCAACTAATACGCTCAGCGCTCCTAATGGTGTCACCAGAATAGCGGGGGCAAAGGCATATGCAGCGAAGTTTGCAATCTCTCCCAATATCACTACATTCCAAGTCGAACGGGATCCCAATGTTAGTCCTAATAACCTGTGTACGAGTTTAGGGCCTATAGTGTAGCGGGTCTCCTACTTGTTATCATCCCTGCCCACCATATAGGATTCTTCAAATACTTGAAGCCTTCCCCTTCAAAGCCATGTCTATCCGCAGTCTCTATTAGCCCCTAAACACAGCCTCGGTGGGCGCCAGATTAGTTCATATTCGCAGCGAGTCAATAAACTCCACCAGGGGCGACTACTTTTTTAGTTAATATGAAGCTCGTTCCTGCATCGACAAAGGAATCAGCGATCATGCACAACGGCGACAGCGGCGGAAGGGAAGTATTGACAAACCTATGGCCATACTCGAGGTGATAGCAAGGGCAAGCCCGATATATCTGCATCGCATTCGTGCCATCAGTTCACCAGCTCCCTCCCACACGCCGTGTATGGGGGGCGCACTTCTCTTCTACTAGCATCTCTGCTGTTTATTTCTATTCCAACAGCCTAGTCTAAAATCAATTCCGTAGAGTGCGCCTGTAGCCAACAGGGTCCAGGAAAGGCGATCGGGTAAAGGGACTAAGAATATGCACCCCCAGAGCGATCACCAGAACCGAAGGGGAGGGAATTGCTCGCCGTTGCGGCGGTTGTAGTCGTCGTCGGGGGGGGGAAGGGGAGATGAGGAAACAGAACGAACGAATGGTGTCGGTGTAGACGCCGAGAGAGAGCGATGAGCGAAAAGACCAACAGGTGTCGATGGAGTTGTCGGTGAGGTGCGTCGCTTTCGGTTCGTAGATTGACAACCCAGCTGGGTCGATTCGGTCAAAGAGGGATATGAGGATAGAAGGGAATGTAATAGGAGGAGACCAGGGCCACGCGGCAGGCGCAGATGGGGGGAATGTTCTTGCCCCGAGCACTAGAGTACAGGTACAGAAGAGTGAGCACGAAACTATTCCGTTGCAAAGCTGGGGTCCGGTTGCAAAGAGGCTCTAGGTTGGGTTAGGCTTGGGCTCAAGGGAGAGAAATAGATGGTGGGTGAACCCACCAACAATAGCTTTCTTTAAGGATCTCTGTGGGGGGGGGGAGCGGGTTCTTTTCTTTTCTCTCCTTCCTTCTTTCCCACCTTTACGAATCACGAACTCGCATGAACTAGGGGGAGGGGGGTCTGAATGCAATCAGGTGGGCAGGCAGGGGCACGAAAAGAAGGGAGATGGCTAGCAGCGAGGGCGACGGAGGGAGCGGGGAGTACAATAGAGCACTCGAGTACAATAGAATAGTGAGCGAAGAGGGAGAAGAAGAAGAAGAAAAAGAAAAAGAATAGATGGAGATGATGACGGGAGAAGGAAATGAAGGCTCGTCTCTAACGTGAAGGGGGGGAACGGGTTCGTTCCCTCCAAAAAGGGTTGAAATACTGTAGTCTGGGTACTTTAGGGTATGGATGGATGGATGCGCTACAGTACTTGTATGGTATGGACGGTCTGCGGGAAAGGTGGTCTTTTCTGGTTGTGTGTGCGAAATCTGCGAGTTGGCGATCTTCGTGCACGGTACAGGAACCCGAACCTTTCCTGGCATGAATGAATGTATGAGCGAATGAATAAGAAATTATTATCATCTATTTTTGTAACAAGGCCGAGGCCGTCACTGGCCGACCAAAAAGGGGGGGCTGAAGATATGTCTTCCGAGAGCCCTTACCCTACAAAAACATCTACGGCACGAAACTCACTGGAGGACATATCACATTATCATTCGGCAGCCAGCTGCGGTAGCAATCGACAAAATCAAACCCAGGAACCACCACCAAGAAGCGAAAGCAGAAGCAAAGGAAGAAGATCCATCCTTCACACAACGTTTCACCATTCCCTCACCCTTGGCAATCCCCCCAAGTTACCGGTTTACCGTACCGTACTGTACCCCTCGCACCTGCTCCATCCGACTCCGCACATTCCTAGATTAGCGAAATGGCATCGCGCCATCCCAGTCTGGTTCACGTGAGACACTCTACAAGTATGATATAATGATCGTACGCTACAAATCAAGCACGATTCCAAGAACCCTAGAACATACCGACAACATACCGACACTCCATCACCGCCGTCGAGGATTTGCGTCGAGAGATAAAATAGGATAATGCGGTGACCACGCTCGATAACTACTCGTACAAGTGCCGGCACTGTACTCGGGTGCAATGGTAATGACTGGACTCTGGAAAATGTATGGAATATTTTTCACACATACCGTACGATGCAGGAAGTCACACGGCCCCCTAATATAGAAAGAGCTGAATGCCGTACTGGCACCAAAGCTTGGACGGAAGCACTCGGCTATGACACGATACCCCATTCGGTCAATCGTTCGCGGTGCAAACTTGCACCATGGTTCCCGAAATATACCGCATCGCGCTACATATGAGTACGGTAAGGCTCGGGACTCTTGCACCACTTCGTCGGGGGGACGGGTTTGATGGTTTGAGCCCTAAAGAAAGATACCGGTACTCTCGGTAACGGAGTTTGCCGGGTTCTTGATCATAGGAAATCACTCGAGCCACTGGTCAATTACCATCTTCCGCTAGGGGTTCGGGAGGTGATGCGCGGTATGATAGAATGTATAAACGGAGGAATAGAGCTAATTGCAGCTTCACTTTATGGCATACGGTACCAGAGTTGTATTAGGTGATGCTCTTAGCGGGTGCCCGCTCTTGCCCAGTTTGGCGTCTTTGATGGGTGACTTTCCTGGCTATCCGAGTCATGAGATTGTGGGGTATCATACGACATCTACGAGTAATCCGGTCGACTTGAGCGAAGCCCTCTGGATCGCCTGGTGGCACCCCCTCAAATGTTCAAAGTGTCTCCATATACCGGTAGCCCACATAAGTGGTCGCCACATAACGGGAGACCTACCGGTATCTCTCCAAGCCAGCATTATCCCCATCTTCCGATAGCCGGAATCCAAGAGACTCCACCCCCCCCCCCCCCGCCTAACAACGGTCTAACACTATTTTGCCACATCACGAGCACCAAGTGCAGATAGAAAGGCGGTCTGATTCAAAGAGAGAGAGAGAGAGAGAAAGAGAGGTAACCAGCACAAATTGTTCCAACACCACCAAGAATGCCGTGCCGACACTTTAGTGTGCAGCAGCCAAGCTCCTGCTTTCCAGCTCTCCGATAACCGCCCCAATCCTCTCAACGACTCCACCCCCGATGGAAAAGCCCGATACCATGGTCTTAACGGTGCCCAGAATCTCGCTTCTGCAGTCCGCGTACTCCAAGTAACCAGCCTTAACCCTAGCCTCAGAAATCATAACAGTGCAGTTCATGGTGTGTGTCCTGATCTTTGAAATCTCGCTTGACAGCGCAGCAGTCTTCCCGTTCAATGAGGGCGCTTGCGAGCACAGATCTACCACACGGGATTCTAGATTAGCCAGTACCTGTTTCTCTGCTTGCTGAACCGCCTGTTCGCGCACGAGAGCTTCTCTTTCCCGCTCAGATTGGGCTCGCTCGTTCTGGAATCTCTGGAGGTCGTGGTTGTGTGTTCCCAACCTGTCGTTCTGGCCGCCGATCTGAATTTCTAGGGTTTGGTATTCTTGTCGGAGGGCGTTCGCTTCGTGTTCACGGGCACGGGCGATATCATCTTGGTTGCTACGGATGATTTAGTGGGGCCCTTATTGCGGTGCTAGGGACGTACAAAATACTTACCCAGCATAAATAAGACTTCCTGCGGTGGCGGCGAATACGACTGGGGCCAGCGGACCTGCAAATAGAGAAAGGATTCCAAGTCCGGCGCCGGCCTAACTCGTCAGTGTGTTTTCAAGCATGATATCCTGTGGTTTTATTAGTGGGTTTAGACTTACCGCCCTGGCGCCATCCCTCCGTTCTCTTGCCCTTGCGCTTTCTGCATGAGCTGCGTCCCGTTGTCTCTCCTTGTCGTGCAACTCGTCTCTTTTGCGATTCAAAGTACTCTGTGTTGAATCCTTCCGTGCTTGAACGTCTCTGATGGCATTGTTTGTCGTCTGGATTTTTTTCTGAGTATCCTCAATTTGGCGTTCGAGGTGGCCCAATTTTTCGTTGGTCTGATTTGAGAGCATATCAAGCCGGACTCTACCTGCGCTAATCTGCTCTCTTAGCCGTGCGAGCCCAGTTGTTTGGAATTCAGCTATTTCGGTGGCTAATCTATTGATCTGGTCCAGTCCGAGGCTGCTGGCGCCTTCGGCTTCGTGAAAGCGGTCATGGACAGACGCAGCCTGGTTTTCAAATTCGGGTTCGATATGTGTTTCCTGAGCCCCCGCCGCTAAGAGTCTATCGTCCGCTACTTTTAGGTATTCGAGGAGGCCAAGCACTTGAGAAAGTGCCTCGGAAAGCTTGTCTTTCGCTGCCGCAAAGTCCGTCGCATCAACTGTAGCTAAACGGGTTTTGTAGCCCTCGTAAGTGTTGAGCTGCTGTCCAAGAAGGCTTTCTAGTGATTGGATAGTATCGCGGAGTGAAAACATGATAAAAATCACGCTATCTCAAGAAATCGAGAGCTAGATATTGAAAGGTTCCCCCGTGGTATTCGAGCTCCTGGGTTTTATAGCTAAGGCCTGGGGAAGGTGTTTATCTTCTCCCGTTCTCCGAGAATCTCGCCGGAGTTCCAGTATAGCAAGACCGGGCAGTATTTTTTTTTATTTTTTCCTTTCTCTTGCTTGCTCCCCCCCACCCCCCCTATCCTTATTCTTATTCTTCTATTGATGGGTAAAATGAGCTGACTACCCACCATAATCACAAATTCTGCCTCTTATCGAACCGCTCCCTAGTCAATGATGCATCAAACCTACTTCTCAGGGGAGTATGGGCACGTTAGAGTCTCAACCCCGCTTGTTTCCGAAAGGAGTCATGCTCGTGGAACAAGCACATCGCTTTCCTGGGGGTCCAGGAGCCAGCGAGAGATAATGACATATGCTACTCCCACGGATGAAACATATGATCTAGTACGAGTAGACCTTTACAATATCACGAAGACCGTGCTCTGGTAACAGGCCATTGAGGCGGTACCCGGGATGTGCGGGCCGGCCCGCGATTCGTTAACATCCGCTGCCGTGATAGTGGAGCACTCCCCGAGTATGGTGTCCATGCAATATAATGTCAACAAAATATACGTGCGCAACAACTTTAGATTGACAGTTGGCAAAGCACTGAACACTACCTGTGTTTGGCGCGGGGACTAAGTGGTTCTTGTTTTTCGGGAGGGCCGTTTCTAAGATTTCAGCGAATAGTCTCTAGACACGAACCCAAGATGCAGCGGAAATGAAGGGGGGAATTTTGATACAATCGATGCAAATAATAATGCCCCGCATTCTACCACATTGACCATTCCTTTCGTTTCTTTTTGGCCGTATTCGCTGTATCCATACCGTAGCTGTATATCAAAGGGAGCTGATGCGGGTTGGTTATGTTTTATTTGCGGGGAACAGCCGTGCTGTAGGTGGCGCCTTGGCAACACAAGTTGCTGGTGGCCTAGTTGACAGCCTAGATAGGATCTGCGCACACGGTAATAGACGGCGGAGGACAAAACAAATAATCGCAGATCACGATTCCCTGATGACTTGCTAGGCTATCATATCCTCAATGTTGTGCTAATAGTCCCTATTACCGGAGGGAATAGATATAATGGAGCATTTTGTCCTTCCCCGCTTGACAGAGTGGAAAGTCCCCTAACAAAGTTATTTTTATTTTGAAATCTTGCTTTTAGTAATGCCTTCCTCGGTCGACCCAAATGATGAACGCCAGCAACAACTTATACAGGAAATACCCGAGATAACAATGGAGATTCTCCAGAGCGGCTTGGTAAGGTCCAATTGGGCAGACCTCCTAAGTGCAGCTCCCCTCTCGGTGTCGGTCTTGGGACAATGCTTTATTGCCGCTTCAGCGCCGGTAGCAATGACCATGACTTTGGAGAAAGGCGGTGAGGAGGGTTCGCTCATACCGTGAGATTTTATATGTATCGTGCCCCCTCGGATATCGAAAGCTGATGAAACAAGCCACCGCTCACTACGAGCCAACTTGTTCCACTGTGGAAATATCGGGCAACGGGCATTCATGGATGCTCAATCGAGGATGCAAACTTTGACCACGTTATCCAACCATATTTGCAGAAGTAATGGAGTTGTAAGGATAAGACCTATTTCTTCTTCTCCTTCTTCCCGAACAAAACCTGCTCACAAAATTCTCGGAGTAGGTCAATCAAATACTCACGGTATTGGACGACCCGAAAACCGCGAAACAAACGCTTCGTCGGCTGATGAGCAAACTCGAAAAATCATCTCACCGATGCAAGCAGGAAGCGGAAGAGATGGAGAAACGATTTGAGTCGTGGAAGGAGTTTGTCCTAAATCTCCGTTTGGCTGTCACGGATAGCGAAAGTACGTGACTTGGTGCTTCCTAGGGGCGGGTATCAGCAAGCACTGATGGTTATTACAGCGGAGAAAGCCAACTTGATGAAGCAAAACGAGGAGCAACGCGCAGCCCGGGAAGCTGGCATAGCACAAAGGAAGAGGGCGGAGGAGGAAGCCCGGAAAGCGGTTTCAGTACTCCAGGATGCTTTCAGGGACGCTCGTGAGTCACTGCAGACTGCCATGTCAGGTGTTAACCGGGCAACGGAGTCGTTTGGAAAGCCTCCTGACCCAGAATCAATTCCCAAGTTCGAGCTTAAGAAACCGGATAAACACAGTATGTATTTCGGGGGTGTATGAGAATGAATCCTTTAATCTAAAGCTGCTGATAAACTTCTATAGGGGTCGAAGGCGGGGTCGTGGGGCAGGTTTTCGATTTCCTAACAGGTGGGACCCGTGCTGCCCGGCAAGCAGAAAGGGAATACAATGAAGCACAGTTGAGAGCCGGTGAAATCCGGAAAGACTTTCTGAAGGATCACTATGAAGCAGCAAGAAAGAGGGTTGAAGAGGCTAGAAAAAACGCAGCAGAGACTCAAAGAATACACATGGCCATAGTCGAGAAACAAAGGGCGGTGGAAGAGGATTTGCAGAGGGCTTCTGAGGCCATTATTGAGTCTACTTTGGATCTGGGGAATCTGGATACCGAGAAGTTAACATTGGTATGTTTGCCCAAAAGGATTTTGGGGGGTTTTCTAGTGTAAGCTTTTCTCACATGAAATACCCGTCGATAGGCACAGATACAGGATATCCTAAAAGACTCTCTCAAGGCACTAACCTATCTTAAGTCCCAAGTAACAAGAATTGTGGACTTCTATTCAGGCATCACGCTCATGGTCAAAGACGCCTCAGAACATGCTTGCGATGATTTCATTGAGACAATTAACCTGGGGCTCGAGGATGGGGGTGACGAAACGAAGACAATCGAAAGAATGGAGCTGCATGAAATGCAGAAGCGAGTGAGCATTCGTGAACATGCAAAGATCAAGAACCACAACTCATAAAGACTTGAATAGGATGTGCAAACAACCGCATTAAGAGTCCAGAGCTACTTCTCGGTCATCCAGGAGGTCTCCTCCATATATGTCCAGGTCTCGAAGCGTCATATCCTCCCGGGAATTAGTATGATAGACGAGCTCGGGCTCCAGGACGGGCCGGATCCGGGGGAAAGCGCGAGAAAGAGACAGACGCTGGACGACTATGCCTACAACACCAAAAAAGAAGTCCGGATGGTGGCCACCGCGGTATGAACCCCTCCACTTATACTGCCTCAACCCAGTGAACGGTGGCCCTTGATTGTATATGTGAGGAAGCAGAAGAAGAAGTAAATACTGATGTGAAATTCATCCGTTTAGAAACAAGAAGAAATCAAGAGCGGCCTGTGGAGAAGGGTTAGACAATTCGCAACGCAAGCTAAATTACTACCACCCCCCACCCCGGAGGAGTTGGCACTAGAGGAGGAGGAGGCGGAAACGTTCTATCCAGCCGAATAGCTATCTGCCATGCAGGTATATCAGTGGCCGTGAGATGGTGTCTAGGAATTTGTGGGATCTGAGTTTACAGTAGCTTTAGTCTTGTTGTATTTCGTTGGAGTCGGGTTGGTGAGGATTTCAGCGGCCCGGGTGCTGCCATGTTATCTGGGCGTTTGAGAACGATGAATATTATCTTAAATCACACCTCTGGGGCTCCGCGATGTAGTTTCTGTGACGTGTACAGTACCAATTGACCCTCGAATATAGAAGCCCTTGGGATGCCTGGCCCTCACAGGCCGAGTGGCTCGATGAGCGCCGTGGACCGTGGGAGAACCGTTCTTTCCGCATTTGAGTTATTTCTGCCACACGGGACTCAGACTACCGTAACGTCCTGAGCGCGAGTTGCGTTGTCTCCATGGTTCGAGCAACTACCCAGCCACAAGCAAAGGGCGAAGCGACGAATACAGGGATGATATCAGCTGAACCGTTAGTCCACCGGCATATGCCGGCCGCCGGCGTCGGTGATCACATTACAAGTACACTAAAAGAGAGAGAGAGAGGGGGAGAGCGGGGGGCACTCACTGCACTCTCGTACTTGTATGATGCCGTAGGGTATGATACCACATTTATGATAATACGGAGAGGGATCCAGCAACGAAAATTATCCCTGCATAAAACTAGGTACAAGTAACCACAGCAACAGTGATAAATCAGGAAAGGCGAAATACCAAACCCCCCACCCCCCACTGGGCAATACTATACCGGTACTGTAATCAGTGGGCCGGGTTGGGTCTTGGGCTGTCCCGCGCTGGGGTATCATATCATATCTTGGCATCCTGTCGCAGTGCTGGATTTCAAGAATTTCCTGAGGATCACAATCAAGCCCGCCGCCCTCTGATGCTTGGCATTTTGGGCAGGGGTTTCGTTTGTTTCACTGCTGGACCCCTCTAAGTTACTCGAGTATGGTACAAGTACGGCACATAACACGATCGCTGACTGCTGCGTTACGGCACAGTACGGTACAAGTACTCGAGTATGGCCCCCCTGGCTCATGCGAAACCGGAGCGCGTAATTCGAGCACGAGTCTGTTTGGTGGTCCGGTACTTCATCTTAAATTCCGCGAGATCCAGAATTCCTTGGCAAGTTCCTGCTCGAATGAAACGCCATAGGCGGGCTGACCCGGGGGTGAATGACCAATATTTACATGTGCATGGCTGGAGCTGCATAGGGTGTGTCCCTGATGGGTACGGTGTACGAGTACAGTATGATGTGATGGGCTTATTCAGAAGGACGGCGTTTGCGGCCCCCACGAGTGTAATGCCGGTATCAAGGCCTCGGGCAGCGGAATAATTAAATGTCGAACTTTGGTGGGGGCTTAGGGGTTGTGGCTTCCGGTGGCTTATGCCTTTGGAATACGATAATTTGGAATCACCCTCGTGGGCCCGAAGGGCGATGATTTAGTTCGAGAGATGATATCATATCTCTACGGGTACGTGTATGAGTAGAAGCACAGCCGAAATACTGGAGAGTTGCGGGCATGGCTCTCGAGCACAATACCGGTACCGGCACCGCAACAGATCTCATCCCGCATGCGAGCACGTTTTGACGGCTGCGACACACTGCAGTGCTCTCGTGGTGGCTCAGAGGTCCAAGATTCGTCAATGCGAGCGCAGCCGTACCGTATGTAACCCGAGATTAGCCTTATCTGTACTCGTACTCGAGTAAGGTGCTTGCACCGGTTTGGGGAGGCTGCACTATCGCAGATTAGTCCGGGGCCTTCGTTGGAGTCAGCTTCCTATGATATTCCCCCTGGAATGGCGGAGGTTTTGGGGGGTTATGATACTGTAATGCCCGTAGCTGAGACGGTGTTCCATCCCCATTCGCAGGGGAAGTGACAGTCCCTAATTGCAGTTCAGGATTCTCTAGCGTTGCCAGCGGGCAACCGTTTTCATTTACCCATCGTAACTTCTGGGATCCCTCAGGCGCGGAGATAGGCAGCATCATTGATAGCCTTTTCACGGTTGGATTTAGCCATTGCCGATAATATAATATTATTAATGTGTTGAAGTGAGGCATAGGACTCGGGGGGATCCGAAGTCCGTGTTGACGTTTGTGGCAGCCAGCACCTCGGGATATTCCTCCAGGTAGGATTGGGTGGATTGTGGCTGTTAAAGCTGAGCCAGCATTTCCAGGAGCGATATGGTAGAAGACAGCCATCCTTTAGAAGGTTGTGAAGCAGTGCCGAATACAGCATCCGGTACAACGGTCTTCTAACTGCCCGACCATTTGGAGAGGCCCCCCCTCCCCTGTCCATCGAATTCGCCGTTTGCACGTTCCACAGTACTCGCACGGTACTGGTATATACCGTTGCTATGAAAAAAACGAAAACAAGAAACGCTCCTTCTCCTTATATCCTCCCAATCCCCCCCCAGAACTCGCGCTCAAAAAAGCTTTCTTGCCAACCCTCACCAAGCCCTCGGTGCTCCACTTCCAAGACCCCAAGACAATTCCTATTACCAGATTTGCTACCGGCGACCAGGTATTATAACAATGCGTGAGTAGGAGGATCCTATCATGCTCTTTGGATTTTATTGTCTATTCTCAGGGAAACCTAACAAATGAATCGATACCTTAGATCGACTCAACCGAGCTGCGAGCAGTGTTGCGGATACGGAAGGATTGAATCCCTTTTGTCGACTACGCCAACACCGTCGGAGAAAGGCACTCTCTCGGCTGAGAAGCAGGTACTCTTCGCAAGACGCAACCGTTGATAGGCCAAGTGAGGGCAGGGAGAAGATAGCAACGGCGAGATCGCCCCCGACAGCGGAGGAGAGCTTTGGTTCTCAGGCCACCACCGTTCACGAGGGGCCTAATCGAGTGGATACCATAACTCTGGAGGAAGGTCAACCACAGCTAGCAAACCCACAGAGAATGTCTAATTATTCGGAAAAGGAGAGGAAGGAAGGCAAAACTATCTGGGGACAGTTCAGAGCTGCGGTGTTTAACAGTTGGATCAACGTGTTCCTCGTGTTTGCTCCCGTAGGAATTGCTACACACTATGCTGGGGTTGATCCGTAGGTACCCCTTTCCTTGCCGGCTAACCGCCAGGAATAATAGTTGCTAACATGCGAGGACGTCCTAGGACAATCGTTTTTGTGATGAATTTCATTGCTATCATACCTTTGGCCGCCTTATTAGCATACGGAACGGAAGAGATTGCGTTGTATTGCGGTGATGTTTTGGGTGGTCTATTGAATGCTAGTTTTGGGCAAGTTTTTCTCATCTTCCAATTTAGGAATTTCTGGATGGAGCTAATCATTCTAATAGCAATGCGGTGGAACTCATTATCTCAATTCTCGCACTGGTTAAGGGTGAGATAGTGATTGTCCAGACATCGCTCATTGGAAGTATTCTCAGCAATCTGCTGCTCGTTCTCGGCTTCGCTTTCATAGCGGGCGGCTACAATCGTATCGAACAGAACTTCAATACCACTGTTGCTCAAACCGCCAGTAGTCTTTTAGCCCTCTCGGTGGGTAGCCTGGTCGTACCCACCGCATTCCACATGGCTGGTCCTTCCGACAAGGGTATTACAGAGCTTAGCCGCGGTACCGCCGTCATCCTACTGTTGGTTTATGCATCCTATCTATTGTTTCAGCTGAAAACCCACACCGACATTTACAACGAGCCCTCCGAGAAATCGCCCAAACGAAACCACGTTGAGCCAATTGGAAAGTCACTTGTTAGTGCGAGCGCTAATGTCTCGCATGCGGTAGTTATGGGAAAGCCAAGACCGGACCACCCGGTTGAGGAAGAAAAGGAGGAACCAAGCCTCACGTTGTGGGCCGCTGTTATTTTGTTGGCTGCTAGCACGGCGCTTGTGGCCATCTGCGCCGAATGTTTGGTTGATTCGATCGATCATCTCGTCACAAGTGCAGGTATCAGTAGGGTCTTTGTCGGGCTGATTCTGCTCCCGATTGTGGGGAACGCCGCGGAGCACGCTACTGCTGTTACCGTGGCTGTAAAGGATAAAATGGATCTTTCGATTGGCGTCGCCGTTGGATCTTCGATGCAAATCGCCCTTCTTGTTATTCCGTTTATTGTTGTGCTTGGTTGGATCATTGGAGAGGATGACATGACGCTATACTTTGATGGGTTCCAAGTTATGATTTTGTTTGTATCGGTCCTGTTGGTGAACTATCTAATCCAGGTATTCACTCCGCCCCCTATTGGCCTTGAGCATATGCTAACTGGGATCGTCTGCAGGATGGCAAATCGAATTATCTTGAGGGAAATTTGTTGGTTGCGCTATATGTGATTGTTGGGCATGTACCCCCATGCTCTGCGTATATTCTCGGGGGAATCTCCGCTAATTGTGAGAACAGTCTAGCATCTTTCTTCTATCCAGAGGAGGGCCCACTGGCGCAGGTTTCTAAATAGCATCGTACTCCCCGACACATCCCCTGCTTCTTCTCTCGAGGCCCTAACATATGTTCGATCGTTCGAAATAGGGTTACTGTTCGTTTTTGTCTATTGTTTGTTTGTAATTATACCGTATCATAATTTCTTTTATGCCGAGTCTTTGGCTTACTTCACAATTGGTGTAGAATGTATCATAGTGTATCACTCGAGAATTTCATTGGTAGATCGGGTCTGTCGTAGAAATATGCAATGGCTACTGTAGTAGAACAAATGTTAGCAAATCGATAGAAGACAAGTTAAACCCAACTAGAAGCAGTGAGCAACAGGAAGGAAATTTATCAACCTTGTCCGAGCTCACTATTCCCACACTGGATTGCACGGACACTCCCATCAACAAGACACCAAACGAAGATAAAACCAAGTATTGAACAAAAGAAAGAAGAAGAAGAAGAAGAAAGCGCCTATACTAACCTTGTGACCAATCCTACATCATTCGAGCTTGGGGGCATTCATTCATAGAGTTTTCGAGTTAAATTTCAATAGTGCAAATGTCGAAGTGACATTAACATGTGCTCTATAGCCTCAACCCCCATGATATCATACGATACAAAGCATTCGGAAGGCTGCCTCCGGGAAGAATATATCATACTGCAGCACTCTTGGGTAACAAACCCTACTGCACTTGCGTAGGGAATCGGGCATTAGCTTGAGGCATCATACCGTATCATATCATGAAATTTTGCCACTGGGGGATGCCTGTAGGTGGCTGGGTTGGGGTACGGTACTGTACGATACAGTGCTCTCACTCTGTGATTTTTCTCGTTTGCTCTCCCTTCGTTCTTTTTTTTTTTTTTTTTTGCCATGATATATCACACAACTTGATATCATACCTTATTGGACGTGGAGGAGCGGTAGTTAGCGGATGTCTCGGCATATATCTGTGGAACGGGCGATGATCTACCGTAGGCTTTTTGGGGAGAATCTCACGGCTGTACCGTACCATACTTGTATCGCGCACTTTGGCGGTCTGAAGAGTAGTAGGTAAGGCTGACCGCGAAGTGTAACAAGCTATGATAATTATGGTACGATATGATGGTACCATAAGAGGCGGAACACAAGTTCTGCAACTGCACGAAGATGAGGTAATGAGATCCAGCATGCCTGAATCGAAAAAAATCACTCGAAGAGAGCTCAGCTACGGTATCAAAACCTCACTCACCACCTCCCTGCAGGATTCCTCGCAGGAGGAAAAAAAAAAGCCCCACCTCCTCGGTGATTAACCCCTCCCCCCCCCTCCACACACTACCTCTTCCTAGTAATGTCGTGACAAAGGCGGACACCCGCAACGAAGGAAACCCGCATTGTGCAAGCAAAACTTAGGATAACAATAATAATACTGTGATAACAACACCACAGCCGTATGTTATACTGTAACTATAATTATAGTATCAAGATGATTTGCGCCCTGAACCGTGGACGCATTTAGATGTTGGCGGTACGACATGATAAACTGTACGGTACGGTAACTTAAATCATGTTTCGCAGAAGGGCGGTGCGGGTACCCGGGTAACGGGAGATTGTCGAGACTGCAGATCGATCGTACGGATCGTCAGGGTGCCCGGGAGGGAAAGAGGGGAAGGAAGGAAGAAGGAATAAGAATTTCGGAGATCGTTTTTTTTCTTTACTCGTATGGTACGAAAGAAAAAAAAGTCCTTGGCACCTTGAAAAAAAAAATATATATATATATATTTTTGGGGGGGAAGGGGGGAGAATAGTTGGTTCACGGTCAATTATGTTGCTCAATGTTGGATATGATCTAAAAATAAAATCAGAACAATAGATGCCTCTATGGCCAAGGGGTAAGGCGCAGCACTTGTATTTCCAACTGGAACGCGATGCTGAGATCATGAGTTCAAATCTCATTGGAGGCATTTCTTTTTTGTGTCCTTTTTTTCCTCATATATTGTTCGCCCAGACCCTTCCCAGTGCTTCCCCGCACAAGGGCCTTGGGCCGGGGAACAACTAGGTTACCGTATGATAAGCGAATAAGCAAGCGGGGCGGGAGGGCGAAACATATGGATCTTTTCTTCCCGACGTATCAGGGATAATAGTTACTCTGTGCGCTGGTACCGTACCTGCATTTCCTGGCAATCGGTTGTGCAAGATACCGGTAGGGCAGGACGGAATGCGCAGGGCCATACACGGAGAGAGAGAGAGAGAGAGAAAGAGATACAAAAATAACAGGGAAGAAGAAAAAGAATAAGAAGAAAAGAAGAGAGAGATCTTCTCCCGTTGGCCCCACCTCACACACGACGCAGGGGGGGTTAACAGACGGGGGTTTTTCTTCTTTTCTTCGCAAACCAGCTCGGCCGCTCTCGCCGATACCAAGTACGGTAAGTTACTCGAGTAGAGGGCACCTCTACTTGCGGAAACCATAGGCTGAGCTCCGGTGTGTCCACAGGACCACAGCTGCCATCACGCCGCATGGTCTTCTCAGCGGCCTAGCTGTACTAGTACTGGTACTGTAGTCTGCTCGAGTGCTCGGGTGGGCGGTACGGTATTGAGCGTGGTTCTCGGTGGCGCCACGAAGTACCGCATGTGCGAGCACTCGAGTACCGGCACCATAGTACGAGTATAATACCGGTACTCGTGCCAGTGACCGGTACAAGTAACAGTACAGTACTTGATTACGGGGCCTGGGCACAGTCCTATAGAACGGCGTCCTGTACCGTACCGTACTACAGTAGTACGTGCCGGTGTTGCCAGCTTGGGTCTTGATGACTTGTGCACGCTGTACAGTACTAGTACTCGTGCTAGTACCGTACTCTACTGTACTCGGATACCGAGCCGGTAAAGCGCAGCTCACCCACCGACCGACGGGTTATGTGCGTTTTTCGTCGAAAAACAAAAACAAAAACGAAAGAAAATCAATAATCTACCTCCTGGCAGCACTAGCATGGGATTGGACTATATAACTGATGGCTGGTTGGTAGATATGATACTGGTATTGCGGAAAAGGAGGGGAGGTATCATACAGTAAAAGTCTAGCAGTATACGGTGATTGGGGGGGAAATACGGATGCGGTGTGTGTGGGTGTGTGAAGAGCGATTGGGGGAAGGGAAGGAAGGGGGGGGATATACAGTACCGATATGGGCGGGATCTTTGTGTACAAGTATTGGCCATTGGGAATTGGGAATTGGGCTGCGGACGGGTGGGATAGATGTTGGGGATTTGGGGGGGTTTTCTTTTTTTTTTCTCATCGTTCCTTTCTTGTTTTGTTTTGTTTTGTTTTTGTTTTTTTGTTTGGCGGGAGTTGTATCGTGTCGTATTGGTGTTCGAGTACTATAGGAAGGGGGTGGATTGTGATATTATGGTGGATCGTGGTGATGAGCGGAGCGGAATATGATACCGTAGCAGAATACCTATCGCTTTGCCTGCCATTGAGATGGGCCGGAAAGTGGTATGATACGGCAGTGATATATATAATCCATCCCGGGACGATGACGATAACACTCGGCAGGGGAAGAGCAGTTTGTTACTCGTGGAAGTAAGGTAAAGGGGGGGTTGGGAGTGAGGGCAGGTACCGAATGATTTTGTATGGCTCGTCCTGTTATAATATCAACCCACGTCGCACTCTATTTATGAACCTTGTAATATCATACTCGGGCAGAGCACGATACTCAGATATCATTGGAACCTTCACCCATCCCTCCTCCTCCTCCTCCTCCTCTTCACCCAAGAGAAGCCCGGTGCACCGCGACCACACCCTCCAGGTCCACCACTCAAGTATCCTATAGCGCCAACATCTTTGTTATTATCATCCTATTATGATCCAACTGCACATGGAGTTGGCCAAACATACGTTTACCGTATCTTACCCCTCCCCTCCCTTCCCCCCCCCCACTCCCAATGAAGCGTATACATTCCAATGCAACTACCACCACTACCGCTTCCAAGGGATCAAACTGGGCTGATTAGAGTAATTAGATGGATACCACTCCTGCATAGTCACGTAAACGTGGGTGAAAATTTCCACCCAGCCATCAACTCCATCAATCAATCAATCCCACCGAGCCAATTCCTCAAACTATCAGCACCAGTCCACGGAAATGTGTGCCGCACTGGGGAGAAGGAGGGGCGGTACGGCACAACAGTGGTGCCTACTCGATGGGCGAGTGACAAATAGCATATCCGAACGAGCCCGTCCCTCCCGAAGCCATGTTGGAGAACGAGCAATTTAATACAAGTACCAGTATATGGTCAAGTTCAATTTCAGGAATAAAAGGGCTTGTGATAACGCTGCTGCACCCGTAAACAAGTGTTCCTCCCGAAAAGTGTAGAAATCCTTTGATTCCCCCATTGGCTTTTGTGATATGATGATGATGACGATGATATTCGCACTTTTTACCAGAAAGATGGCCCGTTCCCTTTGCAGATTCGATTCGATTCGATTCGATTGGTGGTGGTGGTGGTGGTGGTGGAAATGCTCACCAACCTGTCGGGCTTACAGTATTTCTCTCTTTCTTTCTTTCTTTCCAACTTACAGGTGTTTTATTCCGCACACCGGATGGTGATCATCGGAGCCTCGAAACGGTGCTTCTGCTGCTGCTGTTGCTACACCATGACCGTCCGTAGATAGGATGTGATGAATGGATGGATGGATGGACGGTGTTGTTTTCGACGGTTGACCGCTTTTCGCGAGAAATTAGAACTGCTCATTCCTTCAAAGCTGGCTAGACAATGAGATACATCACGGTATCGTGGGTGATCCGGGAAATGCATTGTCTACTAGTACGAGCATGAATGAATAACTGGTGTGATAAAAAAAACTAGAATTGCAATTTCCCCTCTTTCTCATCGCCTAAAGGAGAGAAGAAAAAAGAAAAAACGCTAGACTATACCGTACCGTACTAGTACACTTCGAGTATCATAAACTCGCCAAACTGTCTATGCAGCCGAGTCCTACAAACATGAGATACAATACAGTAGTGGACCAATCGGAGCGCGACGATTCTTATGACCCACAGCGAAGATCCTAGAGCCCCATTCCGTCAAAGCCATCATCTTACGAGTACTCGAGTACAAGTACGAGTACTTTACTTAGTACTCGTTATAGTAACCATGCCGGGATTAGGCGGACCAGAGAAATCCCTCCCCCCCCCGCCATACAGTGCTTGTGTGGTATCATACTGCATGCACAGCGGCCTTGGCTACGCAATTGAGTTTGGCGAGTTTTACAAGTATACGGGTAACTTATCTAATATACCGTTATCTCCCCCGCCCCCCTCCTATATTATATTACCTTTTCTTCTCTTAAGTTATGATAGTTGTGCGAAATCCAATCTCTCACTCATTCCTTCTGGACTCGGATACGGTAATAACTCTGCACGGATTCGGAGTATCGTGCAAGGTTTATCCGAGATCCTTGCCATGTTTTCGGGTACTTTATGGTACTGTTACCTATATGGTAAGGTCATACCACCTCGACGTGGCCCTGGGAGGGGGGGCACTGTGCTGGACGGTACCTTCCTATATATCACCTACCGGTTCTGAGCTGAACAATGCGCTCATTCGCCGGATATAAAGCCATAGCAAAATCTACGGGATTTGCATCAGCAGACCGTTATAATTCATTAACTAATAGACTCCCGGAATTATGTGAACTAAGTATACAGGGGTTCTCAATCAACAAGTTCATTAAATTAGGGAAAGCCCCCTCCTGAAAAAATCGTCAAATGGATGAATGAATCGCATTTTTCAAAAGTGTGAAATCACGGCAGGGCCTATGAAGGATCCGACGCACAGAAACCTTCATAGTATATTTCACCCTTATTCGTATATGCTTCTCCTAAGACATGCCCTAACTTCGTGCACTTGTTAAATGACTGACCGTACCAACCCTCAAACAACACGCGGCCCCAAAACCCATCAAAACGCGAAATGAACGACATGAAGACATAAACATCGAAACCCCTCCAATGTTCCATTCCTAAGCCATGCCAGCGAGAACAGCGGCTACAGCAACAACGATACCAGCAAGGCTGGGTTTGTTGATCGAACCAGCGCCAGGGAAGGCGGGTGCGGAGGAGCTGGGCGCACGTGTGGTAACAACCGGAGCAGAGGTGTTTGACGGAGGTGTCACGACAGCTGGGTGCTTGGTGGTGGGTGGTGGTGGGGGAGGGGCATATGTGGTTCCTGGTGGTGCGGGAACGTATGTGGTTGGCTTTGGTGGGGGAGGGGGAGGAGTGTAAGTGGTTCCTGGGGGGGGAGGGGGAGGAGTGTAAGTGGTTCCTGGGGGGGGGGGAGGGATAGCATATGTGGTGGTGTGTGGAGGTGGTGCCGGGTGAGTATAAGTGGTCCCGGGGATGGTGAGTGTCTTGGTGTAGTAGCTGGTTGTCGCATTGCAGATCGCGCAAGGCTTGGTGATGACATATGTCTTCGTGTCAGTGATGGTGGGTGGGTATACGGTAGTGATAACTGGGGGAGGGATCTTGGTCGTGGTCACGGGAGGCAGTGTGACTGTGGGTGGGTAGCAAGTAGTCGTTGTGACCACGGTCTTGGTGAGAATTGTTGTCTGTGAGATAATAGAAGTGTACGTAGTCGTTCCAGTCGTGCAGATCGTAGTAACAGGAATACAAGTGGTGATGGTGATAAGGCTTGTAATCTCCTTTGTGGTTGTCGTTGGTGGGTGCACAATAGTAGTGTTCCAAGTTGGCGGGGGCTTGTGGGTCGTAGGTTGATACTGAGGAGTGGACACCGGGGGGAGGGGGGGGAGGCTTTGTTGTAGGATAAACAGGAGTCGTGGTCGTGAGGCATGTAGTCGTAGAAGTGGGAGGAGGGGGAGGAGGGGGAGGAGGGGGAGGAGGAGGGGAGGGATGCTTCACAGTAGTATTGTGGTGAGGCCCCCATCCCTTCTCTCCCTCGCCGGCAGTAGCGAGTGCTCCTGCAACAAGTGCAAACAAGGATAAGATACGAACGGAGTTAACCATTTTCGCTTTAGTTTAGACCTTGCTTCGGAGTTCCTTCCTCTTTCTTCCGAGTGATTCTCAGAGGAAAGGCAATCGACTTGTCGAGCGAACGGTGCAAGCCAACTAGCCCGAACTGAACGTAACGAGAGATAACAACTGGCAAACAAAGCGAGTGTGTTTTCGAACGAAGGACGCTTAACAGCTAGCGAGAGTAACCTGGGGAGAGGTGGAGAGGGGATGGAAGAGAAGGGTTAAAAGGAACTGCATTTTGTGAGGCGGGCAGGCATTTATAAGATATTCCCACCACCCAGCCCTCGTTTTCCAGAAAACAAGAAAGTCGACGGATGATTGGGGACAGTGGGCACGAGAAGCTTCTGAACTCCTAATCGGGGAGAGGGAATACGGTATATTTGCTAGTTTGATGTGCGGCAGCGACGGGGCCTGGATTGAGTGGTGGTGTGTGGTACCGGCACTCGTACGGTACATGTACTGGTGGTGGTACTGTACGGAGTGGTGGTTGGTTCGATTAATAGAGTTGATGCAAACCCTGTCACTACCGCTACCCGTAGTGACAGTGTATCCCAGCCTCCTGGAAAGAAAACGGCGCATCTGGAGCCAGACTAGGTAATTGCGCTCCCGCAAAGGGTAGAAAAGTTGCACTCAGCCCCCCAATTCGGCATACATCCGGGCCGAGACTATGACGACGCGCATTCTCTCGGACAGTTTCGAGTCCCGAACACTTGTAGGGAGGCTGTAGGAAGAAAAATCTTGCTGTGGATCTGGCTTGCCCTAGCCCACCATAGCGCCGCACTCAGTCCAAACAGCGGACGCGAGTAGGATAACGCCAGCTCATAGCTCATCCCGCGTGAGAATCGATGTCGGACCTGCACCCCAGAATCCATTGTGATGGACACTGCTCAACCAGAGTCGGGACTTTTGTGCAAGCAAGTTGGAGTACGGTGGGATACAGACACTGTATACCGTATTCTGATACTGTGGGGTTATTGTACGTGGGAACAGCACCCTTACTAAGACATTCAGCTGACTCCATCTTCGACAGCTCGAGGTTCCCCGGAGCTGGAAAAGAAAAACCAGCCAACACGGCTAGCACGGTATGGATGAGGGTTTTTCGGCCCTGCATTGTACGAACAGAGCATCGTACTGGGGGGGCAGGAGGCCCAGTGTAAATGAAGTAGGACAACCGGCAGGCCTCATGCAGTCGAGAAGCAAACCGGTGAAAGCGTCGTCTGTGCAATTCCGCAATGATTCTACAACGGTATCTATTAGCATGATTGGCTCATTGTGCGTGTCAACCAATACGCTGCGGGTGAAATATTGCCCCCAAAAAGGAAGCAAGAAGAGGGAAAAAATTGGGAGGCGAGGTTATGCACCCTGGAGAAGGAAATATTGGCCGGGGAAAGGCCCAACCCTGTGAAGCGCCTTTTCCACTCAATGCGAGCGAGATCTGCTAGCGCATTCAATTGGCAAGAGACCTTCCATCACCTCTCTCCGAGCACCACAAGATTCTCCTGCTGTGAGGTATGGTACGGTGCCCAGCCACTGTGTAGTAAGCCCTGTTGCAGTACGGCGTAGATATACTTGTAGTACGAGTAGACTGGCTGACACTGCAGTACCGGTGCGGGTACTCGAGTAACATATCACCCACGTGCCACACTTGATCTCGCTGTGCCAATTCAAATCATTGCCCCCCTTCCTTATTCTTTCGCGCACAAGCACTCGGGCCACCCTAAATCAGCGATGCCCTTCCCCCGAGGACATTTTAATGAGCCACTGCGCTTTCCTCCCCCTTGCTCGTGCTATCATACGGTAGTATCTGAAGAGCCGTGTGGTTCCGCTCTTATCATATATACTTGTAGTTGAATAATTATCCTGCCTCCATTATAAGGCGTAGCCCTCGACTTGGCTCTACATTTCACACCGCGGTAGCCGCGCCATACTGACGCTCGAGTAATGGTTTCCATTCGAGCCCATCGTACGAGAAGCACGATACCGTATCCCCGCGATACGGTAGCTTCTCGGTTAATAAGGTGCAGCCTCTCATTTTTGACAAGCTTCCGGAGCAAGGGGGAAAAAGAAAAAAAAAGTGCTTGGTTTACTCCTCGGTGGAGTCCGCAAAATAAACAAGGTTGGACCCATCAGCGCGCCGCCCTACTTTTTCCTCGTATCATACGGCTGGTAATGGTAGAGGGAAGGTATGGTGCTATTGCAGAAGGGCAAACCGTACCCCCCTCCTAGATGTAGGAAATTCGTTCGAGGTCACACCGCCCCTCAAGTGCCGAAGCCAGTGCAAGTGCCACGCAAGATGTTCTCGCGCAGGACAGGCTTTATTTTGCGGGTTTAACTTAAATTAACTGCTCGTCAACTATTTTGTCCGGCACTGTGCTAGCACTCGAGTACGTAAAACGGTAGAGTTACGGTATTTAACCTGATAAAGCAACATGTATTTTTGCCCCTTCTCGCCAAAACCTCTCGTTATTTCTCACCATCAATCGTCATAATCATCAGAGTCACTATTCCACCTCGTTTCGAATCCTTCGATAAACTCGCCCAGGTCATTTGAGATCGCTTCCCGCTCGTCTACCCCAACCATGCGCGATACAACATTCTTTATGCTCTTGAGCCTCGGTATCACTTGCGATGACGTTGTGAGCCTTGCACTAACAGACAACCTCTGGTTTCCCCCGGCTGTAGTACCCTCTGCGGGTATTATGCGGTCTGTGGAGAAGATGTTCGGGAAGCTATCGATGACAGGGTACGTGAAGGAGGTGAGGTATCTATAGCAAGCGGCACATTGCAGTCAGCGAGAGCCATGAGTAAGTGTGGGGTGCAATAAGACTGGATAGCAGAGGGTGAAATGAAAGCGATTGCTTGCGAGTCTGCTCAGCTGTGGCCTATCCGCAGTAGGATAAATCTCCTGCGCTGCTGTATGGCTAAGCAGACTCACATCTTCGTCAAGCAATCAAAATATGTGCGCTGTGCAAGCAGCAACACAAACACATAGCAAATATCAGTCATAACGGAGGCAAGGCAGTCAAATCAAATAACACAACCACCATAAATACTCGTTAAATCCACTGTCCGTGGGAGCCTGTGTCTCCACGATCAGAGACAAAGCACCCCGAGGAGGAACAGTGTCCCCTTCGACCGGATAGCTTGGGCAAGCGGAGCCGGCTGGAACTCATTAAGTGGTATTCGTGATGTTGTTAACTTAACCTGCTACGCCTATTTCGGTTCCGGAACCCGAGAGTGGGCTTGCAGCGAACAAGTTGGCGATGGATACCAGTATCGTAACAGACTGCCACGCGACTCAATCCGTGGGGCGCCGTAGGGCAGCTAATCCGGCCAAACGTACCGCTGCAGCGGAAAACAGGTGAAGGCTTTCTTCTCCTCTCGAAAGCCACAACACGCAAGACAAGACAGAAAAAAAATCCGCAACTGTGGAAAAGAATGAAAAATCTGAACCCCCCACCTTCCAAGAATAGCCTCGTGGTGATCATCGGGGAGTCGTGATGCTTCCGCTGCTACATCTCTAGCTCGATCATCGTTTGACTCTCTCACAACCTCTGCAATGGCAAAAATGTGACTTTCTTGGCCCCGGGCACCCCGAGCCCCCATGGCCGTCCCATTGACATCATACCCACCCGAATCCCAGGACAGCCCAAACTCTTCGCCGGGGACGCTCGGTTTACTCAACCTTGATGCACTTGGATTTGCGTTATGAACAGTCATTGAAAGTGTCGCGATCTTTTGACCACCATTAAGGTTGAGAAGCGATGCCAAGTCATCCAATTTCCCCAATCGACCGGCACCGAAAGTGTTACGAAGACGAGTGGGGAGAGTGCATGTCTCTACCGCGACTGAAAGAAGCGCACTCTTATGCCACTGCAGGGTTGGATCCAAGTTGACGTATCCCGGGAATTCGGATTGGGGACATCCCAAAGGAATGTACAACGAAGTTAGCGGAACTATACTCGACAAGGTATAAGCGAGGTTGACCGTGTGGTTAATCTGCTTTTCCTGCTTCAACTCAGTAACGCGAACCTTCCCCGCCTCTACCGCACTCGTGTTAAAAAAAAATCGGAGGGAAAATCACGAAAGCGGGAAGGTATATAAGATGGAAAAACAAGTGGGGAGGCAGGTAGGGGCCTATCACGGATACTCACCCTAGCGACTCTCCCAAAATCCTGCAGTCCCCAAGTCATAATTCCGGTTTTCGAGTACTCGTCTCTTAAGGCAGCGACATACTCAGATGCGAACCCACCCCAAGCGTCTTCTGCGGATGTCAATACCTGCACACCCTGCATTTGGTCACACTCTTCTGCGAAGAGTCTGAAGTCCCTATCGAGCAGGTCGTGTTCTCTGTTCAATCGATTGAAGAGATCTCTGCCCAAACCAAAACTTTCGAAGGGCATAATTTCCGAACTGAGGTCATATTGATTTAGTTGGATGGAAGAACGCGGGTGATAAAAGACCTTATTAAAATCGCTCCAATAACGGACAGATTCCGGATCCAGGCGGGCTGGAGGAAGGCCCTATATCAATCACCCAAGCTATTAACTTGGAAATGAGGAAAATGGGACGGCACCGCAGGGGGCTTCCGGAACGTACAGTGTCAAGGGTTCTTTGATATTCAATTGGTTCAACTAAAGGCTCTCGCTGAATGGTCATTCCCTTGTCCCTACTTTCCCGGAAAGATCTTTGTGAGCAGATTTTCCGTGGTAAACCGGCCCGCCATCTAACATACCACAGCCCTTGTGGAATCCCAGCATCTGAATCCTGTGCCATTTCATAAAGGGCATTGATTTTCTTCATAGACCCAAATCCACCTTTGAGATCATATATGAGAGTTCTAGGTGTAAACGTCTCACCTCCGTCGACTCCGACACCCGGGCGGAAGTGCACGTTATGGTCCACGGGGCTAGGTGAAGCATCTTCGGCATAGGTGAAGTATGACTCCTGCGGTGTCCACACATCAACGGGTGCTCCTCGGACAGAGCTCGAGCTTCATCAAATAACCCCTCAGTCCCACGTACCTGAGTATTCCAGAAGTGAGTTCCAAGGTAGTTAGCTTGGTGCCCCAACTGTAGTGTAATTATTTCGTGCATCTCGGGGTGGGTTCTGCGGGGCAGTCAACAAGAGAGGAATTGTGATCTTTTTTGAGGCTTTGACACAGCCCTGCAAGATTCGTAAACTTTGTTATATGCGAGCTGGAAAATATCCCATCAAGTTTCAGGAACCGGATCAAAGCGTCAAGTGCAGAATGGGCTGAAAAAGTGAAGAGAAACGACACGATATGATAGATTTTGTGACCAAGGACTTGCACTTTGCCCCTCTATCGGTATCTTATCTTATCGTTGCCCTTCCTACTTCGCGCTAGTGCAGCTTTCCTAGGGTTAGGGTTAAACTCAAACGCTCCCGCCATGTCTCGTTCCTCCTTCTACACTCGATCATTTAGTGTCCGAATATCGTACGATAGTTTAATCAGCACTGGCGATTTCGTACGGAGTATACGGAGGCTACAGATATTTAGTAAGAGTGAACTACTGTCGTGCTCGGGTTGAGCTTATGGTTCTGGTGGAGTATGAGATGGATCGGTTCGTTCACTAGTCTCAGGCGGGATCTTGTATAATACTTAACCTTACGGCGGGGCTGTATATTAATAAGTTCAGCTTGAAAATTTCCGCTAGTGTTGGAGCTGGAAAGGGTAGAGCCGAATGTGAAATTAACGGATGGTAGGATGGCATCCAAGATGCCCCGGGGGGGAACAGAAGAACGAGTGACGCTGGATGAACTCCTGCTAGTGAAAAATTGAGAGGGCAACTGTAACCGAGGAGGCTCACCGTCAACGTCACCTCAAAATTCTTCCAGTCGCTGACTTGAGCAACACCCCGTTGCCAGAAAATGTCTTCTCCAGAGCCGGAAAAAAAGCCCGCAGTAAGAACAAACCCTCCCGGGATGATTTACGGGTTGATGTTTCCTAATATGTTGCACTTAGGGACCTCCGCCTCGCGTTATCCCAAAGTTCTCCAGTTTCAAACCACTACCTAAGGTCGTAACGAAGGAACCTGAACCGGTTCCAAGCTCGACAGGAGGAGAGAATCCTAAGCGTGACAAAAAGGAGAGGGGCCACAGGCGCCGTCGCTCGCGCTCGTGCTCGGGAGGCCGAGAGCGGAAGCAGAATGGGGATAGGGATGGACGAAGAGAAAGGGACAAGGAGAGGAGCCGCGAGGAGGGGAGGGACAAGTATAGACATCGGGGACCTGGTCGCCACCACTACAGCGAGAAAAGTGGCCGGTGCGAGAAGCCTAGATCACCGATTAGAGCAGATGTTGTCGCTACTGGGAAATCGCGTCCCCCATCTCCAGAAGCGGCTGCTCAGAAGGCATTCTATACAGATACCCGCGGCGATCCTGATAATGTCACTTACGGTTCTATCCACAAATATTCTATCCCGGATTACCGCCGCCGGGGGGGCGGAAGCGTGCTCGGACTATCCCCGGAGATTCGGATTGATCGAGAAGCGGGCGATGGTAAAGGCTTGGTATTGCAAGAGCGGGAGAGGCGAAATGGGGCGAACACGAGGAAACCCTTTGCTGCTCTAGAGAGTGGAGTGAGGATGTTAAGGATTAAAAAAGATAGGGGGGATTCAACGGTTAAGGCGTTTGAAAGTGGAATGGATTTTGTACCGCTTTTTGGTGGTGGCAGAAGAGGGAAGCGTAAAATCGCCGACTTTGAGCCGGAAGAGTCTGAGGGGGAAGATAACCACTACCGTTCTCTCGAAGGGCTGAAGAAGTTGGGAGAGAATCCTGAAGACAGAGACTTGGAGTACGCGTCTGCTTCAGGGTCTGAGGGTGATTATGTTACTGCGGAAGGATGGGACGATAGGAGGAAAACAGTGGAGCTGGCCCGGAGGGTAGACGCAGAGCCAGGGAATACCGATGCATGGCTGGACTACGTGAATCACCAGGATACGTTACTTGCAACTGGTGGGAGAAGGACAACAATGGCAGAACGGAAGAGCACAGCGGAGGTAAAACTGGATATCCTCGGGAAGGCCTTGGAAAAATGTCCTGGTAACGAGGAGTTACTGGTGAAGTATATGGATATTGCTCAGGTGGTTTGGGACTCACGGGAGATGATGACGAAATGGCAACAGATGCTGAAGGAGAACCCGACTGTCATTGGCCTATGGACAAAATACATCAATTTTCGGCAAACCGATTTCCTCAGTTTCACATATTCGGAATGTGTAAAATGTTTTCGCGAATGCCTCACTACGCTGAGGGCATCGGCCATGCGGGCTGTTGATAAGAGTGATCATAAAGAAAAGATTGAGGAGATTATCCTATACGTTTTTCTCAGAACTGCGCTGTTGATGAAAGAGGCTGGGTTTATTGAAAATGCAATTGCTGCATTCCAGTTGATGATCGAATTAAATTTCTTTGCCCCACCTCAAATAGCGGCGCCAGGGTCTCTCACCGAGCATGAGAAGGTTCTCGAGCTACTGGATACCTTTTGGGATAGCGAGGTCTTGCGTGTTGGGGAGGTGGGCGCTGAAGGATGGTTTTCGTTCGTGCAGTTAGGTGACGAAGGAAGGGCTCCAGAAGCCCAGAAAGAAACAGTTTCACCGGGCCCATTGGGTACTCGCGACCCGTTTGGATCGTGGATAGCAGCAGAGGAGGAGCGAATGGAGGTCACCGGGATGCCTGCTAGGACAATGGATGGGGTGGAGGAAGATGATCCCTATCGTGTTGTGTTATTCTCAGATCTAAGGGAATTTATGTTCTTTTTCGCGAGTGACACTGTTAAGCAGAAACTGATTGATGCTTTCTTGGTATTCTCAGGCTTGAACCCCCTTTATGAGGGGATGCGCATGCCCTCCGGAAGCACGGAGGCTACAGATACCTTCCTAAGAAATGAATTAGGACACACGATGAATGAGTATCTTAAGAAGTGGTTCTGGCCTAAGGGCGAAGAGCACAGCAGTGAGTTGATAGGATGGGGGGGTATGGAACCGGAGAGGAAAGCACCGTTAGGCAAGAGGCCATTCCAATTTTGCTTACGGAATTTCCCTCTGAGTGAGGAGATGCTATTTGCTAGGTCTGAGTATTGGGTATCAGCAATGGATAGCCCAGGGGGCTTGAAGAGGGGAAATGTTGAATTTGTGGGAAATGTGCTGAAGATGTTGGTCGCCCAATTGAACGATGAGCAACTAGCATTGTATTTCCTTGCTTGGACATGGAAGAACCGCTCCTCTAGGTAAGAATAAAGCCCGGCGGTTTCTCATCAATAGCTAATGTTTGAGAAGTGTTAAAAAGGTAGCAAAAGGGCTTCTGAAAAAGTTTCGTACTAGTTTGTTGCTTTGGAATGGCTACGCTCAGATTGAATGGAGGGCAGGCAGTGCCGACAGTGCAAGGAACGTTTTCTCTACGGCGCTGGGGATGAGTGCGGGTTTTCCAGAAAAAAATCGCCAGGATGCAATATTTCTGTGGAGGACTTGGGTATGGGAGGAGCTCATGCACGGTGATGTTTTGCGAGCAATCCGGGTGCTTTTATCGATCGATGCTGGGAGGCTATTGTTGGATGGGGATCATGGGTTGGATTTACGGGGGCTTCCATTAGCCTTAGTGCTAAAGGCTCGAAGAGTGAGTGTGTTGACAAATCTGCTGGAAATTGCTGACTTTTTCCGCTTGGTGCAGCATCTCGAGGATTCAAAAGGGCTGATGCTTTCTCTCGGCTATGTTAACCACGCAATCGCTTTCACTGAAGCGAGGGCCCTACTTGAGTACCTTGCTTCTAATCGAGAAGTGACAGCGTCGCTGCCAATATATGCCGACTTCCTTTCCGAGCTTGACAGACGCGGACTGTGCGGTCCGGGTTCAGCAGTTCATGAAAGGTGTTTGATGACAGAAGCGAGGTTGCTTTATTATCATTCAAGTGCCTCACGGCTATTCAAAATCAAGACAATGAGGGACTTTCTCAGTGACTCTCTGCAAGTGTTTCCGAATAATTCCGTTTTTCTGGAATTGTTCGCTTGGAACGAGGCGAAAGTCAAAATAGAAAACAGAGTTAGGACGCTCATGCGAGATGTAGTATTAAAGGAAGGGACGGAGACGATCCTGGGATACGGTTTTGCTATATGGGCAGAAATGCGAATGATGGGTGCAGGAGGGCGCTACAATCCTAACGCTGTTCGAGCTCTGTTTGAACAGGCAGTGGAAACCAATAGGTTTGCTTTTAGTCCATCTCTGCTGGGAATACTCGTGTTAACATATGACATTAGGACAAAATATAATTTTAGTTTGTGGACGATATACGTGGAGTTTGAGATTCAGGAGAAAGAATTGAATAGGGCTAAAGAGGTGCTCTTTAGAGGCATTAGAAATTGCCCATGGTCGAAAGGTATGTATCAACTTATGTTTTGCCTCACTATTTTTTACTGATCATTGGGTAGACCTACTTCTTCTGGCCTTTCAACGGCTGCGCACAGTGATGACCTACGAAGAGATGCGAAAGCTGCTTTCAATTGTTTCCTGGGAGAAGGAGCTACGGGTCCACGACACTACGGAACTGGAGGATTATATCGACGGGCTGACGGATGAGCACCGAAGCAGACTTGGGACGGCTGGGGCAGAGGGGCTTCAATTTCTTCAGTTGCCCAGTGATACGTCAGATGAGGAGATGGAAGATTCATATAACCCATGATGGGAGGTTTCTGGTAGTCTCTGGCTCACCTTCATATTTGAATAAACTAAGTTAGTGGATAATTAATTAATTAATCAATATTCGAGGTGTTCAATGTTCAAAAGCGTTCCTTGGGGTTCTCGGGGCTGCTACATGGGGCTCCTTTGTGCTTGTGTCATCTCGTGCGCCTTTGGCTTGATTGGTTACTTTCCTATTACTCTGTCAATTAGGGTAGAGTATTCACTGCTTAGGATACGTGGTATGAGGTCGCTGCTGACAAGGTTAGATAAGCGAGAGAATTAACTGCTCTTACACTTTGACACTACAAAACATTTCCGGGCTACTCTGTTCTAACCTTGGCTTCGAAGCTACTTGTGAGATCTACTATCCCCGACCTTGCTTACTCCTACCTTTCCTACCACCGCACCCAGAGCCCTCGGCGCTCTACCACCAACATGGGTACCAAGTCTACGTTTGGCGGCTAGCCAGACGAACTAATTCGTGTTTCCCCCGCCGATATCGCCGAGGAGATAGTAGGTGTGCTCACTAGTACTAAGGATCTATCGGGATAGTGTGATAAAAGCGTATGATGGCGATCCCACATGTTATAACGGGGCCGTCACAAGTGTCATTGTAGTTCGTGTGGGCTTCATTACGACAGTACTAGCATCTGACCTTGTGGGAGGGCGCCGCTTTTGTTTACGCAAGCCCAACGAGGGACCTGAAACGTTTTCGACCCGCAACTCGCCGTGCACTAAGGGGTAGGGGGAGGGTTGCGGCTCTGCACTTCCTGGCCGTGTCCGGAGGATTTGAGAGCCTAGGAGAAGATTGTTAGTCAAGTCATCTCAATTGATTTGTATTGCTCTTCTCAAAATTTAGCTGGCGGGGTGAGTGGGTTTCTGATTGAGGATATTACTATTTCAGACAAGTGCAGAGGAATGTCCCCCGCCAGTGGTCGTGTTTATATCAAAGCGGATGCATTTTTTCCCCTTCGGGCTCTTGTTTTGACCAATTGAAATTCTTGTCATATTTGTTAAGTATGGTAGGTGACCCTCGGAAAGAATTTTTTCCCCTTGAGCTTGATATCCACGACATTTGTTTAATGTGCCTCGGGGATGGGATAGAAAGGGGTTCCCGGCGATGGCATAGGGGGAAATGGATAGGTATCATAAATTAGAGGCGCTCTTGTCACATTTGCGGTACGTGAAGTTAGGGACCTCCCTTACCGCTATGGAGATTTCCCTCCGGGAGTGAGCGCATTAATGGCCTATTTTGCTACCCTTTGGTTAGCTAGCCTCATCCCTAGGGAAGGACAGGATGGCACATTATCACTAATCGGGTATGACATCTCTTTATCCATAATACTGTTCATAATATCATGTGATTAATTTGTCCTTGTATCGTAGTATAATACTGTACTCGTACGAGGGTAGAGGTTTCTGGGTTTCCACCCATTATGATACTATCACGGCGCCTCTAGGGTACCGTATTCTATGATAGCGCCACGGGGTTTCTCTGCTTACATGTCTGGCGGAGCTCCACATAACTTGCACTCTTCGGGTAGCTTAGATAGCTTTGGCTGAAATTCAATGAAACTCTGTCACCTTCTCGTTTCTTGGGGGGGTACCAGTGGGCAGTAGAGTAAGGCCCGGCTTTGAACTGCACGCTCGAGAGGGAAAAGAAAAAGGCGAGATCGCGGTAGCCGAATGTCCAGGAGCTTCTGAGCCACTTGCGTGCCGCCGTGTGTTGTCCAACAGCTTTAAGTGGTATATGTTTCCTCGGAGTTGAGAGTTGCCGAGTGATCTGCGGTGAAGGGCATGGTGTTGTGATGTCAGTCCCGTTCGTTTGTTATAGTACCATAAGTTACATAATATCGACTCGCGGATGTCTTGAGAGCTCCCTCCAATAGAATGCATATTTAGTGGCGCCCTGGCACTGCGCTTAGGTGGGGTCGTGCCTCAGCCCTGGCCTGATGATTTACCTATCGGCATCTCCTTATACTTTGCTCTATTGAAATGCCTAGGCTGTAATACTAATGAAGTAGGATTTAACTCGGCATTAGTTGGCGTTTCTAATTTCTGCGCTTTTTTTCTTTCGGACTGTGGCTGGGCTGGTAGAGTATGTGCTGGATCAGATGGTTTTACTGTTGTTTTTGTGGGAGGTAGAATCCTGGCTATCATGCCGGTAGGTGGTGTGGCTATGGATATTATCTGGGCCAGTCGAGGAGGCCTAGCGTTCTGCTTGTCTTCCCACCTGTCATCATCTTCCATCACTCGCGGGAGTGACGCCTGGTGTTTATCTTAGCCTTTTATTTAGTGGTATAGGCGCAGCGCACGTGGATGGTGTGAGATAATATTTCTTCGCAAAATAGTGCAGGATGTCATTGTATATGCAAAAGTTTCCCGGGGAATTTTTATTATACTATTTTCCCATGGTTGTGCCCGAGAACAAGGGTGTAACGGGAGAGTTTAGCCCATCACGTAGCTGGTAAACAAGATTCACGGAACTCGAGTTTTAAATTTGGAATCGCATCTGTATGCCAATGCTGGAGGAAAGCAGGAGATAGAAACTATACACAAAGGTGGATTATAGAAGAAAAGGAAAAGAAACCAGCCCCTAGATGCCCAGAAAAGGAGAAGTTTTTATGATTTTTTGTGATTGTTAATCATATCATTATAGATACGTCACACCACCTCCAGCTGAAAGGTAACCCGGACAATAAGATATACCTGCTGGTAATATCCCGAATTTGGTTTTACCGCACATAATGAATGATGAACTTTTTATTTTATTTAGAAGAAAAACCCGTATGACCCCAGAAGTACCCAGATTAACGGTTGGATTTGGCGACACTATGGTAGAAATGTCAGTTTTGTGGGTGGGAGATGCAAGTGGGACAAGAGCTCTTACCGCTCCAGCTCGTCCTTCTTCTTAATAGCATAAGAGTTGGATGATCCCTTGGCAGCATTGATCAACTCCTCAGCTAAGCATTCGGCAATGCTCTTGACATTCCTGAAGCTGGCCTCACGGGCACCGATGGTAAGAAGGGCAATAGCCTGGTTAACTCGGCGGAGGGGGGAAACATCGACGGCCTGCCTGCGAACAGTGCCGGCGGACCCGATACGAGTGGAGTCCTCGCGGGGACCGCAGTTAACAATGGCATCGACGGCAACCTGGATGGGATTCTGGTCTGTGGTGAGGTGGATGATAGAGAAAGCGTGGTCGACAATGCGAACAGCCATGAGTTTTTTTCCGTTGTTGCGACCGTTCATCATTAGGGAGTTGGTGAGGCGCTCAATGATGGGGCATTGAGCTTTGCGGAATCGCTTTACTGCGTAGCGACCGGCGGAATGGGAGAGATAGACGGGGGTACGGATGTTCATGTAATCGCTAGAATGGATTGATATTTGCTGTCAGCATCTAGTTCGCATATACATCTACCCAGTATATTTAATACAGCTCCCACAGCGAAGTGTGCTCCATCTGTGCTCTGCTCTATTCTTAAAACATCCAAACAAGCATTCGGAGGGTTTTCCTACGTCAATGAAATATCCCTAATTTCGACATCCTCATAGCTCCATTTGTTGAACAATTTGGTGCTTCCAATCTCATCGGTAACTTCCCTAGGCAGAACAGAGTAATTGGCCTGGGCGACCTCGACTTCTCCGCTATCAGACATGTTGATCGAGGTAGGGTGTTCTGGTCTTGGGCGCAAAGGTCAGCCTATGGTGTTTTGTGGGGAAAGAAAAGTTGGGAATTTTTAGGAAAAATGGATTAGGAGACATTCGAGAAAGAGAATCAACATACTTTGAGCGAGCTGTTTGTTAGTGGCAGCGGGAGGTTGCTCGTTTGGTGTAGTTCGTGGAGCGTTGTTTTCGTCGTCAACTAGAAAATAATTTCCTCCCCGCCAATGGTGTGTGTGCGGGACCCCTCGAGTGGGATACAGAATCTGATTAGATCACAGTGACTGTTATTTATCAGGGGCTTGACCCTAATCTCTCAAGCTCGAGTCAGGAAACCTGTGTTGTTAGGTCAAATGTAAAAAAATGGCATGAATAAAGTCTAAGATGCGGGTAGATAGAATTTAATGTATTTGTAGTAATAATATTCACCTAGGACCTAAAATTTTGGTGTTTTTGATCATTTGTCAACATTTGTGTTGGATCAGCATTCCCGGGTGCATTTTCTTTCGCTTCCCTTCTCTTCCGCCATGCCCATCGCATCTTTCTTGTCTAGCACAACACCCACGATATCGGCGTTTTGATCACCCACAGCCTTACCCCCTTCTAACAGTCATAGGGATATCCTATTTTCTCCTTCAACAACGACTCTGTTCACTTTTGGTTTCTGCCGGACTGATATTCTATCCGAATATTCAAAAAAAGGGTTCGAGTCTCATCGCTTCCTCCCTCTGCCGCGCTCACACAGCGAAATAACAATATCCTAACAACTTATACCCCCGCTTACAGTGAATAAGCTCCCCATACCCAGCGTTTCTCCCAAAGTTTCGAGCAAAACAAAAGAAAGAAGAGGAGATATAAAAAAGGCAAGATGTCTGGTCTAGACGTAGAAGCCCTTCTCGAAGCCTCCGAAGGGACTAAGCCAAGACAGCAACCTGATCATCACGATAGTGCTGCTTCTACTCCGAAGCTCGACCGCAACGGCGGCGGGAGCGTTAAATCTTCTTCTTCTAGAAGGGACCGAGACCGCGATAGAGACGACAGGAGCCCGCGTAGTGAACGCCATCGTGAGCGCAGGAGAAGCAGAAGCAGGGACAGCGATAGGTATATTTCCAAGACCCTTCAAACCCTTTCATCTCAACTGGGCCTAGAGATTACTGACATTATCTCAAGACGCCGTTCGGGTCGTAGAGACTCCTACTATGATGGTGATGAATACTATGAGTCTTCGTCTCGATACAACAGGCACCGCTCCTGTGAAAGGGATGATGACAGGTATTACTCTGGACGCGGTCGAGATCGCAGATATAGGGATTACTACGACGAGCGTGACAGAGATGATTATTACAGAGGAGATAGGCGTGACCGTGATCGAAGATCAAGGAGTCCTAGGAGGCGAGGTGGCCGTGGGAGGACTAGGTAAGTTTTGTTGAGCTGTGGGAAAGGTTTTATGCTAATGTTAATAGGTCTCGCTCTCCTCAGTTGACTGAAGATGAACGTGATCGTCGTACTGTCTTTGTCCAGCAGCTGGCTGCAAGGCTCAGAACCAAGGAACTGATCACATTCTTTGAGAAGGTTGGCCCGGTTAAAGAAGCTCAAATCGTTAAAGACCGTGTTAGTGGTAGATCTAAAGGGTGGGTTTCTTCATGTTTCTTGAGTGGAATCAGGAACTCGGCTAATACTTAAGAATAGTGTGGGATATGTCGAGTTCAAAGATGAGGCCTCGGTGCCCAGAGCAATTCAGTTGACAGGACAGAAGCTCCTCGGAATTCCAATCATCGCACAGCTTACAGAGGCAGAGAAGAACCGTCAAGCCCGCGTTAGCGCTGCTGAGGCAACGACTACGAATCAAATCCCTTTTCATAGGCTTTATGTCGGGAATATTCACTTTAGTATCACCGAAAGCGATTTGCAAAACGTATTCGAGCCATTTGGGGAACTCGAGTTTGTTCAGCTGCAGAAGGAGGAGGGAGGCAGGAGCAGAGGCTATGGTTTTGTCCAGTGAGCTGCGTGGCTACGACTTTCCCCAACGATATGCTAACAACTCTTTTTCAGGTATCGTGATCCCAACCAAGCTCGCGAAGCTTTGGAGAAGATGAACGGTTTTGATCTTGCTGGCCGCCCTATTCGTGTCGGTCTTGGCAATGACAAATTTACTCCCGAATCTACTGCTCAGATGCTCCAGCGATTTTCTGGTTACCAAGGGTTTCAGGGTTCAGCATTTGATTCCCGTGGCCGTGGGGGCAATGACCGGGTTGGCCGTGCTGACGATAAAGCTAGTGGAGCTGGCGCTAGTGCCCTTGATGATACCGATGTCGCTGGGGTAAACTTCAATAATTATAGTAGGGACTTGCTCATGAGGAAATTGGCGAGACAGGATGAACCAGCACCTACCGACAAGAAAACGAAATCGCCGGCCGCTTCGAATGGCAAAGATCTACCTATAAGGCAAAAGTTACCAGAGAAGATTGCCAAAACTCTCCCTCTTGATGTACCTATGGCGAGTAGATGTGTTGTATTAAAAAACATGTTTGATCCTGCAGAGTAAGTCTGGCCCTTGGAACACCATCTGATAAAGCCGTTTAGCAGCTAACACTGGCTGCCTGCTTATAGAGAAACTGGCGATGCCTGGGTTAGAGATCTGGAAGATGATGTTAAAACAGAATGCGAGAACAAGTATGGACATGTCGTTCACATTGCCTTGGACCCCAACAGTCAAGGAGAAATTTACATCAAGTTCGAAAAAGTACAGGGAGGCGAAAAAGCGATCCAGGGCCTGAACGGCAGGTTCTTCGGTGGCAGGAGGATCTCAGCAAGTCCTGTTGTCGATGCTGTATACGCCAGCTTGTTTGGAAGATCCAACAGCAAAACTATTTAATTGGTGTGCCTAGGTTTGGAAGGTGGACTGACGGTACGTTGTGTGCTGAATTTCTCTTCTCTTGAAGTGGTAAATCATCCGTCCTCTGCAGACCAGGGATCAGATTAGCATTTCCCATTATTCCCTCATTTCATTTTTTTTATGGGTTTTAAGGCCTCTGTTTTTTTTTTGTAGCACGGTTTTCCCTTATATACTTGCCTGTTAACTCTTTTCACTTGCTTTGCGGATATAAGTTCGTTGCTGTCTATAAGGTCTTGGAAATTAATAATGAAAATATCGTAAACCCGGTAGTTTTCTGCCCTGTTACGCGCTCGCGGTGTTCTTTGGGTGGTGGAGGGTTAAAATCTGGACTTTTGGGAGATTTCCGATATCATATATTGAGGTGAGAGGCTTTCGGTGGTGATAATTTAAAACGTAGAGTCTACTAGTAGGTTTTTAGGGATGATCACTCGAGTGCGTAGCATGCCTCGACGCAAATTGGATACTCGTAGGCTAATGGCGATAGTGACAACAGGGTCGGCCCACTAATCTCATTGTGAACTGGTAGACAAAAGTAGCTGGGGTTTGCTGTAACGCTGTGGTATGATGGAACAGATATGAGAGGGGAGGGGGAATGTGTCTGTCGGACCAGCACCCTATCCATCCCCAGGTTCGCAGGGGGGACCCACTCGGCACTAGGGGAACTTGGCTGGGAGCCGCCTGGTTCGAATAAGTATAATATCTCCCGGTAAACAACTCTGCCTATCGTTATTTCTGGAAGTAGGATCCAATAAACCAGACAGGCCCATAAACAATTCTTAGATAGGTGGTGAGGGTGGAGATATTTGGAGGTTATCGTTCGGGTATTTGGCTGGCGCTTGAGTTGCGAGCCATAAGGTCCTCTTTTTTGTGTGTACTCGAGTAGGTGGTGCATTAGATAATCCTAGCTTAAGCATGGGTGGCTTGTCCCGCGGATTGCTAGTATCATATATTACTGTTCTCCTAATAGAGAATTTGCGCCCGCAGACCTAGGTGGCAGTTAGTCTACCACAAAAAGGACCTAGATGCTAGAAAGAGTTTGTGCATAGGATCCAAGTGACTTGGTGGCCGGGTTACAACAGCTGAGAGCAGAGAATGTAGAATCACTATTATTACATGACTATCATAATATTATTTTTTAAATTTATTTCTTTCAGAGCTGCTTTGCACTTAGCCCTCCTTGGTATCCATAGAAATAGGTTGGTGTTGTATATTTTTGACGCCTTTGCCTAGAAACTTACTCTAAGTTAGGTCTTTAAGTTGACTTTTGGGCACCCAGGTCTCCAAGCGTTTTAGCATAACGTATGATATATATTAATAGGATTTACCGCCGCCTAGGTCTGCGGGTGCAGACTCTCTGATGAGAGCGCTGGTGGCTAAGGTTTTGCCACCTACGAAAGGCGGGAGCTTTTGAGACTGTATCGCAACAGTGTATCGGGGTTTAATGCTCCGTTATCTAGTTTATCCATATATAGAAATTGGTGTTGGTTTTCCGAATAATATCACAGGTGGATTAATGCCAATCGGTCTTGCAGAAGAGAATTTACTTAAGTTACCCTTTGTTTGGAAACTTTTTTTTTGTTCTTGCTATTAGTAATTGATGGAAACTACCCCACGGGAATTTTTCTCCTTTCCGCAAACAAAAGATCTCCGCATGTTGTCTCTTTGATGGTCGTTGGCCCTTTCTTTGACGGATGAAGTGTTTGTGTGTGCGTGGTTCGGGGAGAATTTGGATCACCAAATATGATGCGGTCGAAGAAAGTGTTCTTAGTCAGTTGACCTAGCTTAGCAGGCCTGCTATATGCTCTTTCGCGCGATAATTAGCGTTGTAGATGCGAGATTACAGCATTCGCTCCTTATTGTAGGAGACCGATTCGCCTTCTTCTGTGATATTATTCCCCCAGATTACCAAAAGAACAGACATCAGAATAAAGATGAAAGGCCTGCGGCAAGGCAGCATTTGAGCAGCCCGGGGAGCCGGGTCTTGTGATATCAGAGGCAATGAAAGTCCGCCTGTTCCTGAAACGCACCCGAAGGTCGCCGTCATAGGCAATTGCAGTTGGCGGCGAAACATCACTGCCTGCGGGCAGCGGACTGTCGGGCGGTGGCCTCATGTACCTAAGCCCGACCCTTGTTGTCTTCGGGAGTTTGCCGATATGCCTGTCATTCAAAAGCGTTTATACATGGAAACTTGTGACTAGAAGGGGAGATAGTCGGGTTGTGAATGAGCGTATATATGAATATTGCTCCGTCACCAATTCTGATTCGGTTTTTTTTGGGTTATATATTCTGTATTATAGCCATTTTTGGGGCCCCGTTCGATGCCATTGTTGGTGCCTATTAGTATACGGCTACGCCCCGAACCACGGGGCGTTTGCTTGATGTTCTTGGGCGCTGTATCTCGCCCTATTTGTCAAGGGGCTTTCATATAGTATTATCGGGGACCCCGTAGAGTTCCCCTGCCGGTACCAGTTGCGGGGAGCCGGCCTCATTCTCCTCCTCCCCCTCCTCCTCCTCCCCGCCCCCGCCCGCTTCTGATTGCTCATCATTCACATCGTTAACTTTGTCACAACCAACGGCTTATCTTTCAATTTCGGCTAAGGAAGCTATAGTACGGAAGCTGGTTTCAGGTTTTATTTATATTACCTCTCATACCACTTGCTTTTCATATTCTTAGAGACTTTAAGAATGCCGGTTAATAGTAAGTTTCTCCAATTTTCTTTCCTGTTTATACTTGAGAAATCTTACTGAAAGATTTCCAGAAATTGGGTCCGTCGAACCTGCCACCAGGAAGCAGGTTGGGGAAAAGGGTGTCGTGAGTCTTGTCTATCTTTCCGTTTCTTGGTTGACAGGCGGCTGCAGCGAGACTTCACTCTCTTGTCTTTACCTGTAGTCACCCATTGACGGCAGCTGACTTGAAGGACCGTGGGTAGTTCGGAGCGAGGACTTATGCAGATACTTGCCGTGGTGAGGAGGGGACCGCTCAACAATGCCCACCGGCGCTCTCTGAAGAGGAGTATCCTAGTTTGGTGCGCAAAATGGGATATCCCATCACTAGCAAGGGAATTAAACTAACAAACTACTCTCTACAGAAAGGTTCAAAAACTTCTATGACTACTCCTCAGGGAGTGTGCCCCCCCGCCGCCAAATCTGACACCAGGGGTACCGACCCTGGGTCTGCCCGATCGGAGCCAATGCATTTAACGACTTTTAGGAGAGGTCGGCCGGAAGCTCCTCGACAGCTGTGTCCTGCTCCGGGGCTCGTGCCTTCCGGTGCCCAGGCTCCCATTGGTCAAACCCTGAAGGATGGGCTTGGGAGGGTTAATTTGCTTACTCGTAGTTTACAGGAGGCTAGAGGGAAAGGAAAAGCTCCCAGCTGTCAGAGCAAGGACGGGGTAGGTTCCCAGAGCGCCCTCACTCCTACCGCCCCACCGTTTACACCGGCTTCACAGCAGGATCTTAGGAGCTACGCTCCAACTGCTTCCCGGGCTCTGTTTTCATCATCATCAACCCCCGCCAGCTACTACCCACCAAACTACCCAAACAAGACTCCATCCCCTCAATTTTATTCCAATTCAATGACTTCATTGCCGACCCCTAATACTTCTCGCCCGACCCCTAATCGTGGGAGCTCGTCACTTCCGAGCACTACAACAGCGGGTCAGACCGAAAGGGATTTCGCGATATTCCAGAACGCGGTACTCATTGCTGGCGCACAGAAAGAACATGAGGAGAAAATGGGCGGTCTTTACGGTCAGAATCTCGGCATATCCTCCACTAATCCTGATGGGCATTACGTCTGCGGACTAGTGTTGCAGGACTTGAAGATCCGGAACGCCGCGCTGAAGGCAGAAGTTCAAGCAGCTAAAGCTAGGGAAGAGGAGCTGAAGCATCAGAATAATGCGATCAAAGACCATTGCTCTACCATGGAAACAACGTTGTTATCGGTTGGGCCCCAACAGACCATATCCCTTAGGGATTTTAGCAAAATGATGGGTGAGATGGTTCATTTGCGTGCTATCGCGGAGCACACGGAGCCAATGGTGGAAACTGTCAATGGATACCAGCAAGAGATTGCCGTTCTCAGGGCTAGGCTTTTGGCAAACGGGATTGACCCCTCAATAACTGACACTCCGGTTGTTCCGGCTCCCCGGGAATCCATGACCGCCTTGTTGGATGTCGTCCACGGGCCCCCTGTTCCTGGGCCTGTCATCTCTGTTCCCGTCTCTGTCGAGCCTGAGGAGGGCAACGGGAGGTTCCCCTCCAACAAGTTCTTCTTTGGAGAGTTCGGTATACTTTTCCGCTCGATTGCGAATCTCGGACGTTGCAACTACCAATTCACTAGGCAATTGCCAGTCACCACTGTCCAGATTCCATCCCAGGTTCGTGAGAAGTTGAAGGTTATCGTTCAAGGGAACGAGGATCTTCTCGATTGGCTGTTGGACGACACGAATAAGACAAAGTTCCTTCTTGTGTCTGGCTTGTTTTCCCGTTTGATTTATAGCGAAGTTATGGTTGAGACTTTTGTCGATCAACTCATCTTCAACATGGACGAAGCCCCGGTTGAGAAATCTAGGATTTTGAGTGGCTGGGCTCAGAGTAGGTTCTTCGCTTCCCTCTTTCTGCTAATATGAATAGTAAGCTAACTAGGGAAAATAGACAACCCGGACATTACTAATAAAGTCTGGCCCGTCCTCACCGAGATGTCAGAAGCCTTGGGAAAGCAGCTCCACGACAAATACGTCTCGCTCCTCTCCCGCCCTACCGACGCCCGCCACCTCGAAGAATCCCTCCGCTCCCTGGTCGGGTGCATCGAGCATGCTGGACGCCTGGCCCTTGGTATGGCCCATCTCGGTTGGGGAAACTGGAGGTTTGTGTTCCACGGGACCGAGACTCCTTTCCAGAGTGCCAAAATGACCATCTGCGATCTGGGCACCGAGGGACTCCTCAACTTCGGCTACGACACTCGCATCCTCGAGGAGAAAGAGGCCAAGATTAAGTTCTGTGTTTTCCCTATGATCTACAGGAGGGACGACACTGGGGCTTGGAAGGTCCTTGCTAAGGCCACTGCTCTGGTCTAATTGGTCTTTTGCGGAGGGATTGGCTAAGAGGGGGGGTTCTCAACTACTTGGTCTTTTTTTCTCCTCTTTGCTCTGACTAGTTTGCGCTTTCACCTTTATCTGTTGTGTCTTAGTCGTTGTCTTTCGACGGCTCTATCTTTTCATTTGCTTCGTTTGAGTCTCCCTGTTCACTTTTATACCCCCTTTTTTTTTTCCCTATTGTTACGTTTGGGGATGCGGATCTGACGTCTAAAATGTTTCCTTGGTGGAATATGTAAGTCGGCTATCATCTGCCGGGGGGTATGGTACTGGTAATAGGTGGGGGTTATAACGATACAATTGAACAAATTCTCCTTACCTTCAAGTTCTAGTTCTGTGCTTGTCTGTGCGGCGATCCCGCAGGGTGGAAGAGGATGACTCCCATCGTTCGATTTCCAGGTTGCGGAAGGCTCGGGCACCGATCGGGCGATTCCACAATCGCGCTACATTTCCGAAGCCGCCACTGTGATATCACTGTATAATTTTGCCTGATCTTTCTTTTCCTAGCTTTACGCGGCTGGATTTTCTTCGGCCCTGTTCTAATTTTGCTTCTAGAATTCTCTAATACCCGTGTATAAAAGGGGAAACACCATCACCGAAAACAGTAACACTCTTGCTTTTCCTCTCAAATCATATCCTTTTAACGATTCCAGAGAGACAGGGTGGGTCTAGCAGGCCGAGTGATTTATGGTGACTCTTGGCTCCACGGGGGCTCGGATACGGTAGGTGCGCTCGAGCATCCTGGCTACAGCACCTCATCTTGAGCTGCCGTGGATCCCCTTCTCTCGACTGGGACCCGATTTTTGCACCATTACTTCCTCCGGTACCTAGAAGAGGGACTTTAATGTGCCAACTTAGCAATCCATCTTGTATTCGAGTACTAATGGTAGACGGCGGTAGGTATCGAATAGCTCGACTGCGGTAATCTAGGCTAAGCCAACTCGAGTGATTACTAAGGAGCCCTTGCAAATACTGTACCCTACACGGCATGGTGTACTAGTACAGTACGGTATTGATAATTTAAAACTAAATACTAGCCCCTAGCTTCAAGGCGCCACAAGTACTCGTACCGTACCCTGCGTCTCTGGCACCTTTGGGAGTGGGGAAAATTATTCATTAAAAGTTCGCCCCGTTCAATATTTTACTCGACAAAGAAGGGTTCACATTGGGCGGGTGTTCGGCACGTACCATACTCAAATATTATGCCAATGTTTCTGAGCGATGATTCTGGTAGCATGGACCGTAAACTACAAAATTGGGTTCAGCTGTTATCACTGGAATTCGGGACTCATGGGCTCCGTGGCTAGAAATTGTGATCTCTCCTTCCTTCGTTTTGGCATTTTTCGAAAGTTATTATATGGTGCTCAAGATATTTTTTATTAGGGGCCTGTCCACCGCGTATCGTGAATGCCGGAAATGGTCGCGGTAGCAATTTGAATTGTTCGTTGTCGAGAAGGGACATACTCGAGTAGACTACTCGAGTACTTGTGTTTGCACCATCGTCTGGGTTGCCGGATGAGGCTGGTCTGGTGCTCGGGGTGTGTGCTAGCTGGGTGTTCAGAGTTAAAAGAAAGCTCTTTCAGCAGCAAGTAAACTCGGGAAGTTGCATTGGGTTACTCTACGGTGTTAGCCAATAGCGTCCAAGCCTTTTGGGTAGCGTATTTGAATGCCATGGTGACCGAAGGCAGAGTGTCGGTGCTAGGACAGGTCTTGCAGGTAGTCTACTTTGGGGGCTCTATCATGTTAACGAAAGGTGACGCTTAGGGGATTATTGACGGGGAAAGTGGATAAACATTCACAAAGTGTGCTATGATATTTGAGATTTCTTTTTGATTTTTTGAAAATGTTCTTTTTAATTCATGTGTCGTTTCTGAGGCCTAACTTGGTAAAGTACAGTGCTGGTAGACGGAGTAAATTTAATATCATACTCGTAGTGGGTTCACTGTTTCCGCGCGCGCCAAGTTTGCATAAAACAGCACTCTTTTACTCGTAGCTCTGGGGACTGACACGCGTGCTTTATGGGGGCCAAGTCGAGAGCCTCAATAATGGATGCCGGGTACCGCCAAAACATACAAGTAACTTACCATATTGTCTGGCAAGAACCGGAATGCGCCAGCAGGGCGTGGATGGCGTGGCTCGGGGAGAAATTGCTCCAAGTGGTAATAATATTTCAAAACGCAGAATCTCATCTCGGGCAGTTCGCTCTTCCCCGAAGGGTGGCAACTCTTCGCCACGGCCGGTTTGCCCTTGCTAACGTGTTCCAGTTCTTCCCAGATGATGCAGTACGGGTACGAATCGTAGGACCTTGTCGTCTTTGCCCTAGCGCAGACCATGAGCTATATTACGAAAGGCATAAATTCTTGGGGGTAATCGCCAGTTCGCAGCCAATACTGGAGCCACGGAGCGCCAGTAATTATGCCCCGTTCTTGCGGTCGGCCTCAACGTGGCACGAAAATAGCACCTTGGTAATATCGTTGCGCCTGGGATCGGGGTGGCCATTGCTTCACAGCTCGGCTCTGCTCGGGTACCCGGGCACAGTATCCGACTCTGCCAGGATAGACGGAGGATGCAGTCTGAGATGCTTCGATGTGGTTGATTACCGGCACTGGACTGAGATTCCTGTCGAGATCTAGATTCCCTTTGGCATTTCACAAAGCAAGAAGTGAGTCACTATGAGCCTACGGGGTTAAGCGAATTTTGATCTTTTTATCTGGGTAATCAAGGGGCCTCAGGATATCGAGCTGCTCATATTTGGCTCGAGATACTGGAACGCACCTGCCTTTTGGGGCTGGGATTGTGCTCGTACCTGGCAGTCATATATTTCTTGGTTGGGCTCTCTACGTGGGTAAACCCCCGAACAAGAAGCACAACGACACCCGAGAACTTTGCTCACAAGACATACCGGTACTCGGATATGGATATGTCCTCTAAGTAAACTGTTCCTGGCGCAGCTATTGTGTTATCGGCAATTTACAGTGTTGTGCGAGTACGGCATTGTACAGTAACTTACCGGTAATCCCTGAGGGAGAGAAGGTGTTACTGGAGTTGCCTACTCTCTACTAGCGGCTAATCGCGGGACTACCGGTATCACAACTACCAACCCCACTCTTTCCTTGGCCGTCAGCGGCTCCGGGGCAGGATAGGAAAGAGCGGAGAGAAGAGCGGGGTAGATATGGGGAGAACTGGGGTAATCTTCCATAGGAAAATGGGTGCAATTTACAAGCCGTTGCGTCGTTATGCATAGGGAGTCTAATTGCATACGGTTGGAGGGTTCAAGAATCTCTCGTCGTCATAGTCGCCCTGCTTGCTTCTGGCCTCTCCCCCTTGCTTCCCCCTTCACTCCAACTTCCCCCTCTCAGTTTCCCACCACCACCAGCGATCCTTCTTTATCACCGAATTACCGTTAAACCATCCCAATATCATCTCCTTCAGACGAATAATCCATAGAATGGCTCCTAAGATCTTTGCGTGGGTCTTCCCGATAAACTTCCTGTCTCAATTGTGGGTGTTTGCTGATTTTTGGCTTAGAACTGGAGCTTCCGGCTACATTGGGGGCACAGCACTCGACGTCATCATAAAGGCTCACCCTGAGTATGAGATCGCCGCTCTTGTCCGGAACCCAGAAAAAGCCGTTGCCGTAACCAAAAAGTATCCCAACGTTAGGATCATTTCTGGAGACCTCGACTCTGGCCCTCTCATCGAGGAGGAGTCCTCAAAGGCAGATATTGTCCTCCACTTTGCGGATTGCGATCACGTCGCCTCGGCAAAGTCAATTGTCGCCGGCCTCGGAAAGCGCACGACACCATCATACCTCATCCACACCTCCGGATCCGCAATTCTGGCCAACCTCAACCTTGCCTCAGAATTCGGCAAAGCTGCTTCAGACAAGATTTACGACGACATTGACGACGTCCAGGAAATCACCTCATTGCCAGAATCTGGCCATCTACACAGAGATGTGGATTCTATCGTTATTGGAGCAAATTCCGACACCGTCAAAACCGCCATTGTTTGCCCGCCCACAATTTACGGTCCTGGTTCCGGTTCAGGAAGCATTCGTAGCAACCAGGTACCCGAATTGACCAGGTGCACTTTGAAGTGTGGCCAGGCCTTCCAGGTAACCAATGGGGCGACCATCTGGAATAACGTCCATGTCCAGGATCTCGCTAACCTCTATCTTCTCCTGACGGAAGAAGCTGCTCGGCCGGACGGCAAAAAGACTACATGGGGGCCAGAAGGGTACTACTTTGCTGAGAACGGCGAGCACGTTAGTTCCCCTTCTCAGCTTTAATGGCTAAGCTAACATTGATGGAAGACCTGGGGCGAACTTGCCAAGAAAATCGCAAAGAAAGCTAAGGCTAAGGGCTACCTGAAGACGGACGAGGTCATCTCCTTGCCTAACGAGGAGGTTATCAAGCACCACCCTTTTGGTCACATCCTCTGGGGCACAAATTCCCGCGGTTGGGCCTCGCGCGCTAGGAAGTTTCTCGGATGGGAGCCGAAGGGTGCCCCCTTGGACGAAACCCTTGACGATGTCATTGAATTGGAGGCTAAAGCTCTAGGATTGTAGGCGGTATTATGGAAACGGGGTTGAGGAATTGCCCAACGCAGGTTTGAACGTGATTCTGCTCCACTCTACTCTTATTTTTATCTTTCGAAGAGAATAATCATCTTCATATCCAATCACTCGAGGAATGACGTCGGATAACTTGTGTGGCATCGCGTACATGTGAATCAGAGAACCCCTTGCGGTTTTGCGCTTTCCAAAACTTCTGATGTTGGTCCTGGGAAACAGCATCTCCAGTTGCCGCCCTCGTGCGCCACCAATCCTAATTAAGCACGGTGCTACAGCCTTGTTTGACCCCTCTCGCATGCTTCCGCGAAGTAGGGTACATGTCTTAACACAAACAATCCAACTCCAAATTAGCGTTATTAGAAGCATCCGAAATTTCCACAACTTCGATAGGCTCCTTTCCTGGTGCACTTCCAACTTCCGTGATTAATGTAACGCGGGATAACAGCTTCGTTCTATATACTATGCGCTGCAGTGCGCTTTTTTCTCTCATGTCTCAAAGTGATTAATTCCCCGAGCCGGATCGTCGCCTAAACACTGTTGTCTTCCCGTTTCCAAAATATCGCCAGGTCATGTATTGCACGGTACAGTACATATGATACACCATAACAACTGGCGTCGCGTGTTCCCCCTGATCCCACCACCCCCCCTCCAGAATATCGCTGGTAGGACCAGACCAAAGCACAGTCCCTCCTCCCCGTGGAAGTTGCCCTACTAGTATTTGGTCGGGTTAAAATACCAATTAGTTTAACTCAAGCTCTGTTTCTTTTTTTCTTTTTTCCATATTTCCATTCCCCCCCCCCTCTGGCGTCAGACAGCAGCTAAAGTTGTGTCGGGTGCTACGTCGTGTCGGCAGCTATGTCGTAAGGCTAGGTACGCAGAGAGGGTGTTTTTGAGTCCTAGTACAGAGGTCAGGCTTGTTTAAGTGCGTAGTGGCTCAATATTTCTTCGTACCCAAATGTTTGCCACCAGCGTACCCAGGTTCCCGACATAGCACCCGACACGACTTTAGAGCTATCCGGGTAAGTGCGGATTGAAGATGGGTGACTTGTTTCGCGTTTATAATAATACCATTATACGTGTTTTTTCCTCAGCTGCTCTTTTCCTTTGTTCGGTGGAGGGGTTTGTTGCGCGGATGCAGGGTATTGTATGCACGTGCACCGATTCAGACAGACACTTTCGCGGTGTTCCTAGAGCCCCACGGTGAGGTCATAGACCGTCACTCGTGGGCCCCCACGGCTGCCGAGAGGCACAGGAGTTGGGTGGTCCGGCGTCGGCGGCGGGAGAAGTGCAGCTGCCGGTATTATAGTTAGAGCTAGGGAAGGGGATATGCAGATGGGGTGAAGTGGGGGGGGTTGGAAGGGTATATGTACTTTCCGCCCAGTTGGGATTCTGTTCTCTTCCTGCTCCTTGCTGCTTAGATGAAGCAAATACTACATAGTTGGATGTGTATGATGCGGTGTGAGCGGGCAGACCTCTGAAATAGGGTATAGTATAGCCGCATCTGTAGTGTTCCGGTGCCCTCCCAAGTTTCGCTAGCCCATGGAGACACATCGCTAGTCCTCTCTTTCCATTGCTGTATTTGGTAAAACAAATTGAGAGAAAACGTCTACAATACCCCTAGAGGCATATCCGGAGACGGCTGTCTGGAGGGCTCTTGCTGTTATGTTATTGTTGATGAGCATTGTTTTTGGGGGACAGGGAAGGGACGGGGGGCTTTGCGGACGTGGCTGTACACGCTGTAAGGTCTCATACATGTCATAAGTGAAATCTAGATTCTCCGAGATCTTGGGGATGACACGCTACCGGGAGTCTCCCCCGGATAATGGTAAGTATGATTGGCACGGGCCATCAATCGACCACGCAGCGGCACCACACTCTAGCTACTGTAGCTGCCGTAGTGCACTTCGCCCACTGTTGTGGCAAGTTTCATCGGCGCACGGTTCTCGTAGGCATTTTTCACAATTGGGCTTCGAAGGGCTGGGCGGATGATCTGGCATTTCTAATCGCTTGTTTACCTGAGCCATAGTAAAGCTCGTTTCGGTTCTGGTGTCCCTCTTGCGGGGCATCGTTCGAACAAGTGTCGGAGCGCAAGTACAGGTATCGTGACTTATTGAAAGAGATCTTAGCAGCGGAGCCTCATGTATACTAGAAAAAGGAAAAAAAAACAGGGAGTTGGGAGGGGGCGGGGAGTCTACCTGTAGTCGATCACTGGGCCTCGCTAAACATTGCGCAGCAGGCAGAAAACAGGTGGAACAGTAGTGTTTTTCTGCCTTGCTTAAGGAGAAGGTACATCTCTTCACCGTAGATTTAACTCTTCAATCTCCCACTGTGGGGGAAAAGGGACGTATACCAAGGGAGTGCGTCTAGTTGATCTAGTGTGCTATACCGTGCAAATACAGTATAATGGTCAGTTACCCCCCACCCCCAACTTGAGGGAACGGTCCTAGTATGGCAGCTACGTTGCAACACGCTGGGACACCGAATTTCTTGCACTTGAGCTAGGGCAACGAAAACATTGCATCCGATCCAGGATTTTTTTTGAATCTGGGATAGTCCCCTCTAGAAGGTACTGTACCAGTGTGAGTACAGTGCTGTCAGGACTCGCTATCCCGGCTCTTAATAATACGGATACCTCGCTGTCCCGTATGAAATTCCGTGGGTTCAAAATCTATCTACACCAGATTCTGATCCGCTATCCCGGATAACGTGTCTTACAGGATAGATTCTTTGGGCTTTGGCTGTCCGGGATAGCGTGGCGCGACTGTACTGTACAACAGGACTTGCACTAGTAGAACAATTCAAGGTGTTGCACATCTTTACCAAATGGGGCGCTTGTATATGATCCCGGTCGTCGATCTCGGACTCGTTAGTGAGGTAATATCTGGAAAAAGGCGGCTGGGGGCTTTGCAAAGCGGCTCCCTGCGGAATTGCGGTTGGGGTTGGTTTGAAAAGGTCTTGCCCCCAGCGCTGCCGGTCTTTCGGAGTGGCCGGGTTTTCGGGGGCCCTTGGGTGGGGGAGAGGTTCTGGCTGTTTTTGCACCAGACTGAGTGAAAAGCACAGCTCTGTGTTTCTGCAGACGCAGACATTCACTCCTTGCGCAGTCGAGCCCGCTCCGGCCTGGGCTTGCACGAAGAATTATGCCATTGTCTCATTCAGCTTCTCGAGTAGTGTACTGTACCTGTAGCTCGGACCATCGAGAGCCCCTCGTTGTTTTTCCGCTGTTTATGTTACGCAAGAGCATTCTTGTGCTTGGCCCTATACTCGAGTATACTCGAGTACTCAGGATCCGGTTGAGTTCAATATAGCAAGGATAAGATTGAGTTAGTTAAAAGGGTTCTCTCGTACCGGTAGATCTTCTTTCCTTTCTCGTTTTTCTTTGGTTTACCTACCCCTGGTGGCTTTTGGATTGGTTGGGTGGCGGTCAAAGCTTGGGGGCCTGGTCTTCCACCCGCCATTGCGCAGGCTCGTAGGTGCGCACACCGGTAGCCCCAAAGTCGTCGTTGGGTGTGCAGTATGGAGGAGAATCGGTGCACTGCTCAGCTGGATCAGATCATCCTAGCAGGTCCTTCTCCTGCGGCGGAGAAGTGCATCCCGATATAAGTGGATGTGTGGGCTCTCAAGTATTGTATATAATGGCCTATTCCTCTAACCCCATCCCCATCCTTCTTCATTATCAATTCATTCACCCCATTTCCTACGTACATTTAATCTATAGCGGTACAGGTGCTGCTCAACACATCCTTCGAATTTCAATTTGTCAAATATTTAAAAGCACCCCTAACAACCTAATTATTACGTGTTCGTAATGTTCTCGACGTGGATCTCAAGAGTACTCTTAGCATTACTCATCACCATCTTGCAAACCCTCTCGGCGGTATCTGCATTGCCTGCCAGCATACCCGCCACCACCGAGAGCACTAGCGTCAAACTCGTGGCAAGAGGAGCTTCAGATCCCAACCCGAATAGCAGCGGCGGCGGTGGTGATGGTAATGACGTGGGCGAAAATAACAATACCGCTTCAAAGTAGGTCCCTCCATCCATCCATCCATCCATCCATCCGTCCATCAATTCATCCATCCAGCCTCCCCTCGTTCACCAGCCCAGCCATAGTTGCAAGTTACTGAATCCCTTTTCTTCACAGTAAGGTAACTCCCGCCCAAGTTGCCGGCGTGGTCATCGGCGCCCTATGTACTATCGCCCTAGCTCTGATATTCTGGTACTGCTTTGTTCAGCACCAACGCAAGAAGCGGGGTCTTAGGAGCGCGGAAAAGTTGGCTGCAATCGAGAATACAAAACGGGCGTATCCTGGTTACAATCATGTTGGGGAAAAGCCGTAGGCCTGATTTATCGACTGGCTTTGCTTTCGGGCTTGGGATCTTCTGGAGGATTGCTTCGGCGTTCGGGCGTTTATTGCACTTTCTTTCCTTAATTATTTTTCTCCTTTAGACTTCTGGGTGGCGTGAGCATGGCGGATGCACTGCGTGCATAGAGTTGTGTATACATGTAGCATACTTTGCTTGCGGCTTCGGGTCGGGGTTCCACATACCACAGTTCTTCCCTTTCCTTTACTTGTTAAATACCAGGGGATCTACCCTGCCCTCGCTATTTATAGACTAAAAATATGACAATCAACTTGGGGATGTGGTGCGTTCAGAGAGTTTGTCGAAGCTTCTCGTCTCAGTGGCAACTCTGAGGCAAAATCTTCGTTCCCGGCACTGGGCCAATGAAAGGAGTTTCGGCTTTTGCGGAGCATTTACTTTACCTCACTAAGTAATGTGCCCAGAGGGTAGAGGACAAAGGGTGAGGGTGGAGGAGTGGGGATCTATGCAAAGTGTCTGGCTTCAGCTCGGCCGCGCGAGTGCGGATATCTACTTAAGACTTAAAAACATTGACCTTCCACGTCTCCATTGCACATTCCCCCTCTTATGCTATCCCACCTGTCACCAAGCATGATGGCTATCACCGGGTAAGTTACTTTGTCCCGAAAGTGTGTTTTACCTTGCATGAGGAAGGGGCAGGGAGCACTTTGCAGCCCGACCAACCGGGAAAAATGATATGGGCACGGTATGCACTTCGGGCGTGAGCATAAGTTTTATAACAAAAGAAGAAAAAAGTCAGTCGAACATTGGCTGATTCGTTGAAATTACTATGAGTGTAACCGTGTTTTTTTTTTCTTTCTTTTTTTTCTGTAGCTGTCATGGCCATCTACGCTAATTTTGGTGAAGGAAAAACGCCAGTCGAACTTTTGCCGAACGGCTAGAGAAAAACTCGTCCTCTTAGTCGCCGAGTGCCCACTGAGCCAACTAGAGGGAGTTCGATAGACTTAAATTTACCCTTGGTACCCGGGTACAGTACTTGTGCGATGGTGCAACTATTATTGATTAAGGTCTGAAGCTTAGAAAACAGCGAATTTGGAGTAGGATACCGGTAATCAACGAAATCAGCTGGCACTATAATAAACCTGTGTCTCGGACACCGACGGGGACGGCACATTTCCTGTAGTCCCAGCAGTCCAATAGATACCGGTACAAAGAGTTAGGCATAAAATAATGATGTGGTACTGGAGAGGAAAAACATTTGGGCGATTTGGAACATTTATACAGAAGATTCGTTGATTTGAAGAGTTTTTAGCAAGGCTCCTGCACCAAACCTATGGGGGGAACGTTCAAAAAAAACATCAAAGCAGTTAAATGATGTGCATGTAAAGATTATCCTCGAACTATCCATAGGGTCTGTAGATCCTTCCTCATGAAGTTATAGTTTATGAGGGATCACGATATTGTTATGAGGTGTTGCTGGGGAAACTGTCCTGGTAAACTGGTATCATACAGTAATGATAACTCTTAAAGTGATAGTATGATAGCACTACTTTGGAAGCGTCTAAGATCGTCAGTTGGTAATGGGTACGCTTCGAATTAAGAATGAGATATAATGACTGTAGGATCACAGATTTGGGAGGAGAGATTCAGTTCTGGATGAGCTACGATCAGTTGAAGAGTGGGGTTTTTGCACATTTTAGGGGTAAATCGGTCCAATGACCAGAACTTTTGCTCAGCTGCTTTTATTGTGCAAGCTAGAATCTTTGTAGTAGTGGCATACTGTGCCCTGAAATATGGCCCTGAGAGGATTTCTATTTTCTCTTGTGTCGGACAACTTTGACCAAACCCAACCGATGGATCGGGCTCTCAGCCTGCAACTCAACACAATCAAAGGAAAAAAAGAAGAAAAAACTCAGAAGAATATCCCCCCCCACCTGTTATTGAATAGCGATGGGGACTTGTGTTCCCAGCCGAGCTGGATGCAACATAGCTAACTTTAACTAGGATCATCATTAACACCCTTGCTCTGTAGTTTGTGCAAATGGGATGCAGTGCGGTACTTGCACCACTTTTTTATGGCTGATCCTTATATTGAAGCCAATCCTACTCCAGCCACGATCCCTGGTGTTGTGTCCGTGGTCATTGAAAAAAATGTGATTGTCTGGATTTGGGGTGTGAAATTGTGTCGAATGCCGAGGATTCACATACACAACTCGGACGATGAAATAGGCAGAGCATCACTAATACTCATGGCATGTTATCATCGGCAGACCCGTTCAAGAGATGCTTGGTTAAGAACCAAGCATCTGCGGGCTCATTTATGTGCATTTATATTCGCAACAGACGGCACGCATCAATATACTATATTCCTCCCGACATTTTTTTGCTACTAATTCGAGCGCCCAGGTACTGTATGTGCTTAGGGTGTAAGCATGAATCTGTCGAACTCTTGTCGAGCGGTTAGACAGAATCCCATCCTCTGAGTGGCCGAGTGCCTGCTGGGCCAACTACAGGGAGTTTGACTTACCCTTGATACCCGGTACCTGTCTTGGGGGGCACAGGAAAGTGATTAACATCTTGTGGAATCGCGCCACCGGCGGCAGCGCAGCGCCGCGAACAACTGTCATTGGGGATATCTCTTCAAGTTGCTGAAGTCGTTGATAGGGAGCCTCACTTGACATTAATTCGAATAATGCAACAGTTGCCGCGGCACCAAGAGATATTGAGACCCTGTTTGGAAACCCATTATTTTTAAAGAATACCATTTTTTTTAATGACTCTTTTTTTTGCTGGACCTCAAATCCCTTTGACCAAAGAGTATTTTGAAAAAAAAAAAGCATATCTTGATAGCACCTGCCATTCTGCCAGTGAGAATTGTGGCCAAAACAGAATTCCCGAAGCTGGCATGTAAGTTGAGCTGTAGCAAAACGCTGCCGAATGGTCTTTAAGGACTGTTATTGGATACCATTAGTATTTGGTCTCCTTGCTCAGATCTGGGTGGTATGCAATAGTTGCTCTTTCTAGAACTGCTTCTATGCTAGGGTCCTGTACCTTGCTGGTGCTGGTAGCCTTTCGCCCCACCAAGTTTCTCTTGTGTTGGCGCTCCTAGTTTCCGATTTTTTTTGTGGACGCAGTGAAATACCGGTAGCCCGCGAACTTGAGACGTAGCCTACTCCTGAAAAGCCAAAGTGGCCTGTATGTCGAGACTCGAGGGAATGAGTACAGTCTGTCTAACTGCGCACAACCTTAGCGGCCCCACACCTAGACCTCACTTGAGGTACAGTACTCGAGTATGATGGCGTGTACCGTACAGTACCAACCTGGCAACAAAAGAAGCGCAACCCCTCCCCCCATTTTCCGTACAAAGCACCGATTTTCAATTAGCTGCCAGAAGCAACCATAACAAATCATGCCCCCCAAACTCTGGTGATGTGGTAGACATCTATAAGGAGCTTAATATTATGAAATTTTCAATTTTCTATCGACAGTCTCGGATGCTAGTCTAGGGACATGAAACTAGATTGGTCTATTTCTATACAAAATCCCATACAAACTGGCTGCCTTACCATGGATTTTGACCCCCCATTTAGAATTGGGACTTTCACCTTTTGCAGAAAGATTCCTGCAGCCTGAAATTCAACTATATGGATATCTGGGTTAAACTCTCTGCCAGTTTTTTTTTACAAGATTATTCTCATTCTTTGCTGCTAGAAAGGCACATATTGGAGTTTGGTGTTTTGTATGGAAAACGGGGGGGTTGCGCTTCTTTTATTGCCAGGCTCGTACTTTTTTCAAATTTTTTTTTTTCCTCAATTGGGGGTGGTAGGATGCTTGTATTGTACTGGCATAGAACTCGCAAGATTGGGGTTCTCATTTTGCTCTCTGTGGGATGTTTGAAAGGTGCACGGCTTTGGAGCCATTGGGTATCATAGGCATGATACTTGCGCCTTGTATTTTTTGTTTCCCCTTTTTATGTTTTCTTGACAACAAAAAAGAGGTTTCTGAAGTATAGACAGGAGCTTTACGGTTGCCGTTACCTCAAAAATTGTCATGGTGGCCATATAAAAAAAAGTGGCCCCAACTCTACAAGGGCGGCCGATAGATAAATTTATATTCGTCAAGCGAGTCTGACAAGAAAATTCCGGTGCACTTTTTGGCTGCGATGTGTCCTTAGATAAGGCACGTGGCGAATATATTTATCCACCGCACTCGTTGTCTCCCGGAACCATTTATCAAGACTTGTCTTTGCGCTTCTCTCACATTTTTACAACACTAAAAATTCAAAAATTCCCTTCAAGAGTTTCCGCACCCACGATACTGTTACAATTAGTGTTACAATGGCTAGTATTTAAGTTGAGTGGTGTGGAAAAGACCTCATCTGCATATTAGAGCGCATGCCCCACAGATATCTACTGTACATATATTGACTAGAAATACTGAAGGCACTATAAGACAGATGACAGAAAATGTGAACAAGGCAATAGCTAGTGTTGTGGTGTGCGTCCCCTACAAAAATCAACATTTACAAATTCCACTGACAATAGCAAGGAAAGAGTAAAAGGGGAAAAAAGACAGCTTAGTATTCCCCCAAACTGCTATCTATGTATTATATCCCGGGATCTCTGTTTCAATAGCCTGGCCAAAACCGATTTTACTATTCAAAATTTAACATCAGCACCCCTGCTCTCTACAGTACAGTACTATGCCCCTTTTTTATGCTTAGACCTTATAGCCAAGGCCATTGCACTTTAGTTGGATCTCGGGTGCTGTGTCCATAATAACGAAAAAAAAAAAACTATGGTAAGGAATACGTTAGTGTATAACATCGTGTCGAATGCCGGAAAATTAGTTAGGTGCGTAGCTCGGGCGATGAAATAATCAGAGCATCACGAATGCTCATGGCATGCTAAATCTAGCAATGCTGCTTATAAAATACTAGGTTAAGAACCGGGCGTCTGTGAGCCCATGTGCGCATCTAGATTCACAACGGACGGAAGGCTCGTAAGAACATACTCCCAGACACGATTTTACCACCCATACGAGTGCTTGAGGCGGGGTGACATTGTGGCACTAGTGGTAGTGCGCTGCCCTGAACAACTGTCTGGAAGAAAACCCCAACTACGGGTAATAGAGACTTTTGAAATGTCCCTGGATGTGATTCTGACAAGGTCCTGGGCCAACGAGATCGCTAGGATTTGGCTCTGGATGCGAAATCGCAGCGTCCCAATGAGGACTGGCTTCCTTCAGGTACGATTCCATGCACTTCCTGCTTCTGGGGCATACTGGGCTGGTCTCCTCGGGTCTCTAGAGCCGCCAGTTGTTACT